TGACTGACTTATTTAGCTTAGCACAATGACCTCAAGTTTCATCCACGTGATAGCATATGGTAAGATTTTCTTCTTTTTAAAAACATGAACAATAGTCTAATATGTATTATGTATGTATATACATATATGTACACATATATGCAAATTTTATTTATTAATTTGACAGTGAGATATAGATGGCTTTATCTTTTTGGCTGTTGTAAACAATGCTGTTTTATGGAATATATTGAAGTCAGAAAATGTGAGGTATGACTTCCTACCCAACACTGCTTTAGCCTTTGGGTTAATATACATTTGAGAGGATTTTGTACCTTTTCCTCCTTCCCTCAGTCTCCTTACCCCTGCCTTCGGTCTCTAACTGATAGATATTCACGATGAGAGCACAGGACTGTCACCTTGCTTCTCATCTTCTACGGAATGCCATCAGTTCTCTGCTGGGAGCAACGTTAGCTGTGGACCTACACACCTGGTTTCTACATTGAATGGCTCCTTCCTTTTTTCAAGCCAGTCTGTGTGTATTACTTACTTCCCTATCGCTGTGATAAAACATAATGGCCAGATAAACTTTTAGGAAAAAGAACATATTTTTGGAGCTTACGGTTCCAGAGGGTCAGAGTCTGTGACGCTCATGGCAAGAAGCATGGCAGAAGTCTGGCAGGCACAGCTGGAGTAGTAGCTAAGAGTTCTCATCTTGAGACACATCATGAGACAGAAAGAGTTAACCGGGAATGGCCTGAGCTTCTGAAACTTCAAGCCCAACTCCCAATGACACACTTCGTCCAATAGGGCCGTTTGGTACCGACTCTTCTTGGGAGGTGTTCTTTTTGATGGCTCCACTCTTGTTACTAGTTACATGTGTGCTCAAACTTGCTGTTGATTATTGTGTCCATTTTTTAGATTGTGTGCCTCTAGGAATTTTCTCAATTTGTTGCCGTGTAATCTTTCATAGTATTTTTTACAATTTTTTTATGTTTGGGTCATATGTTACATGTTTCCTCCTTCATTTCTCATTTTAGATATTTAAGTTGTCTTTTTTATTCTTTCCTTCATCTTTATAATTTTAGATTTTGTTTGTTCTTCTTTCCCTAGACCATTGGGGGGGATTATGTTGTTTGAGACCTTCATTCTTTTGAGTAACAGTTACCAAACACTGTCTCCTTTCCTTTTTTCTTATTTTCACTGCAGACCATTAGTTCTGAAGTGCTGTAGTTTTACTTCCATTTATTTCCAGGTATTTTCTAAAATACTCTGAAATTTCTTCATTATCCATTGGTTGTTCAAGAATGTGTGGTTTAAGTAACACACACACACACACACACACACACACACACACACACATATATATATATATATATATATATATGGATTTTTTGTCTTTATTCTGCTGAGTTTTTAATCCATCATGGGAGAGAACATAATTCATCTTTTAAAAATTGACTTTAGCTAAGAGATAATGCAATCAGTAAAGCAATTTTCCTCGCAAGCATGAGACCTATGTTTGAACTCAGGTGAAGAGGATGTGGTGGTGTGCTCTCCTAATCCTGGAGCAGGCAGGTAGAGGCAGGCTTCCTTGGTGCTTTCTTGCCAGCCTTTCTAGAATACTGATGAACTCTAGGCCTGTGTGAGAACCTGTTTCATACACACACACAATATTGGCAATTTCTCAGGAATTATATTCAAATTCTGCTCTCTCTCTCTCTCTCTCTCTCTCTCTCTGTGTGTGTGTGTGTGTGTGTGCATGTGTGGTAGGGTTGTAAGGTCATGTTATGTGGCATGACTGGGTTGATCTTGGAGATTATGTATGTTGCTGCCACTCACGGGAGCGTTCGCTAGTCCTCTTCTGGCTCTAACTGGCTCTGTAGTGCTAAACATCTGCTGTTTCTTCACTCACTCTCCTTCTACATGATTAGTCTATAGCAAGAATGAACTGATGCTGCTGTTCTAACATCCTCCACTTTGTGGACTTGGGGGTTCTAATGTCAAGTGCATCTGTATTACAACTATTGTGACCCCATGATGTGCTGGTCTGGCTGTTTGTATGTCTTTCATGTTGACATAGCTTTTGTTGGATGGATGACCTTCTTTGCATTGTTGGAGCCTTTACTGCATAAAACAACTTTCCCTAATACTTCTTTCTCACCTGATGTCTGTCCTTAGCTGTCTTTCCCCAAAATACTGCCCTTGAAAACAGCCTGTCAATCCCTAGATTTGGCATCTGCCAAAACAAAGATTAGGCTAAAGTGATTATATAATTACAATTGGCCAACAGAGATTAGAAATTGTTTTATTGCTAATTTTACTGCTATAATTATAACCAAGTTAGGAAGTTATGCTTTACCTGTATGATGATGACATTGAAAGAGTTAAGGGAATGCCAAATGCTACCAGGGAAAGACTAAAATACTGTCTTCAATTAAAAACAAAAATAAAAACCAAAAAACTGCATTTTAATTGAGTCCTATATACTCCTTTGATTTAACCCCCTTTTGTTTCTTCTTAGATGTTTTTGGCAGCCCTCTCATTTGCCTATGTAAGCAAGGCACTAGCTGGAGTCATTATGAAAACTTCCATCACGCAAATAGAAAGGAGGTTTGACATCCCGTCTTCCTTTGCTGGTTTCATTGATGGAGGATTTGAAATTGGTAATGTTTATTTCTATTTTACTAATCAGACTTATAGAAGAAAAGTATAGTTCAGACATGTTCTATGCCCATGTTTCTTAACCATGGATAATTCTGTCCTTTTTGTAAAATATAGCAATGTCTGGAGTGTTTTTTGTTGTCCTATCTTGGGAAGCAGTGGCACTGATGTGTAGGAATTCAAGTCAGTAATGTCACTAAATATGGTACAAACTGATTGGTAGCCACCATGAGAAGAGGATTTTGGAAGAATGACTTTTTTTCTTTACACAAACCCATTGCTTTCACATGAACTGCTATGAAACTTCACCATCCCTCTCTCAAGAGGACCATACATGAAGAAAAGTTGAGAGAGCTAGAGCACCTTTGATTTAAGTACCAAAGAACATCTTGGGAATAATGTGTTGCAATTTTGCTCTTTAACTGTTGAAGGGGGTAGATTTACAGCATTGAAGATGCTACTCTGTTGTCTTCTTCCAAGCTCCATGCTATTACCCAAAGGGATTCTTCTCTTATGAAGTAGCAGAAGCTTAATGCCTCTGTTCCTTTTCTTATTGATTAAATATATTAATTTATTCTGTATCTCAACCACAGTTTCTCCTTCCTTATCGCCTCACATGGCCCCACCTCCCCTTTACACCCCTCCTCAAAGCCATTCCTCCTATGCTCCTCCCCTCATATTAAGGTTTGTTAGCTCAACCCAGTATGAGGAATAGGTTCCCAAAAGCCTGCCCGAAAGTCAGGGACAGGCCCTGCTCTGACTACTAGGAGTCCCATAAGTAGACCCAGCTATATACTGTGGCACAGATGCAGAGGGCTTAGGTGGGTCCCATGCAGGCAGGCCCCTTAGCTGTCAACTCAGTGTCTGTGAGCTCCTATGATTCCAGCTTAGAAGTCTCTGTGGGTTCTCTTGTGATGGTTTTCACTACCTGGCTTGTATAATCCTTCTTCCCACCTTCAAAAGATTCCCTGAGTTTGGCCTAGTGCTTGGCTGTGGATATCTGCATCTGCACCAGTTACTGTACGAAGGGTCTTTGATGACAATTAGGTAGTCAACAATCTGATGACAGGAGATGGACAGTACAAGCTATCTCTCCACTATTGCTAAGAGTCTTAACTGGGGTCATCCTTGTAGATTCATGAGAGTTTCCCTTGGACCAGGTTTCTACCCGACCCCAAAATGCCCCCCCCATCAAGACATCTATTAAATTACTCCCCCCCACTCATCACAAACCTGATGCCTCATGTTCCCATTCCCACCAGCCTGCGGTTTACCCAGGTGATCTCTTTTATTTTCCTTCCCCAGAGAAATCCATCCATCCCTCTTTGGGTCCTCCTTGTTATCTACCCTCTCTGTGGCTCTGGATTGTAGCATGGCTATCCTTTATAGGTAGTCTTCACTTATCAGTGAATACATACCGTGTTTGTCTTTCGGGGTCTGGGTTACCTTAATCAGGATGACTTTTTCTAGATCCATCCATTTACCTTCAAATTTCCTGATGTCATTGTTTTCAACAGCTGAGTAATTTTTTAAAAACTCTTTAATTTTTGAGGGAGCTTCACAGCTTTGTCTGTTATATGGATTTCAAGAATTTCCTAAAAATTTAATGGTTATTTAAAAAAAAACTTGACACAGGACATATTTAACAGTGTTTTAAAAGTAGCTACATACAGGAAGGCCTATCTGTTTTTCTCATGAATTCTGAAGATTTGTGATACAAAGTATGTATTGTATAGTGTGTATCTTTCAGAATTCCATTTCAGTGCCTCTTAAAAAAAACCTTGTATATGCGTGTTTGTTTCCAAAGAAGTGTGGCTCTAGATTTTGGAAGTTTGAGGCTTGCAGCTCTGAGACTGCAGAACTAAGGAATCATTGCTGAAACCTTAAAACAACATACATTTTTGTAGCTCTAAATGCTTAGTTTATATCTTGTTGTTCTCAGTTGTGAGTAGTGAAAGCCCAGCACTAGACAGGTGGCCTCACTCTGTAAGCTTCTGGCATCAACACCCTTAGGTGGCTCTGTAGGTTTCCTCTCCTGGTCGTTTCCTGTTCTATCTTCTGTTGTCTTCCATTTTATATAATTAAAATTTAAACATTTCTCTAATTTTTAACTTTACAATACTTTATTTTTCTTCTTAGTTTGCCACTTTATCTTCTGAATCAATAATATTACACCTGTAAGGACACTGTGTTTTCCCAGAGTCTCCTCTTTCCAGCTAATTCCTCTTTACTTCATGTATTTTTTGCTGGTTCTTTTTTTTCTTTTTTTTTTTTGTAATTTTGGGTTGTATCTTTTTTTTCTACCAAACACTCGGAAACTCATGCTATTTGTTTACTGTTTATATATAACTCCAATTAGATTAAAATTGTCTCCGTCATTTGGGGTTCACCATTTTCCATCATCAACTAGTTAATTTATAATCAACATGACATTTCAAATTGCCTCTTGGCAATTTTACTAAAGCTTCCTTTTTTGTTGTTTTTGTTTTTTGTTTTTCGAGACAGGGTTTCTCAGTGTAGCTTTGGAGCCTTTCCTGGAACTCACTCTGTAGACCAGGCTGGCCTCAAACTCATAGATATCTGGCGGATTAAAGGCGTGTGCTACCATCACCAAGCCTAAAGCTCTTAATTAATTGACTTCTTCCTCCCTCCAGCTCTGCCCACCAACCCGTTTTCATTCTTAATGTGTTTTTATCATTTCTTTGTAACCTTATTTGTGGTTTGTTCTTTTATGATATTTTTTGGCAGGCACATATTACGGCATTAAAGAATGTCAGGAATATATGACAACTGCATTAAGTAATGCTTTTCTCTCCAATTAGGAAGACTTTTCTCTATTTATTTTCATCTTAGTACAATCTAGTCAACTTTAAATTCCCCCCAAAGAAAAAAAATCTGCTTTAACAGTATTGTAAAACAATGGGAGTATGTTTTGTTTCCAAAACATATTCTATAGACTGGTGCAAAAATATGTAAATTCTCTTTTTGCAACTGAGAAATCAGTGTTCCCTATGAATTTTAGTACAGGTGAGAAGATATGATGATGTCTATTTTAAAGTGACTTATGTATTGATGGCCTTCGAGGTTGGTTCTAAAAATGAAAAGCTGATATTCAAAACAAAATCAAAGGGTCAGAGAAATTATTCAATGGTTAAGAGTACTTACGGCTCTTTCTGAGGACCTAAATTTGATTTCCCGCATCCAAATCTGGTGGTTCATATCCATCTGTAACTCTTACTCCAAGGGATCTGACTCTCTTCTGGCCTCTGTGGGCACTGCACTAAAGTGCACACACACACACACACACACACACACACACACACACACACAATTTAAGAAAGAAAATAAATAAACCTGGAATAAATAAACAAAACAAAATAAAATTATCTCATCATAGTCTCAATTCTATACTTTTCTATGATCAATTTAATTAAGGTGAGTTTCCCCTCATCAGTCAACCTAGGAAAGGGCCAAGTGTTTTCTCTGTTTATACTGTCTGGGTTCTTCCATTGTACCAGATACATTGACCATCAGCATTTGCTGTGATGAATCAAATTGACATAACTTGGTTTCATTACAGGGAATTTGATGGTTATTATATTTGTGAGTTACTTTGGATCCAAACTACACAGACCAAAGTTGATTGGAATTGGATGTTTCATCATGGGCCTTGGAAGCATTATAACTGCTATGCCACATTTCTTCATGGGATAGTAAGTATGGGACATATGTGCCTTTCTCACTGACTTGTAACTTAATGAGAAATGTAGAGAACTCCATACATGCACACAATGAAATACAGTCACACAAACTCACATTTTCCCCCAACTCTTTCCACATCCCCACATACGTCCTGTGTGTCTCCTTACTCATCCTAATGCTTCACCTCATTCTCTTTTTAAGTTTTCTTTTATAATCTTCTAAGTCCAATTAGTACAATGGCATAGGGCCTTCCACTGAAGCATCATCAAACTACTAATGACCACAATCTCAAAGTGGAATAATTCTCTCTTCCCCAGAAGCTATCAACTGCTGCTATCTCCCCAGTAACAGCTGGGGACTGAAGGTCATTTACCCTATCCATGAAGGAATTTTAATCAGCTGAGTAGAGACTGATTGCTCAGTCCTTAAAAGGACTTAAGAGTGAACAGTGGGTGCTGAGATACCAGGACTCATTTCACACAGACACAGACACACGCAGACACACACACACACACACACACACACACACACACACACACAGAGAAATTATTTAATCTCTGTCACACTTGACATTTACACTTGTCACCACACTTTCCCCTTTCTAATTTTCATCCTCTTACTCTTTCAGCTCATTTGTCTATGTGCGGCCACCTCATCACACCTATACCTTAGTTTCTTGTCTAGTACCAAAATGTCCACATCTCTGTTGCTTCATATTCTGTCTAAATCCCTGTAATAATTCATATAACATATATGCTTTAAATCCAGTCATTACTACCATTGAGTAACTATTCCTAACATTTAGTGTCTACTTATCTGTTTACCATGTTTGTATCTCCACTGGGCATTCCAAAGGCTTTTCTATCCAAGTATCACAATCTGAGCTCTCTATTTTTTTTTTTGCCTACACCTTGCTCATTTTCATATCTGTTTACTCAGTCACTGTACTTACAACTGCAAAGGAATTCAGGTCAAACTCAAGGGCTTCATCCTAAGATCTAGATGTACTGCAATATGGATAACCAGCAGTCTCCAAGATCTTAATAATTTTACATTCTTTTGTCAACGTGGGCGTCAATGTCTTTATCTTAGCTGAAGCCAATAATCTGGAGGCCTTGCCTTCAGTTTCAGTTCTATTACTTTGTAAAGACTTATGTAATATTTTTATTTCATGTGCATAAGTGTTTTGCTTCTGCATATGCATGTGCACATGGGCTTGTGGACAACAGGAGGAGGCACTAGAGCCTCTGGAACTGGGCTTATAGGGAGGGGGGAACCTGCTGATGTGGGTGCTGGAAACCCAACTGGGATCCTCGGGAAGAACCATCAGTGTTCTTCACGGCTGAGCCATCTCTTCAGCCCCGCAGCTCTACTTTAATTCACATTCTATACAAAAACATACACTTATTAAACACAAATCCAATTTTCCTAATTTAAGCAAAGCTTAAAACTCTCAGTGTTTTAGAACAGATTTTCAAACTTCAGATCCTAGTTTATCAGTAAACCAAAAAAAAAAAACACTCAGGTTATTGAGACCACCATGTATTGCTAGATAGACTTGAGCAATATAAGGCATACGCAGGGACACATTCTGTCCTTCAAAGCATCACTCAAGATATACAGATATTTGTGAGTGTGCATTTATATGGTAGTAGGAACACAAAATACAATGATTATAGGCAACAATAAAAAACACCGAAAGCTCTCACCTGTATGTTTAATCATATCTAAACTTGCATGTCAATCCATGCTGTTCACTGACTGGGTCTTTACCGTCCTAGACTCACTTTCCACTGTTCCCCACAATTGCCAAGCAATTGACAAAACTGCAGTTCTCTGCATGTGAAAATATTTTATATGCAGTGGTTCTACAGCCTTGTATGCTATCCTTTGGAGTCTATCTCTTAAACTCTTTCTCAGCACTAAGTTTCATCTCACATGTTCTATACAGGGTGGAGTCTAGAAATATCCACCCTATTCCCAACCTTCAAACAAAACTAATGATCTACTTTTCCTTTATGATAGCTCAGGACCTTGGATACTGAAATTACTCGTTAGGGAGGATGAAAATCCTTGCATATGCATTTTGATTCTAGTCTTATACTGGAGTAGAGCGCTTGACCTACACTGGGCTATCCAGCGTAGAGGTACAGGATACATAAGTATTTCTTGAATTACAGCATGTTCCACAATTCTGACTCCATGCTCTTTGTTGCTATTAAATACTTCCTGGCCCAGCTGAAATGAATTAAATTTTATTAAAGTTTCAGAGTAGATGTTTAGCTCATGGATACATGTAAATCCATAAAAGAAAATCGCATGTATTGATAGAAAAGATTGATGGATTATCATGCACTGAAGACTTATGTAAGAACATGGCTCTCTAGCCTACTAAATGTAATTCAGAGGAAGTTTATATTACTGTCATCTTTAAAGATAATTCAGAAACATTACTACTCTTAGCAGTTTAAAAAACAGAGTGGGGAATCCAGGATTTTTCCCATTACAACCAAGGTATTCTCTGTCCTAGGCTGGCATCAAAATGGTCATTCACCTTGCCTGAGTGACAATGAAGGGCCTTACTTACTGGGCCTTGGGCCTCCCCCCATTTTAATGTTAATGACCATTTCTCCGAAAATTGAGGCTGGAAAGTTATCAGTGAGTTCTCATTAATGTGTGGAAGATAAATATGCAATTAAGATGAAAATAGTTTCTTAGGAAAGTGGAAAATACTTGGTAAATAAAACGTCAACTCCAGTGGTGCCTCTATAGTTACAGGTTCTCATCAGAGGATGATATCAACTCTCTAAGAAACACCACATGGAAATGTTTAGCAAATCAAACTACATCACTCACTGGAAACTCACCTGAGATAATGGGGAAAGGTAAGAAATAATAGTAACAGTGAATAACATTTGAAACCATATATATATGAAACCATATATATGTATATATGTGTGTGTACATATACATATATATGCACACACAAATATGTATGTATGTATACATACATATGCACACATATATTCTATACAAATTCCTATCAAATATATCAGTGTAAAAATTGATTAAAAACAAAAAACGATTTAATTGACCTGGACATACAGACATAATCATAGCGTGAACATGTAATTTGAAATGAGCCTTTAGAAGTATCAGAGGAGTAGCTAAGAACTGTTTTATATAGATATTGGGAAAGAACATTTGCAGCGAAAATAAAGCCTCAAGGATTGACTGCATAAATGTTTGTATTCCCAGAATGCAGTTGTACCAGGCAGACTGTGGCTCTGAGGTAAACCTGAGCCATATAGTATGACCCTGTCTCAACAAACACTTCAAGCAAGAAAGCATGAGTATGTAAACAAGGGAGAAGTGATTCATGACTAGATAATTACTCCAATTGAAGATTTTTCAGAGTATTGTAATAAGATGATATATATGTATATATATATCACTCTCTCTGCAAGACTACATATATGTATGTATATATATATACATATATATATCACTCTAGACCATTCTACCTATTATATCAGATATGGAAAAATCAAAGCTAAAAGAAATGAGAAGTTAATTCTTTTTCAATTTTTGTATTGTTGAGATGTGTAAATTCATCACTTTTGTGAATTATAATTATTTATATTCTTAAATACTTATTTATAATGATATCCAAGACATCTCTTTGTGACAGAAGGAACAATTTGAAGTATTTTATAATTATAAATATGAAATTAGGGATTGAAAAGTTGGCTCAGCCATTAAGAGCTCTGGTTCAATTCCTAGAAGCTGCATGGCATCTCACAATCAAGTATAACTCCTGTGCCAGGGGATACAACACCTTCTTCTGGTCTTTGAGGGTGCTGCATGAATGTGGTGCTCATACACGCATGTAGGCAAAATATTCATGTGTGTGTGTGTGTGTGTGTGTGTGTGTATAACATTGTTAAAATTTTGACACAAAGCACAACAAAGTGAAAATAAACAGATAAACAGGGAAGTTGTCCTAGCACAGTGCTAGGTATAAAAGTGATATGTACAAACTAGATACGTAATTCTATATTATATATATGAAATGCGTATATTTTGTGTATGCCCAAAATATGGAGCATGAATTGTTATTAACATTACATGATTTTCTTCGTGCAGAGAGATTTCAAGTAGTGCTTGCTTTCTGTATATTTTTCTTTATTTACTTTGCATCTTTTTGTATTGTAAAACATTGCAGACTGAGTAGGAGTCAATTAAAATTTTAGAAAGAAAGAAAGCACAAGTGACTGCTATATCCAAGGAACAATTAATAGTCTGACTTTGTGGAGTTCCTAGTATTGGTGCTGTAATTGATGTTTAAAATAAACATGTATTTTGTCTACACAGATTGTGAAAAGGTATCCAAGTCAAACATGTGGATTTATGTGTTGATGGGGAACATGATTCGTGGAATAGGGGAAACACCAATAGTGCCCCTAGGAGTTTCCTATATTGATGACTTTGCAACAGAAGGGCACTCTTCTATGTATTTAGGTAATGTACAGAACATAAGAGTTCATTCCTTAATTTCCCTAAGTCTAACTTTGAAATGGTAGCACACTAAGTCAATTTTTTCAATTCTTTTCTCTTCCTCTAAAAGAGCATCCAGTGCTCTTCACCATTGAGCCATCTTCCCAGTTCCCTGAATAAATCAATATACCTAAAATATTTGGAGAAAGGCATTATGTAGGATTAGATTTTAAAACCTCATGTATAAAAACAAATACAAATTCAAGGTGAGCAAAATCCCAGTATGGAGACATGAGGTGAGCAAAGTTTCTTCCCTAGCTAAGGAACTATTGCAGTTGTTAGGTATAGGAAGAGTGAGAATATGTTTTCTTTAACATTTTGGTCTGAGATGGATTGACCATGGTCTGATGAAGGCCACACCCATGAACATACAGGGGCACAAGCTATGTTTGGTGAAATTTACCAAAGGAAAAGGCACAAATTTGGATGGGTAAGGAAGTGGGGATGGCACTGTCTTGAGTGAACATGATCATTTTTGGGTGATAAAAAAATCACTACTTGTACTTGGACTCTGACTGAATGATTTGGAACTGTTTGCAGGTATTTTGAATACAGTAGCAATGATTGGTCCAGTCATTGGCTTTATCATGTCATCTATGTTTGCTCGGATGTATGTAGACATTGGATACGTAGACCTGAGTAAGTAGAATCAATAAGCAGACCAGAAGAGTGTCTTTCAAATACCAGCCACCATGCTTCCAAGAAACTGTTTAACTCTTTCAATAGTTCCTTGATTTTGTGTTTTAGAAATTGTAAGTGTAGAGGATATATTTATATTTAAAACAAAGTGTATCCCTTGCCAAGCTTTTGCAAGTCAGTATAAAATGGAATATTTGGAACAATCCTACTTTAGATAACTTGGTGCAAAACAAACTGGTTGCACAGTCAAACCAGGTAAACTTTGTGGTAGATTGGGTTTAGAAACACAGGAATCACAGATTAAAGCTTCAGGAAGATACTGTGTGGTTGGGATTTGACGGATATTTGGAGGGTGCTTGGCACCTCCGTCATGTATCTTTGCTCTCCCTGGTCTGGAAATAGGATTTGGCATATGGTCCCCTTCAATTAAAGGATGAAGGAATGCACACTATGTGATCCCAATGGCCATTATCTGCCATCAAAGCAAGCGTTCCTTCATAATTCAGAGAAACTGGCCAAAGTATAGAAACTCAACTTAAAACCCTCCTTCCGATAAATATCACATCTATCTTCTTCTCATAGCTCGTTCCCCCCTAAAAGTCAATAAAGATTATATCTACCTTCAGCTCATATTTATAGATCCACCCTAGTATTTCATTTCTCCACCCTGCATCTTCAAGATCTTGTTCCATAATCTTTAGACCCCCTCCCTGTCTATTTTCAACCTTCTACCTCCAATCTGTATTTATCACAAAATGCTCTCCATTCTGTGCAGTCATTTACATACATGCTGTTTTTCTGTCCTCGAACAACTTTGAAGCTGGTTTTCTGTTTAACTTTCCCTTCATAGTCAAGATCTTGAAAAAGAAAAATCTGATTTTGGAAGATTTCTCACTTCTCCCCACCCCCATCCACTTCTCAGATGTAATCTGATTTCTCTGTCTCATGAGACAGAATCAACTAACATTTTTTCCACTTTTTCTACTTTTATACATCTAAATAAACACTTAAAATTCAACCTGGCAAATACTGTGCTCAAAACTCATTCTTAAATCTTATATTGTTTCTGCTACTCCATCTCTATATGAATATCTTAACCTTAATTGTGTTATTCACTGAATCATCAGATAATCTTCCTTTCCTCTTGGCCTGACTCCAGTGTTGGCCATTTTCATTTGTCACACTTCCAGAATAATTCTTCTAAGCAAATCTGGTCCATGCCTGTAGACCTATAGTGATTTCAAACCAGACATTGGTACAACATCCGGGCTCTTCAGAACTGGACAGATGGCTCTTTGTTATCATATTTATCTTTATATGTGGACTCTCTTTCTTCCTCTACACTCTTTTCTCATTGATACTCTGTGAAGTAACCATGACTACTATTTATGGGACTCCCAAAAGACCCTCTCATCTCACATTCCTGAATCTTCCAGTGGAAAGTTCTGCTCCACTTTCCATTAGTGTAGTCCTGAAAGTCTCATCCAGGATATCACTCCTCTTCAGAGATGCCCTCATCACAGCTCCCTGCTGGCTGAGGGCCCACCAAATGTATTATAATCTCTTTAGACATGAGAGGAGGGAATCCGTCTGAACATTTAAGTGTTTGCTGCATAAATAAATCTGGTTTCTATCTCATCAGAACTCTAAAGACTTCAAAGGATTTATTTCCAAATTAGAGTTAATATCACAGTAGCTCAAGAGAGGGCACAACCTCTCACTTTTTTTGAATAAAAATACCCTTAGTAAAAACATTTCTTACTCACTTCTAAGTTCATCCTTGTTATAAAAACTCATATAGAGCTGGGGAAAATTCTTATGGTGATAGTTGAAAATTTTTCTGCTACATTTAGAAATTATCTGTATTGTATTGGGTCCTGCTGAATTCTCTGGTCTGTACCTAAGAGAGGGAGAATGGATTAAGTAAAGAAACAGGCTAGAGACAGAAGATAGAATCAGGAGGGCATCCTATACTGGGATTCACCTTAAGTTTATTGCTCAAAATTCTCATACACTCCACCCAAAAAGGAGGAAATGGCAAAAGACTTCTTTACCATGATACAAGGAACAAACAGACTTAATTACATTCTTAATGCTCTAAACATTTAGTAAGCACACCTTAGATCAAACCTCTTGTTATCTGGCCTTGAGAATTAAGACATCTAGTAACCTTAGATCAAGTACTCTGTTATCTAGGTAAGACATCTACACCCTAGGCCAAACATCCTTCAGTAGCCACACCTTAGAACTTTCAGAGGCAGGGCGATTTCTGTGAGTTTGAGGCCAGCATGGTCTACAGAGAGAGTTCCAGGACAGCCCTGTCTCGAAAAACAAAACAAAACAAAGAAAGAAAGGAAGGAAGAAAGAATGAAACTGGGAATCACCAACCAACTGTTGTCATAATCTCTTTCCCTTCTTAGTCTGTAGAATGATGACATCAGAGGATCAAGAATATAGTTTCAGCAGATCTCACTAGAAATAATTGGGGGTGAGGACTCCGTAGCCTCAATGCCATCATGTCTGGCATTCTTCTGCTCTACACATCACACCAAGTTTTCAGGCAGCCATGGAGCTTCATTTTTTTCCTGTGAAAAACCACAAACATACCCTTAATCCCATATGAAAACAGGATTGGCCCTTTCCCATAATCCAGTGCAAGGATCTTACCATTTGACTTGCTGTTCAAGTGCCATCATGCCAGAATCAATTCACAGCAGATTGCTCACAGTCATCCACATTCAGAAATTTTGAAATGAAGACAGCATTATGTAATACATTGTGTGGAGCCTGGGGATGTGATTCCCCCTTGTTTATTTTTAATGTTGTTTCTTGTCCTTAAGGGTTATAAGGTTGTATGCCTGTTTTATGTTCAATTGTCCATTGGGAACAAAAATGCTGAAATGCTTTACTAATATGTCTGGATTCATTATCTGTTTTTTATAACTTTAGGAATTCCCATATATGAAAAACATCTTAAACCATGAGTTACTACACGCTTAGTGGCTTCTCCAGTTTGTGCAGTGGCATTCAGAATCCTGAATATGTATTGACTGCCACATGCACACATTTTAATTTGTCAAGTTCTTTAACTTGAGTAATATCCATTTGCCATACATGATTAGAAAGCAGGCAATAAGTACATCAACAATGTCTAGTCCATTAACATTTAACAAATTCAGAGATAATACTCCATATCCTTTCTTGATGAGTCCAAAGTCTTATACCTAATTCATTTTCTATTCTAATTTGCATTATCAAATCACCTTTTAATGTCTTTCAAATCTATTACACTTAACACATCTTTATTGAGTTTCTTTACTGAATTTGGTAAACTAGACCAACTATAACTATACTATCTAGTCTTCAACTCCCTCAGAGACCTGATAAGAAAATAATATTAACTTAATAAACAGGAAGTGCAAGCAAGCCACTTCCAAAAAATGTGAGAAATGACAGAAACATCTTGCTGCCTGGACAGACAACCAAGGTTGCTTTACAATGTTGGGGTATCCATCTTTGGCCTATAGGCTTAGCATATATCTGACAGACATTTCTGTGAACTACAATATTCTGAAGAACTAGACTGCCTTGTCTTTTCAAGATTTGCAGTCACCCTTTTTGGTGTCCTGTTTGTCCAATTTGGACAGCATACTGTCAGCAGTTGAGGCAAGGGCACTTTCTTATCCAGTGTCTTAAATTCCATGTGGAGTTTCTTTGATGCCCATCATTGTCTCTGACATATAGTTGTACTGTGAAGAGCAGACATGTCACATTGTCATAAAAAAGAACTTATGTTATTAATACATGTTAAATGCCTTATTCTGTAGATCTCTGAAGTGTTTGAAGATGACTTGTTTTTCTAAAATATCTTTCTGGCCTTGTAAAAATACCTAATATAACTACAAGTTCAATTGTAATAGTTGACTAATTACCAAACTGTATTTCCTTATTTTTTTTTTTGGTTTTACGAGACAGGGTTTCTCTGTATTGTTTTTGAGGCTGTCTGTCCAGCCTGGCCTCGAACTCACAGAAATCTGCCTGCCTTTGCCTCCCGAGTCCTCGGATTAAAGGCGTGCACCACCACCGCCTGGCTATATTTCCTTATTATACCATATAGTTGATAATAATAATTTTCAAGGACTAGAGATATGCAATGCATTGTTGACTGAGCTGTGTGGTAATATTTTGTTTATGGTTTACTAAAGCTTGCCTTAAGATTCAGAAAGCAAAGTCAGTCACAGCTCATAGAAGTCAGGCACACCTTTAAACCCAGCAGTCAGAAGTTAGGAGGGACATTTTTCCCTATCTTTTTCTTGTAAAGGTATAGTGAATAAACAATCTTTTAAGTCAATAACTATAATAGGTAATTATTTAGGTAATAGAGAAGGCAATGACATTACAGGCTATAGAGAGCCCATTGGCTGAATTACTTCATTATTGACTCTCAAGTCTATAAGCATTCTCTATTTTCCTGATTTATTTTTTTACTAGCAAATATAGAAATCCAAGGGTGAGTTGATTCTTCAATATGTCCAGAATTTAGCTGTTCCTGAACCAGCAGTTCTAGAGCCTCTAGCTTCTCTGAAGCCATAGACCATTGACTTACATTGACAGGATTGCCATTTAACTACTTTAAAGGTAGGGCTTTTGGTCCCTCTATGAGTTTGACACTTGTTTTATTCTGTTTTTGTGTGGCCTGGATGTTTGGTGTCTGTTTTATATAGTTTCTTAGAACATTTTCCCCATAAACATAAGTTTGTTTATGGTTCATTTTTGATACTGGAGGACTGTTAATCTGGTTATTTCATTGCTGCAACAGATCATGACCCCATAGATTTACTGTTATACTAGCCACATAAGGTCTCAGCTTTCCTTTTTGTCCTATACATTTAACCCATCTCCTGTTTTGTTTTACCTGAGAGAGTATTCCAATCCCTAAGACCTGAACATTTACCTCCTGAAAAGGCCAACTTGGATGTCAAGATTCTGGAGTGATAACGGTGATGTCTTTACCTATGTCCAGTAATCCTTCTAGTATAACATTATTTGTGCTCTTAGTTTTGGTCTTTGGTGATTTATAGAAGTCTGAGTGCCCATCCCACAATCTCAGCCTGGACTCTTGTGGGAGGGCCTAGGCCCTGCCTTGGATGAAGGGACAGACTCTGGAGATCCACTATGGAGGGCCTCCCCTGGGGATTGGAGTAGAGATTGTGTGGGGGACTGGGGGGCCTGGTGGGGAGGGTGGGGAAGGAGGGGAGGGAGAGGGAGCTGGGATTGACATGTGGAACAAGCTTGTTTCTAACTTAAATTTAAAAAGGGGGAAAAAGAATTCTGCCAAAATATATGTTTCGGTTTCTTCCGTGAATATGTTATTCATCCTCCAAAGCTATTCTATCATTCAGAGCAGCATGAGTTTTTACAATAGGCACTGAATTTCTTAATTGTTCTGAGGAGGATTGTCCTCTACAGTAACTGGGAATGACTGGACCAATTTCAACTTGGGGGCCTTAAAGAGTCCCCCTAAGGAGTTTCCCGAGGATAAAGGGTTGCCTTGTTTGTCTCTTGTCTATTACATTTGTTGATCCAATGTATAATCCAGAATACCGAAGACTTCTATTTGGATTACTCCCAAAAGAAGGATTAATTTTAGGAATGCCTTGTCTAAAATTTCTTCTCAGATGGCCTATTCTACCACAACTAAAATATTTAGTATTTTGATGTTTCCGCATACCTTTGGAGATTGCTTCTATCCAAGCCTCAGTGTTATAGTAAAACAACTCAGCAACCTTGACTTTACTCAACACACATTCATTAGTTATATCCAAGTGCTAACACATTTCATCTTTTTTCATCTTGCTGTGTCCACCATTTCTGTGCCTCATGCTGTGTCATCTGCCAGGCCCCAACATTGGGTGGCATCTATGAGTTGTCTAGGGAAACTGTGATTAATACTTTCCTTAAGAATTTCACTAAGGAGCTCAAGATCCCCTATAGACAATCTAAAATATTATTGTAGCCACTGAATATCTTGAGATAATTTTTGAAAAAATCATTTAAAGCTTGTAAGCTATCTTTCCTTTAAATCTAAAATAATGTAATATATCCTGTGACAGAAGGACAGGCATTAATTAATTAAATTAAGTAGGAGAAATTGTTAGTTTCATAGAGGTGGTTCCATTCCATACTGATTTAAGGTCAGAGAGTTAAAAACTGTCCTCGTTCTTTCAAGGACAATGGTCTAAGACTGAAAGGACTAAGGTATGGCTACTGAAGGATGTTTGGCCTAATGTATGGATGTCTTACCTAGATAACTGAGTACTTGATCTAAAGCTACTATAACACCTTATTTTTGATGAAGAAGTTAAAATGGTACAAAGGAAAAAGGAAAAGCTCGTTGACAAATAGTGCTGGCATAACTGGATTTTAACGTGCATATGTATCATCATGCACAAAAGTCAAATCTAAGGCCCTGAACATAAATCTAGTGCCATTGACTCTATCAGATTCTATCAGAATAGTAACTGGAAAGTAGACTGGAATGCATTGGAACAGGAGGTTGCTTCTTAAATATAACACTAGTAGCACAGACACTGAAAGCAGCAATCAATAAATGGGACCTCCTGAAACTGAAAACCTTCTGTAAGGCAAAGGACACTGTCAATAAGACAAAATGTCAGCCTACAGAACAGGAAAAGATCCTCACCAACCCTACATTTGACAGAGAACAAATCTCTAAAATTTATCAAGAACTCGAGAAAGTACACATCAAAATACAAAATAACCCAATTGGAAGAATTCTTACCAGAAGAATCTCAAATGGTCAAAAGACATTTAATGAAGTACTGAACATCCTTAATCATCAGGGAAATGCAAATCAAAATGACTTTGAGATACCATCTTACATCTGTCATAATGGCTAATATCAAAAATACTGAGAAAAGCTTATGTTGGAAAGGATGTGGGGTTATGGGAACACTCTTCCACTACTGGTGGGAATGCAAACTTGTAGAGCCATTTTGGAAATCAGTATGGTGGTTTCTAAGAATATTGGGAATCAGCCTACCTCAAAACCCAGTGATACCACTCTTGGGAAAGTTACTAGATGTCTTAATCCTCAAGGCCAGATAATAAGAGGTTTAATCTAAGGTGTGGATACTAAATGTTTGGAAAATTAAGGAAGTAAGTAAGTCTGTTTGTTCCTTGTATCATGGTAAAAAGTCGTTTGCCTCCTCCCCTTTTGGTTGGGGTATGTAAGCATTTTGAGCAATAAACTTAAGGTGGTTCCCAGTATTCACTGGGATGCCCTCCTGACTGTTTCTTTCCTCAATCCACATTCCCCTTAGTATCAACTGCACAAGTCATCAGGCCACAACAGATATCCCTCAACATGGGAGACCGACAGTATTGTATTAGAATTCTTGGGAAATAAATGGCTATAAATGAATAATCAGATTTCTGTAGCTCCTTTCAGTAATGAGTGAAATAAATTGTACAGGTTTTTGCCTCTGTGGTTAACTCTTAATGCACTAAAAGTGAGACTGTTTTGATAATTTTGTTTTCTGATAGTTCTTTAGTAGCTTTTTTTTTCTGTAACTTTGTGTATAATAACTTCACAAGGAAAATGATACCGCAGCCAGTGTCACCAAGAGTATTGTTGTTTTTTCGTGTCTGTGCCAGTGTAGTGCTGGTCATGTTGAATGAGTCTGGGAATGTCTCCTCATGAGTATATGAAAGATTTTGGAAAGAACTAGAGTTAAGTCTTTCTGAGAGCTAGAGTCCTCCAGTGGATCCTTCTGTCCCTAGGCTTTTCTCTACACCCCATACCTTTCCTCTTCTCACTAGCCACATACATGTTCAGAGTTTCCATCAACTCATGATCCAGCTTTTGCTGGTTGTATGTCTTTTGGAATTTCCTCATCTTTTAATAACATCAATAGTGGTGATTTGAAGGTAAATGGCTCCCATAGGCCCATATAGGGAGTGGCACTTTTGGGTGGTGTGGCCTTGTTAGAGTAGATGTAGCTTTGTTGAAGGAAGTACACCAGTAAGGGGTGGGCCCTGAGGTCCCAGAAACTCAAAAACAGGCCTAGTGGCTCACAGTCATTCTCCCTGCTGCCTGCTGATCAGGATGCAGCACTCTCAGCTCCCCCAGCACCATGTGTGGGTGCATGCTGCCATGCTTCCCACCACCATGATAACGGTCTAAACTTCAGGAACTGCCAGCCAGCCCCAGTGACATTCTTTTTTTTAAAAGTAAGAGGTTCTGTGCTTGTGGTGTCTCTTTACAGCAATAAAGCCCTAACTATCAACCGACTGACATTTGTCATTCACAGGGATGTTGGCTGTGATAACTAGCACTAATATGTCACTCCTGTTCATCACTGCACAGAAGTACAATTGATGTAATGTGGATAAATGATGCCTCGTGTTTATAGTCCATCTTCTCTGGGTTCCTTTGCGTCTCAGATTTTTCACTGTTTTACATTCTCCTCGTTGTCAGTAGGGCTGCTTATGTAGCAGCTGGAAATAACAGAGTGGAGCCTTACCATTCCTTGGAAACAATGTTAAGCTTCTCTCTGGTCCTATCCAGATCTCAGCAGATGGCACCAACATCTGTCTTCAGATGATGATGATGTGTATTCATGCCCTGCCTTTGTTTTCAAGTCATCTCTGAGATTAAATACTTATTTCTCCAATTACAACTGAGTCTGCATTGTGGCAAGCTGTAATACTTTGGCGGGTTCCTTGCAACAGAAATTGTGAGATGTCTTCAAAAGGTTCTAAGTTGAAAAAATTCTAAAATGAGAAGATTTTATTTTAAGACTTATGAGATAGAGTTTGTTTTCTTCATATGTGGATTCCAGTAGTCATCATCAGTCTTGTCTTTTACGATGATTTGTGACTGTCCTGTTCTGATTTTTAATTCCAGGAACTATCCGAATAACACCTATGGATGCGCGTTGGGTTGGTGCCTGGTGGCTCAATTTCCTTGTTTCTGGACTATGTTCCATTATTTCTTCTATACCCTTCTTTTTTCTACCCAAAATTCTAAACACATCACAGAGAGAAAGGAAAAGTTCAGCATCTCTGAATGTACTTAAGACCGATGAAGAAAAGAATCACATGACTAATTTGACCAAACAGGAGAAAAAAGCCCCTGTCAACATGACCGGTAAGGATTTCACAGTCAATGTGAAGATGTTAATCCCACTGAAAACTATGACTATTTCAAAACAATGTGTCCAAATCACCTATATCACTTTTTTTCTGCACTAAACTTTCCTTAATACATTCTAAATTTCCTATTAAAATTAGTATTTCCTGACTTAGTCATTTTTCTATTGCTATGAATAGAAACCATGACAAATGCAACTTATAAAAGCAAGAATTTAATTTGGGGGCTCATGGTTCCAGAGGGATAGAGTCCATGACCATCATGACAGGGAGGAAGGCAGCAGGTAGTCAGGCATGGCTTTATGACAGTAGCTAAGAACTTACATCTTGATTCACAAGCATCAAACAAAGAGAGACATAGAGAAAGCTAACTGGGAGTGCCTGGGCCTTGGAAAACTCACAGCCCACGCCAGGTGATGCACCTGTGTCAACAAGGTCATGCCCTCTATCCTTCCAAAACAGTCCCACCAATTGTAAAGGAAAAGTTGCCACAAGAACCTGTAGAGGCCATTGTCGTTCAAACCGTCACGTTCCTGATTATGTACAAACTGAATAGATTATATTTGTGACTTTCAGCATGGAGAAAATAAGGTTAGAGAGGTGACCCAGTCCCCAGAAGCTTTTGCTGGGCAAGCATAAGGACCTGAGCTAGAACCCCCAGCATGCACGTAAAGAGCCAAGTGTGTCTGGGTGCGCCTATAAGCCCATCGTCACAGGGGCAGGGTGGAACCAACAAAACTGCTCAGGCTCCTGGACCTTTATCCTAGAGTCAGTTTAGTGAGAGGCCTTTCCTCAAAGGAATAAGGTGAGAAGTGACAGAGAAGGACACTCACTCATTGTTCTCCTCTGGTCTCCCTGAGCACAGAGCAGACATCAGTCATGTCAACCTTTGTGCAGGTGTGTGTGTGTGTGTGTGTGTGTGTGCGTGCATGTACACACATGTATACTCATATAACACACAGGCACATACCAAATAAATAAAAGCAATCACATAAACAGCTATGCTTATTATTACTTTGTTGTTTGTTTGCTTTGAGTTTGAGATAGGGTTTCTCTGTGTAACATCCCTGACTGTCCTGGAACTTGCTCTGTAGACCAGAGTGGTCTTGGACTCTCAAAGATCCACCTGCCTCTGCTTCCTGAATGCTGGGATTAAAGGCGTGCATAAGAAGGTATATATTTCTTTCAAATGTTTTAAAACAAGAAGGTATGTATTTCTTTCAAATGATCTACCTACCTATCTATCTATCTATCTAAACATGAAAAGTAGAAGACTCAGAGAATATTTGGATTCAAACTTCAAGCTGAATATCAGAAAAGCAAAGCATCCCACCACTAACTCTCGCCTCTAGCTCAAGCTGAAAGGGCTGATCCATTCATGAGCTCTTCATCAAGTCTCAAACTGCTGCTTATCTTCAGTGTGGCTGGAGAATGAATGCGTCTCTGAGACCTTGCTTATATCTTATATGCTTCTCTAATGTTGGGATTACAGGTGTGGACTATAATTCTCTTTTAGACTGATTCACTCTTATGTAGATCTGGGTACATTGGACTCACAGAGATCTGTCTGTCTCTTAATCCTGAGCCCTAGGATTAAAGGTGTGTACTACCACCTCCTAGCTTCTGGCTACTGGGATTAAAGGTGTATTCCTGGCTTCTATGGTTTGTTGCTGACTTTGCTTTCTGAATCCTCTGGCAAGCTTTAATAAATCATAAACAATATATCACTATACATAAATGCATACATACATATGGATCAAATTCCAGGGCATGCATTGCACTAGTTAAATATCCTTACACTGGAATATATATATGTATATATATATGTATGTATAAAACTTCACTTCAAAATTTAGTATAGAACATCAGTGAGTGTTTAAAGTGTTAAAATATTTAAATCCTTCATTCATTTCACAAACCACACCAATCCTTTGTTGGTATATCTGTGAGGGATTGTTGAGGGTTAACTGAGATGGGAGGATCCCCTCCTAAATGAGGACAGCTCTATTCAACAGGCTAGGGTTTTAACCTGAATAAAAAAGAGAAAGAAAGCTGAGCATGCCTATCTATGGTTCCTGATTTTGGGTGCAGTATGATGAGCTACTCCAACTCTTATCATTATGGCTACCCCATGGTGATGTTGTGTTCCCTTAAACCGAGAGCCCCAATACACCCTTTCTATCTTGATTTACTTTTGTCAGGGTATTTTGTCACAATACCAACACAAGTACCTGTGACAAAAACATAACCCTTTGGCAACCTTTTCAAGTTGATGTTGGAATTAAAGAACAGTTCTCAGATGCGTTCCAAGACTTTCCTCTTCTTAGTCCTTTCACTTCTACTTCTGATTGCTTTCTTCTTGCCATCAGTCCAGTCCAAGAGCAGTTCTGTGCTTGATCCAACTCTTTCGATTAGTTTATAATAGAGGATCAAGATTAGTGGCTTGATACTGGCCATGACATGAGAATTGTCACCATTTTTTAACTATGAAAATTGGGAAATACTAGAGAACCAAGTGTGATTGGTTTTCCAAGAGTAAGTTGTTAGAAAACAAAAATAATGGTGTCGTTTTGTTGTTATTTAAGGTAATAGAACTTAATTCAGGTTTTTGTGTATGCTAGATAAGGGTTCTACAGCCCCAGGATTTTGAAAATTAGCATAGACATTAAAAACAGCATGTTGGGGGGGATGCTGAGATAGCTCAGTGATTAAGAGCACTTGCTGCTCTGGCAGAGGTCCCAAGATAGCTTCTCAGCACCCTCATTCTGGTTCATAACTGTCTGTAACTCTAGTTCAAGGTGCTCCAATTCCCTTTCATACATCAACACATATATTTACACATATGCAAAAATGTTTTTTTTCTTTAAAGTATATCAAGAAATGTTAAACCAGGTGTAGCGACTCATGGCTCAAATCCCAGCATATGGAGGGCATAGGTGAGTTTCTTAATGCTCCTGTGTTGATGTGGCCAGGCAATCATCGTTATCCTCTATGCCTTGTTCTTTTACTCTATGGTATGTGGCATCAGTGCTACCATATTTACAGAGGCGATGTCTTATCGGAAAAGCTGCATTCCAGGGAACAAAGTGTTGAAATCCTCATAGTAAGTTTTTGCTTACAAATTTTGAGCATCAGTGTTCGTTCATATTCCCTGTGGTCACAGATTACTTAAGGTCCTGTTTAACAAATTGCTTCTATGAAAATCACATTATTATGTGTTGACAAATAGGAAACATCACATGAAAGATACATATTTCAGAATAGCTCCTGGTACCCAATTCAAAACCAAGTATTCGTTTGAATGAACAGGTAATTAGTTGGATTGATAGATGTGAAAGACTAAGAGTGTGAAGAGCTGCCAAATGTCCATTAGACAAAGCGAATCACAACACAGAAGAGACAAAAAAATCAGTTTTGACAGAAAAAAATTTAAGGAATACATGATGTGAATATGAAAATTATTGAAGAAATATATTCACAAATCTGTTTAGAGCAAGTCTTAAGAGTACTCTCTAACTTCCTGTTCTATGTATTTGTAATTTTAAATCACACATATAATAAGTAGATTGGGCATGGAAGTAATGTTTTGTGGAAATATTAAGCCACACAAAATAGGGATGTCCTATGATATGTTATTGAGGGAGAAATCACTTACGTGAGAAGCCAAGAGAGCCAAGAACCAAAGGTCTGGATGCTGCTCTCCAGGCCACAACAGGATCTGCAAGAGGAAAAGTCACCCCCTTCCCAGCTCTTTCTTTTATCCAGTGTGTTCTAAGCACCTGTGAACACACCCAAGCAGACATGGTCAGCCCTACAGGTGCGTAGATCTCTCGCAACAATGTTGAAATTGTACTCCAATTTTTTTCCCACTCTTGTTATTTCAAGGTTTCCTGTGTTCTATGAAAAGCATCCTCACCAACAAGCTGTATGTTTTGTTCGTGGTACTGACGCTGCTGCAAATCAGCAGCTTTATCGGAGCCTTCACTTACGTCTTCAAGTTCGTAGAGCAACAGTTTAGCAAGTCGGCGTCCCAGTCCACCTTCACGCTGGGTAAGACGGGCGCTTTCCTGGTTTGTCTCATAGGTTATGTGGAAGCTGATCATAGGACTGCTCCATGGTGGAGTTAAGCATAGAGGTTTTCATCCGGGATATGGGAAAGGACAGCCAGAGGCATCTGGAAGAGTTTAGAGGAGAGAGAGACAAAGAAGCAGACTGAACACGGCCAGGTGACTGGACATTGCCGGAGCTGTCTCAGAAATGCCAGGGCATAAAGAACACAGGAAACATCGTGAGAGCATCAGAGAGACAGCACAGAGAAAGGAAGAGGAGGGGTGAAGCAGAGGGGGTAAGGATGTATCAAACAACAAGGAGCATGTGTAGCTTGGTGAGGGCAGACCACTCGCCAGAGGAAGTTTATGGTAGGGGACGAGGTGAAAATGACTAGAACTAACTAACTAGCAAGGACTTTTAAATGTGTAAGAGAAGGTTGTGATACTGAGGGAGCATGGAGGCCAATAAGACCTTGGTATCCTAATAAGCACCACATGTGGCCAGCCATATGTCCCTTCTGCCAGTGATAAGGGAAATGGCTCTTCTTCATACAGGGGAACCAGCACAAGTTTCTTTGGAAAGCTGGCTTTTATCTAATCACCAGAAAACCTCCTACAATCCAGGTTGAGCCTATTTCTGGACATTTAGAATGCCTTTTGGAGTTTGGGGAACTAAAGTTCCCTTTGGACCTGACAGGCAGTGCACCACTGAAGCTGACCTCTGGACACCTGTACCCACATCCACCTCACCCACACAGACACAGACACACACAGACACACACAGACACACAGACACACACACACACACACACACACACACACACAAATAATGAAATAACTCCAATCTTTATAAAAAGATTTTAGATGGTGAAGGCTAAATAGTGGGGTTTCTCTCACAAAATTCACTTGTTCAAAGGCAACATCTGACTTCTATTACCAGTAGATGAGGAAAGGAGACATTATTTTTTTTATTTTTCCACATAGGACATGGTCTTCCATCTCCATTCTGATCATTTATTTCTATGTAAGAAACAACAAAATTGAAGGGTTTATATAGATACACTGTGTTTCATATGTAAAGACAACAGGCAAACCTGACTTATATAATGACAACACTTTTCTCTTTTTTTTTACAGGACTTATAAACGTACCTACTATGGCAGTTGGGATGTTTTTAGGAGGATATATCATTAAAAGATTCAAGTGGACCCTGGTTGGAATTGCCAAGTTTGCATTATTCACATCCTTAGTATCCTATGTCTTGCAGCTACTCAATTTTCTTCTACTCTGTGAAAACAATTCATTTGCTGGCCTAACCATGACATATGATGGGTTCGTATACATTATTTTATCAACAGAATATGTTGACTCCACTTGGAAGACCATGTATGAGAAAATAGGACTGAAAACAGCTGCCACTAAAGTTTAGACAATTTGTAAGAATTTAGTTAGCTAAAAAGTAAGTTAATAAGAATTACAATTTTTAAATTCCTCAGTCACTTTTTGAGATCTCGTAAATTCAGTTTTTATTTGTCCTTTAAAGAACAACTAGGTCGTGGTGATCATGGCATTTTTAGACTATTTGCAATGTGTTATGGATACCTTTGTTCCTCATCGAACAGATATATAGCTTATACAGTCAGCAATAGGCATTACCTTACCGGCTCTCTTGGACTCAGATTATCGTTTATATCCCCCAAACTCTTGGTTTTCCCAATGAATCTTGGTTAGGTTGAGAGTGTAGATTTAGGTAACTTTCATAGCCATGGCTGTACAAATTTTACTTAGAGTTCATTTTTAACAAATACTTTTCCAAGAGACCAGTTTCTCACACCAAACTGGATTTTTGTGTTCTATAACTGCCAATACTACTGTCGCCATTGGAATTAGACATTTGGAGATTCCAAGTGTAAGTGAACCTTTGTTTTTCTACTGTTACCGCATAATGGAAAGTGTTCCTGGCACTTTAGATGCCCTAAGGCCAGGACCTAGAGTCTCCTGTGTAGCTTATTACATAACTTTATCTAGCAGCCTGCGTAGGCTCACACACCAGTAACACAGATTTTTCATCAGTTCCCTCTTGGGTAGGTATTTTCAGAGTTGTTACCTTTTTCTTCCTCTCTATCCCTTCCCTTACCCTAAACTCACCCCCCCCCATGCTGCACTGGCTTCCTCGTTTCCTACCCTCCCCCCTTGATGCCCTTCTCTCCTTCCTCCTCTTTCCCTTCTGCAGAACTGTTGCCACTCTTTCTCTACTTCCCCTGTCTTTCTCACCCCATCTCTGTCTCTGTCTGAGATGTCTCTCCTCATATGTCTCCAGAATGAACTCAGTGGACTCTCATTCCATCTCTGCCTCTGTGTGAGATGTCTCTCCTCATGTGTCTCCAGAATGAACTCAGTGGACTCTCATCCCGTCTCTGTCTGAGATGTCTCTCCTCATATGTCCCCAGAATGAACTCGGTGGACTCTCACATAGATGTACCCCTTTCATATTGCAATGCTGACTGCAATTGTGATAAAAATCAATGGGAACCCATCTGTGGGAAAAATGGAGTGACATACATTTCACCTTGTCTGGCAGGATGCAAATTTTCTGGTGGTGATAAGAACCTTAATAGTACAGTGAGTATCAGCATTTATTTTTCTTACCTTCCTTGTACACTATAGATTTCACAGTTACTTATCAAATCTGTCTAGAGCTAACATCTCCATAAAACAATACAAGAATAGGTTCCTATATGATCTTCTGCTGTCAAGGCTGGGAGATTAGCAGATGTCCACATGAAATCTTCCTTGAAACACCATTAAAGTTTTTTGTTCCTTGGATTCTAGTATGAGATCAATTCACTTTCAGTTTTTCATTTTCAAGAGTGAGAACATTGCCTTTTAGAACCTGCATACATTTAGGGTTTCTGAAAGCACTTTTCTGACTCATGCATCTAACTCTTATCTGTGAGAGTTACTTAAACCTCAGACTTTCACGAGACTAACTCTGGGCTCTCTTCCTTTTTGACTCTCTGAGAAGCGGTGCTGGCTTCAGATTTACCTGATTGTCCAAGTCTCCCCTGTCAGTTCTGAATTCCCTCCAAGCTAGTGCTTCTACCCAGACAATCTAATATCATTTCACATATGCCTGGTTTATCCCATATCATGTTACTTTTTCTTTCATTCAAAACATCCCTTTCCTATGAACTACGAGTGATTCCCCAGTATTAAAATCATTTATGGTATTGCACATACTGCTAATCTATTCCAACTCTCAGAAAGATGGGCAATTGTGTCCTTATGTCTTTCTTCAGTTCAAACATTGGATATACAACCCAGTTATGATTTTATGTTTTTGAGGCAGGATCTTGGTATGTAGCCCAAGGTCACCATTACATACAGGTTCCTCTTGCCCCAGCTTCTTTAGCGCTGGAATCACAGACGTGCACTGCCGTATTTGGCGTACTTTTCGCTTCCCACACACCCTGTGAAGTTCTTCTCATTTGTGCAGGTGGTTCTCATTTCAGATGTCGGCCCCAGTGACTGTCAAATGCCTTTAGTCTCTGGGCAACGCTTCCGCAAGGCATGTGACTGACCCACAGCAGGCGATTGTAAATGTAGTACAGAACATGGAAGTGAGAGACAGGCAACTATGGAACAGAGGAAATTATGAACAGCTTCAAACGCATCTCTTCAATTCTTACATAACTTTGACACTTAGAAATGAATTATTGGGAGCAAATTGAATTTTCTTGTCCAAAAGTACATACAGAGAACTATATTGTCTTTCAGTTAGTGAACAACTGTGCTTTTAGACGTTTTTAAATTGTAAACACCTTTTCAAGAATGGAAGAAACTTTTCAAAATATGATGGAAGATATTTATAGCATTTTCTTGTTTTGCAAACACATTATGTAACATTCCAAATCTGTCTTTTAGGTATTCTATGACTGCAGTTGTATCAGAGACTCTGGTTTCCAGACCAGCAATTACTCAGCCCATTTGGGTGAATGCCCAAGAAGAAAATGCCAAAACAACTATTACTTTTATATAGCTTTTCAAGTTGTGAATTATTTCTTTATTGCAATGGGAAGCACATCTTATATCTTGATTCTGTTGAAGTGAGTATACTTTGGATTTTGCTCATGCGTGTGCATCTCTGTTTTTGTGCACACGTGGTAGAGGTATATGTGTGGGTATTTACAGCTCAGATAATTGTCTCTGGCATCAGTCTTCAAGTACCTTCAACTCCTACCATGGAGATCAGGTAAGCGGCCTCTGAACTTTCAAGATCCTGCTGGTCACTGCTCCGATCACAGATGGGAACACAGATGAGTTCTGGGGGCCCAAACTCAGATGCTAAAAATTTTAAGGCAAGAGATTTACTGACTGAGCCTTTTGTCCAGTCTGAGAGTGAACTGTTATGACATCTATATTAGTCATGTATGCTAGCCTATAAATATACTTACTGACATCTATTGTCTTATGTTTGGGACCTAAGCTCATATATTGTCCCATTTTAATTTACCTAAGAGTACGTGTTCTTATGATTATATTTTTTTGGTTCAACACTGTAAGTAATGATAATTTTGCATATGCTTCGTTCATTAGGAAATCTAAATTTCATAAACTCTCATCTTGCTGAGACACTTAAAATATAGATTTACTGGCAATTGTCCCAATTGTAAGAGTATGTTTTTGATTTCACAGAACTTCTGTGCTCAGTTCCATCTGAGAATCATTTAGTGATCTTAATGAAAGAAACCCTTTTCAAAACCTGATAAGCTTAAACCTCAGTCAATAATAACATTTTCAGGATGGAACGATAGATGATTAAAAGCACTTGCCACTTTTTCAGAGAACCTTAAGTCAGGGCTCAGCATCCACCTCTAGTGTCTCACAATCACCTGTAACTCTAGCTCAGTTGGCTCAGACATTATCCTCTGGGCTCCAAGGGTACCCAAACACATCTGGAACACACCCATGGAGAGATACATACAGATATATGAGTGGAAACATACAATTTAAAATTTATTATTTTATTTTTTATAATAACTTTTTTATTTAACTTTTTACACATGTTACTCCTAGCTCCCTTTGCTTCCCCTTCTCCCCTGGTGCCCCAATTCCCCCAACTCCTCACTCCATACCCCCTGTGCTCCCCAGGGTCGGGAAGGCCTTCCATGAAGGATTTTAAGAGTCTGTCATATCATCCTGGGCAGGGTCTAGGCCATCCCCCATGTATCCAGGCTAAGAGAACATCCCTCCATGTGGAATGGGCTCCCAAAGTCCATTTGTTAGCCAGGAATAAATACTGATTTACTATCTGTGGTCCCATAGATTGCTAAGGCCTCCTATCTGATACCCAAGTTTGGGGGGATGCCTGTCTGGATCAGTCCCATGCTGGCCTCTCAGTCATCAGTCTGGGGTCCATGCGTTCCCCCTTGTTTATGCCTGCTGCCTCTGTGGATTTAGCTAGCTGGGTCTTGATTTTAAATAATAATAATTTTAAAGGTTTTAATTTTCCCACAGAATTAACTTTTGACCCACTTTTCCATAATAGCCTATTGGTAGGTGAAAATAGTTGATTGATTCGAAAAAAGACAAATATTTAGGTTAGATTCTGTGAAGAATATCACAAGGCATGTTAGCAGGTAATTACTGTAGCCATGCAGCTCAGAGTACAATAGAAAAGACCATCAAGAAACAAGCTATCACTAAAATAAGCACATTAATTCTAAAACGAACCTAACACTATAAGGGAACTGTTGCTGTGGAGGTGAGGGAAAAGGAACCTAGTTGAAGATAAGACAGGAACTGTTGATCATCTCAGAAATACATTTTATAAAAAAGCCGTAGTTTGATCTCATGATCTAAAATGTGGCCAGATGAAGACTTTAGGAGGGAAATAGGTTCAGGTTTGAACCCCTGACAAGTGTGATGGGACAGTTGGAAGGGGTCAGGTAACACAAGCTGCATTCGACCAAGTTCATCGCTAACCCTGAAATTAAACACAGGTACATTTTTTTAACGTGGATCTTTAAAAACATATTTATCTAAGTGTGGTGACCTAGTTAGTACCTATTTATACTTTTGAATTATGTGTTGATTGAAATTCCCTAAAGGACAAAAGGAAGCAAAAAAGAGGTTTGAATTCCTGTTGAAATGAGGATAGACATTTAAATAACATCTTCCCTTATTTAAATTCTGCTCTGACCCCATGTTAAGGAGTTTCACAGGACCAGCTCACCTAATGTATAATGTAGTACACTTAGAAGGAGAGCATCTCCAAAAACAATGGATCCCAGTGTCCAGCGATCATGAAAGAAAACAGCAGAGGATGAATTCGGACATAATTCATTCTATCAAGCAGACATTGCTCAGTAATTGAGTAACTTAGAAACACGTGTTATCTAACTCCTTGGGGTTCTTTTTTTCTTATTCTGGGGTATTCACAGTGTACTTAGGTGCTCCATATGAGAAGCGAGGTAGGAATTACACTTAATGATAGATGGCCGAATCTGTAATGTGTGTATCAATGCTCATACAAGTGAGTGTTCATGCAGCTAGAGTACAAGCTTGTGGCCAGGCGTGGGTATCCATGCATACTAGCGTGGGAGAGGGTGTGCTGTGTATGCTTTTCATTCTCTTATACAGCTTCCATTCCCAGTAAGCTGTTGGAGATGTCCAGCCCACTCTCAGGCAAACATCAACCCTGTCAGCAACGTCCTCCTCATTCTACTGTAAGCCAAGCATCGTCCCGGGGGTGAAAATGCACGTATATTACAAAACCAATTCAGCTCATGTGTTTCTAGTATAAAAGTCAAGTCCACCCTTTGAAGATCAGCAACACTAAGGCCCAAGGACTCAGACAGGAATGAATTAACATCCCTCTTGAAAAATCTGACATTTGAGAAAGATATTTTTGTGAACAAGCCAAGTTCCCCTTCCTGCTGATTTCCTTTATCTCACTTACAGAGTAAACAAAACACAATAAAAAGACAAAACACATTTCTTGAATCTTAGGCATGGTTTACTGTCACTTGGATGCCATGTGCCCACTGCTGAGTTAAGACTTTGCCACTGTCCCTTGTCAGACATTCTCCATTTGCTTTCTAGCCTTACACATGACATTTGAACCACTGTTTGATGTTATCCCTGTTTAATTGTAGAAGCTGTCTTGAAGACTTCATTTATTCCTTTATTTCTGAGACAGAGTTTCACTATGTTGCCCTGACTTGTCATACACCCTACCGCTCAAGTGATCTTCCTGTTTTAGCTTCCATAATCCCAGGGATTGAGAGGGAACAACCAGATTTTTGGTTTTTAAACCTCAGTAGGTGGTATCTTTCCGACAAAGATTAAGGATCAGTCACATATAAAGAAAACTAAGGTTCGAAGTGACAATACATATTGAATCCTCACAATACATGATGAGAAGAACTGTTATCACTTAGCAAACAAGGAAATGGAGGCAGGACAAGTGAAGTGGTTTCTTCCACTTGGCTGAATGACGAACCTGCTTAGCCCTCTGAATAAATAAGCATCAAGTAGCATAAGGCAATGAAAATGTATCATTGATTCAGTATTTTAGTAAAAATATTTAAGCAGAAGTTACATTTCACACACACACACATTGCCCCATGTAATTTCATTGTCCTCAATATGAATTAGATTTTAACAGATGTAGGAGTGTCACAAGCTCAATAAACACAGACAGCTGGAATTATGGAGGTGACTTTGTAGATAGAATAACGTGTTTCTTTTTCATAGACATGTTGTTTAAGATTTATTTCATATTTGACTTATGTGTATGTGTGCTTCTGTGCATAGGTATCTGTGTGTGAGTGCAGGCGCCTGAAGAGGTCATATGAGGGTGCCGCATTCCCTGAAGCTAAAGTTACAAGTGGTGGGGAGCTATGCAATGTAGGTGCTGGGAACTGAGAGCTCATCTTCCATGGAAGAGCCAGGACTCTGAATGCCTTTGCCACTTGCCCAGCTCTGAATGAGTGTATTACTGAGCATGGTGATAGCGTGTTCTGCACCTCTAACATAACAAGTTATACAGGAGAGTCCGTAATACATAACTTTCTTGAGTCTTCTAGCTAAGCAATTTGGGTACCACATTTGTAGACTTCTCTGTTAACGTCAGTAATAGAAATAAAGAAGCAGAGTGTGTGCTGAGACCTATATCTAGATGTAAGTAAGCATCTGGTCTTTCCTGAGGATCTGGGCTGAATGGGCCATAGGAAATCAATGTCTTTGTAGACATAATAAACCTTACTACAGATATTCTCACAGCATTTTTACAACATAAAACATAAAAATGCAGCCTGGTTTGGTTACTCACATATGTAAGTTCAGTGATTTAGCAGGCTGAAGCAGGAGGGTTGCTGAGAGTCCAAGGCCAGCCTGGATTACAGAGTCTCAAAAATAATTTTTTTAAAGTAAAATGTTTACTGGACTCTCTTGACCTCATAGCACAGTGAATCAGTGGATTAGAATAATTCTTATTACAGCACTAGTTGAGTCTCCTAGAGCTTGGAATGATAAATTTATAACACATGAGTCATCCCCTTGGGGGAATTTTATCCAACCATAAAGAAAAATAACACCAACACACATTTTAAGGTTAAATTTAACTTAAAAGTTTGAAGAAATTTAAATGTTTCTTTGCTTTTATCTTATTGCAGGACTGTCCAACCTGAATTGAAATCACTTGCAATGGGTTTCCATGCACTGGTCATCCGTGCACTAGGTATGATAAACATGTCAATTTCAAGGCATAAATATTCATGCTAAGCTTATAAATTGAACATAAAAGTTCTCGTTTTAAGGAAAATTTAAAGATTTAAAAATAATTTCTATTTATAGTCTCTGAAAGTGGTAGGATATGGAGATACCCTAGTGACCTGAAAGAGAATTTGATTAGATAGCGGCAAAGTTGAAGCTAGTGCAAGGAATCTTCCTGTCTGTAGGATGTTATCACAGAGATTGCAGTTCCCAGAGTTCTTTCCATTGCACTGAGGGGTGCTTCTTCCAGGCAGGCAGAGTGAAGGACCATCTCCACACATGTCATTTTTAGATAATGCCTTCTGTGACTTGGGGGTATTTGGAAACCTGGTTAATTTGAGTCTGTGTAGAATAGAAACTGAGGCTGATGGGCTGGTTTTCAACTGTCTGGTTCTGGAGGCTCCACAGCCTCTATCAGCAACTCAGCATGCAAAAGCAAACCCATCAGCTTGGAGGAAGAGAACACTTTAACTGAAAGCAAACTTGAGAAACTATGAATTTTATTGCAAGATTAGAACCCTAAGTGCCATCACAGCTAGGAACTTTCTGTAATGATGTGCCCAATACATGGCTTCATCAAACCTAAACCTGTCTATGAGGAAAACACACAATGAACACCACACTTCTAATTCACAGACAACTGTGTTTAGGACAATATGACTGGACACTATGAATCATCTTCAAAGTATACTGAACTGAATGAGCTACTTGGAAAATAAGTTTGTGGAAAGCAGTAAATTCTAGCAACGAACAATATCAAGTCTCTTAGCTAAAATATTTAATTCAATTAAGTCCATTAACATCAGAGGAATTATTCATCACTGGTATATATATTTTTTCATTTCTAAAAAAAAAGGCCCCAATGTTTGAAGTGTTTACTTCTAACCCATTTCCTCAGGCCAGTTTTCCTTTGGCTACATTGGCCTCTGTTATCAATCCATTGTTAACTACCCACTCTGTTAAAAGTGGGAGTAGGCACAGGAGTGGTAGTTCATTCAGTAGCTGATAGCATGTACTGTTCTTTGAGGGGTCAATGCTCAGTTCCCATCATCATATCAGATGGCTTGTGATGGCCTGCAACTTGAGTTTCAGAGAACTGATCCCCTATTCTGGTCTTTGTTGCATAGCACTAATAAGCATGCACAGATACATGTGGTGTTGTTTTTACTCTTTGGCTCTTTAGCTCTTTGGGCGTCCTGCCATCCAGGAGGCTTATTATTACTTACATCCTTAACTTGGCTTATTTCTAGCAAGCTTTTCTTAACTTTTTACCCCATCTGTCTTTTGCCTCTGGGCTTTTTATTTTCTTTTACTTCTATATATCTTACTTTCACTCTTACTCCACGGCTGGCTGTGTGACTGAGTGCCTGGCACCTTCTTTTCTTGCTCCTTGATGTTTTTCTTACCAGCATTTTCCTCCCATTTATTCTTGCTGCCTGCTAGACCTGCTTATCCTTTCCTGCAAAGCTAGTGACCATTCAGCTCTTTATTAGAACAAACAAATGCTTTAGACAGGCATAATGACAAAGAGTTAAACAAATGCAACATAAAAGATTGCAATGCATTTTGTATCATTAAACAAATGTTCCACAGCATAAATAAATGTAACATGTCTTACAATAATATTCTACAACATTTCCCCTTTTTGTCTAAATAAAAATGAAAGGTTTAACTTTAACATAGTAAAACTACATACAACAAAAAAGTTATCAAATAAGAATCAATTTACAATATTCAGTCCATTTGCATTTAGAAAATTCAGAAAAAGCATTCCACCATCTACCCTATGTTAGTGACTCCAAAGTTCTGTACCTAATTTATTTTCTATTAAAACTAAGGAAAACTGCAACTCTAACTGTGTACTCTGTAACTTCTTCAAAGGCCCCAGAAACATTTAATATTATCTGAGTAAAAAGGAAGTGCATTGCAAGCAACTTCCAAAACAGAGACATCTGACTGCCTTGATAGTCACCCAAAGTTCCTCTGCAATAGTGGTGCATCCATCATCAGCCTTCAGGTCAAGAATATCTGGCAGACTTTACAGCAAAGCAGGAAAGTTGAAGGACCATTCCACCTTGTAGTGGCAAAGTTCATCAGTCCATTTCCTCTGTGTCCTGCAGAATGTCTGGCAGAATCTTATTTGAAGCCATATATCTTGAAGGACTGTACTGCCTTGTTTTGTAAAAGTTCAGCAGTCACTTTTCTAAGGGTCCTGAATGTCCAATCTGCACAACATGCAGTCAAGCAGTCAAGGCCACCCCCCCTTTTTTTGCTCAATTGGCTAATCTTGCCATAATGAAAGCAAACTCCCAAAGAAATTTCTTCGATGCCCATGATCCCTGAAGTAAGTTGGTGCTGCCAGGAGCAGATGTGTCTCATTGTCAGGAAAAACCTTATGCTAACAAATCATTTTAAATGGCATTTTCTATAGATCTTTCTAGTGTTTGAAGACATTTATCTATCTAAACACTTCTCTATATGATCTTGAAAACATACCTAACACATCTACAACTTTGATTGTTATGATGACTATTAATCTATGTATCTTTATTATCCTACATAGTTTATAATAATAGCTTTCAGAAACTAGAATTTTACCTTATATTTTTAAATGAAATGCATAGGCACAATACCTTAAACAAGACTAGAAACATATATATATATATATATAAACTTTAAATTTATATCAATATACTACATTTCCTTAAATGATAACAAACATCCATAAGCCATCAAATAACCAAAGACCACCCAAACCCCCCAACTCTTGGTAATATAGTTGCCATTTTCTCTAGACTATTTCCTGTTGTCTGTGGGCAAAGGTATTTTTAAGGGTCTCTGAGAAAAACTGAGATGATGGCCAATCTGTGGGAAGCCAGAAGTAACCTTTGTAGATACATATCACCTATCAAGTTTCGGGAGGTCTCCCTTGGTCAAACCTGATCCATATTAATCCTGAAGGAATCTACAGTCTTTCATCTCTTGTGGGAACAAAATCCAAAAGCATTTTTTAACTTCCATTTGATAAACACATATTTTGGCTTCTTTTTAAAAGTGAAGACAGACCCAAAGTATCTTGTGGGGTTCAAGTTTGAAGACCAGTTCATAATCAGATATCTCTCAGCAGCTGTCTTTTGACTCGTTAGCATCAAAACATTCAGAATCAACACAATTCTATATAGGATCCTGACTTCCTGTGTACTTTCCATTATCGTTACTGTCTCTAAAGAATTTACTTTTTGAACTATTTCTTTCTTTCTGTGACTTTCTACACCCATTTTCTTTTCTTTCTTAAGCCTACTCACATTGTAAAACACACTGTAACCTGTTTACAGGCTTTTCTGTCTGGATCCCTTTTACTGCTTGCTTTTAGCACTTTTGTCTGCATGACCAAAAACCTGAGAATCAGTGATGCTAGGACCTCCATACAGCTTTGGAGGCTGGCTTGGTCTGCTTCTCAGGTCAGGAAAGCCAAGCCTAAAGCTTACTGCTGGTAGGAGGTTTGTGACCAAGAAGGGCATTAAACCTTCCTAACTACAGAAGCTGGTAACTGTGTTGCCACAAACTTTTTTTTTGTAAATGGAGTCCTTAATTTGTCTCATTAATAAAAACCTAAAGTCAGCTATAGAGGAAAATGCTGAGCAATCAGAGAGAAGGAACGAGCCACAGTCACACCTTACCTCCTTAGCATCTCAGCAGACAAGAAAACGAGTTCCTGTTTCTGCCTACTTATATCCTCTCTCTGCCCAACCACTTCCTTCTGGTCTGTCTTTAGTGAACTCCAGACTTCTATGGCTAGCTAGTGGCAAGCTCTATTCTCTGGCCTCCTGAAAGGCTTTATTTATTTGTACAGGCAAGACATCACCGCATATCCCCTGTTTTGTCTAAAAATAAAAAGGTTGTAACTAATATCAGAAAAAATACAATAAGTATATACAATATATAAAGGCAATAAGTCTAATTCATTAGCAATGTCTAATCCATTAGTATTTGACAAATTTAGAGAAAATACTCCATTACCTATTCTTTCTTAATGAGTTCAAAGTCTTGGACAGCATACTGTCAGCAGTTGAGGCAAGGGCTCTTTCTCGCTCAATGGCTTACCTTCACCACAAAGAAAGTAAATGCCATGTCAAGTTTTTTAAATGCCCATCATCTTCTCCAATGTAGATTATTGCTGCCAGGAGCAGACGTGTCTCATTGTCATAAAAATAGAACCTACATTATTAAGACATGTTAAATGCCATATTCTGTAGATCTTTGAAGTGTTTGAAGATGATCTGTTTTTCTGAAATATCTGTTTGACCTTGTAAATATACCAAATGTGACTACCAATTTGAATATAATAGTTGACTAATTACTATACTACTTTTCCTTATTATCCTATATAGTTGATAATAATAACTTTCAAGGACTAGAAATTTGTATTATATCGTTAAATGAGCTGTATAGGTACAGGACCTTGAACAATATTAGAAATATATATTACAAGATAATCTGTAAGTCAAAAATTAAATATTAGACAGAATTATTAAAATAATGATAACAGGTACACTGAGCAATAAACTTTCATTTAACTTACATCTGCTCAATTTCTATTAGTTTAGCATAAAGGATCATTAATCAATTCATTAGATTGGTCAAGGCAAGACATTTGAACTGCACAATAGGATTTTAAAAGCAGTTGGTTTTGTTGTTCCTGATATTCTCTCTCTCTCTCTCTCTCTCTCTCTCTCTCTCTCTCTCTCTCTCTCTCTCTCTCACACACACACACACACACACACACACACACACTAGAGTGCTCTGAATATTGGATTTCTCCCATAAATCTGTATAGTTCACTGTTCACAATCAGACATGTTTTAGAAACTATGGATTAATCATGAGCAAATTAGAGTTAGGTAATAAACTTTTGATGAATTATTGGGGAATGTCAGGTGTTTCCACAAGAAAACAGACATTAAACTATAGAAAATGAAAACTCATATGAAAACACAACAAGCTTAACAAACATCTTGTAAAAACAACTCGTTTTAATTAAGAAAAGAGTTACAAGTATTAATGACGCATAAAGAAGAAGAAGCTATCTAAACTTTTAAGGGTCAGCTCAGGGAAGCTACACAGTATCATTGCACTCCATGTATGTGCAAAACTCAGCATGTACCAGCAATGGGAACAGCATCTTGCACTAAGGTTTCCCAAGAGGTACAGGAAACCTGCCAAGAAACAACTGCTCTGTACTAACAGCATGCTGTCTTCCATACAGACCTCCATAATGTCAGTCACGCTGCTCTCGCAAAATCTCATAGCATAAAACAGTTTTAGTGCTGATAGGCAGGGCTATTATTGCTGATGTGAGATTGAATCCATATGCACATTGAGTTTCATGTCATTGTCAAGAATTTTAGCAAGTTGTTGCATGGATGGAAAATAACCAGATTCCAGCTTATACCCTACCAGCACATCATTTAACATTACCATAAATGCACCTGTTGACATGTACTGTTTCTCAATCATGTTGGTTAAGAAGAAAACCATCACACCTCCCTCCCTCCCTCCCTCCCTCCCTCCCTCCCTCCCTCCCTCCCTCCCTCCCTTCCTTCCTTCCTTTCTTCTTTCTTCCACCTTTCTTAGGCCCTACATGGAAATTTGGGCACACACTGGTATGCCAAAATGTTTTTGGTTGCAGGTTTTACTCTTTTTATTGTTTGGCTCTTTTGGATAGCCCCTTCCACCCAGGTCCTAAATAAATACACACAGGGTCTTATTCTCATTTATAAATGCCCAGCCTTAGCTTGGTTCATTTCTAGCCAGCTTTTCTTAAATTATCCCATCGATCCAATGATTGAAGCCTTGCAATCAGAAGACACAATAACCCTACACTGAACTGTTCAGAAAACTTCAAAAGATACTTAGACATGTATAAAATAAGTGGGAAAATGAAGATGGCATAAAAAAGAGCAGATAGTGTCTGGACCTGGAAACCAGCATCCCATGACAGGAGATGGGTGCTCCATGATATTGGACCTCCACTTTTAGTTTTCTTTTTTTCACCTTTAAACATTTTTTAATTTTATATATTTGTTTGACTAGCTAGTCTTATTTATGTGCAAGTGTATATGCACGTGCACGTTTTTCTGTATATGCACCACCTTCGTGTAGTGCATTTGGGATTCAGAAGAGGGAATAAGATCCCCTGAAACTAGAATTACAGGTAGTGACTTCCCTGCTGTAGATGCTGGGAACTGAGAACTGATGCTTTCAAAAGGAGTAAGCACTCTTAACCATTGACCCATCTCTACAGCCTCCCTCTCTCCAGCCTTTTAATTGTCTAAAAGATATGAATGAGCTCCTGCCTCTATAGAATTTTGATAAGTACTATTTCCACTAGTTGTAAAGTTAAAATTTTTACTCCAATTATTCCAAATCATTCTGATAAAAAAATGACGTGGCCATGTTTTACTAACAACACTGTTTTTCACTAACTAAGTTTTAGCTAATTAGCCTTGGGAGACTTTATAGATATGTAGAAATCTTTCTTTCTTATGTGTTGGAAGGGTAGGGGTAGACAAAAAATGTCTATGATATTGTCTGGTATGGTATTTGGAGGAATCTACTAATATTAGTTCTTGCATATATTAAAACAAAAGCAATGAATTTGTCCTAGAAAGTTTTCAACTGTTACTTTATTCATAATGCATCAATGTGATACACCTCCTACATACAATTGAAGTATGTATCTCGAGTTGATAGCTTTTCCTCTCATGCTGTAGGAGGAATTCTAGCTCCCATCTATTACGGGGCACTAATTGACAAAACATGTCTGAAGTGGTCTGTCACCAGCTGTGGAGCACGAGGTGCTTGTAGGGTGTATGATGCTGCATTGCTTGGGTGAGTTTTCATAAGTATATTTCGTTAATTGATTTTCTTTTGACTATGCTAATTGACAAATGGCACCACTTTCTTTTTTAGTTTTTTTTTTAAAGTCTGCTTTAATGTGTGTTTACCTACTCGTAATGTGTGTGTGCGCCACATGTGTGCAGTGCCAGCAGAGGTCGCATGCAGATGGGTTCTCTAGAACTGAAATGATTGATGTTTGTGAGCCAACATGAGAACGCAGTTCCCATGCATTTTCCAGCACGTTCTCTGCAGGAATAGTCAGTGCTCTTGGTCTTTGAGCAATTTCTTCAATGCAATAATAAATTAATAATGTTATCATTAAGCAACCCTTACTTCACTTTCAGTATTGTAACAGGCAATCTTATTTTAATGCTAATAGAAGCAATAGTTAATTTATATTTATACTTTTACCTTAAAGCCAAAGATAGGAAGTTTCAAGGATAATGAATAACTTACCCAAAGTCATGCGATTTTAAGTAAAAGAGATATACTGTTGCTCCATTATGGTTTTTATCTCTAAAGTTTCTGCTCATACCCCAAACATCACTGATTTTGCATTCTTAAGCAGGATATGAGGTGGGAAAAGAGGAACATTCATGTTCTATTCATGGGGAGAGAAGACAACTTAATGGCAGTTTGGAAGAACAATTTGATCCAATATTCTTTAGAAAAGAGTAAATTGCAAATTTAAGTATTGGTTAATTATAAAATAGATATTACTCAGAGTTCAGATTTTTAAAAAAATATAGTTGAATATTTGTATAATGACCAAAATCCTCAAAAGTGTATCAGAAAATGTTAAAGTATTTTTAAATCTCTACATAACAAAATATTATTTTAGCTAACACCTAAAGACAAATTACAAATTGAAAGAAGAAACTAGACCTAATGATACAGTCACAAGGAAGTTTTCTAGATGTATTGAGCTCTCTTCAAAAGAGTAAAATACTAATGCACACTACAAAGATGCAGAACCATAGAGGCTACTTTTCATTCTAATAGGTATAAAATGGTGCATATTTGGAGGATTGTTTGCCTCCCTTACTCTAGTTTGTAAGACACTGTCAGGCTGCCTTCCAAACCTTCTTGCCACCAAACACAAATAAGAGTTCCTGTTACAAATCATTGCCCCGCCGGGCGTTGGTGGCGCACGCATTTAATCCCAGCACTCGGGATGCAGAGGCAGGCGGATCTCTGTGAGTTCTAGGCCAGGCTGGACCGACAGCCTCCAAAACAGAGAAACCCTGTCTCGTAAAACCAAAAAACCAAAAAAACAAAACAAAAAACCAAATCATTGCTACTAGTATTGGTGTTAAAGTGGAGATGGTATCACCATGGTTTTGATGTATGATGGTATTGGTGTCATGGAGTTGGTGTTGCCAAGGTGGACCTGGTGTCATGATGGAGTTGGTGGAAAAATGCTGTTAGTATCATGTCTCCATTCAGATAATCTCAACACTCTGACATATCAATGACTAGGTTTGAAGACTATTCATTATCTTCAAACCATTTTAAGTGTTTCTTGTTCTTTTCTTGAGAATTAGACATAAAGTATTATGGTAAAGAGACCACTATAGTTTTTAGGGTGGAAGGATGGCTCTCTGTAATCCTATGCTAAAGTCTGTCTCAGTGGTTCTGGATATCTTGACTGTGAAACCCAGATATATTTCTTGGTACTTTCTCCTTTTATTGAGGGGGATGTGACGGCTTGGGGGAAGGATCTGAATATTCCCCTCTTCCATAAGAAAGGCAGAGTCAGCTTTAGTTTATTTTCTATGTCTTGAACATTCTTTAGAAATAATGTCAAACTCTTTATGGCCCAATTGAAAAAAACAATCCCTGGAACTGTTTGCTTTATGTCTTTACAATTTAATGTTTTATATATATAATTTCACTTTTGTCTTTAAGATCTGCATACTGGAGATAAATACTATAAGCTGTACCACATAATATAAAATAATTTTTCTCCCATTTCCCTCTAGAACTGTCTACTTGGGTTTGAACACATCTTTAAAAACTCCAGTACTTATTTTATTTTTCATATTAATTTATGCCATGAAGAAAAAATATGAAAGAAACGATAGCAAGACATTGGAAAATGATGGAAAAATTAAAGATGAAGCAAATCCAGACACCTTAAATAAAAATGGGTACCATTCTGTACCTCCTAGTACATCATATGATGAAACACCTCTTTGAAGAAAGAAAAAGATACATCTGTTGATGTGTTTCCAAACAATTTCCTGGTTCTTTCTTTGGGGATATTCACACTTTAGATACAGTGGATAACGATGATCTATGACTTTGTAATGAAGAGAAGCTACAAATCAAAATGAATAGGAGCTGTGTGTTTGAGGCTGGGATTGGAATATGTGATCTGTACAAATTTAAAGCATGAACGTTAGTTTACAATAGAAAAGCAAGTATTCACTTTAATGTCCATAATTCAATAAAACAAGTGGCTAGGATTTGCAGAGGGGCAAATGAAGGAGATAAACTGGTTGACTGTATAAGGAGAAGTACCTTATGGCCTTAAAAATAAAAGTTTGAATAGTTCTACTCATGCTTGAAGCCTGCTGATAGACATCATGAATTAACATCCTCTGGTATCCATGTCAACATGTATATTTTGCAGAACAATTTATTTGTAATTGTGTTTCACAGCACATTAACCTTCTTTGAATATGCCCTTACAGTATTGAGGAATAACACTGAAATAGTAAAATATTACAAACCATGATTTTCAGAAAACTTAACATAGAATGCATTTTAAGAGCCATGGAAATGTTTGGAAGACTCAACGTTGGCTGAAGAAAGCAAAGATCATTGAATAAATGAGCCTTCACGTCTCCTGTCAACTCTCTGAGATGAGTGTATGCCAGACAAAATGTGTATTAGAGGACATCAGAGTTTATCATTTGCCAGTGTTGTATTTGTCTGTTTTTTTGGATGTAATACATACATATGTATATTCATGTAAATAATCACTGAAATGAAGATATGAAATAGAGTGAATAAGACAAAAATCTTGGAATACTGTACTTTTTAGTGATAATGGATCTATTATAATAGGTGGTAGAGGTTGTACTTGTTTTATTGTCCTAGGTTAAAACATTTTTTTGCATTAAAATTGATTATTACATCAATATGGGAAGCAGAAACTTAGTGAACATGAATTGGGGCCAGAATGTAATATAGTGATATATGTCCTCCAGCAACTGTCCAACTCCAAAAGTTCCATAAAATCCTTCACAATACCTACAACTGGAATCCAAATGTCCAAATAAATGAGGTATGGAAAATAATGTTTAAGCGACACACATGCGCGTGCACACACCACACACACACACACACACACACGTGTATATATATGTATGTGTATATATATGTGTGTGTGTGTGTATGCGTATACTGTATTTTTTATTTTGTTTTTCGAGACAGGGTTTCTCTGTGGCTTTGGAGGCTGTCCTGGAACTAGTTCTTGTAGAACAGGCTGGTCTCAAACTCACAGAGATCCACCTTCCTCTGCCTCCTGAGTGCTGGGATTAAAGGCGTGTGTCACCATTGCTTGGCTTATATATGTGTATGTATACACTCATATTTATACATATGTGATAAATTATAGTTCTACTCCAGAGATTTTTTTAAAACATCTCTTATATAATCTGATTTTAATAGAAGCCAGTATACCAAAGTCATCCAACATGAATCTTGCTTGTTGCTAGGAATTGATCTGGAAGCTAACCATGGAAACCTGCCCTTCCACTGTGGGCCTGAGAACAGATTTCTTAATCATACACAGAAATCTGGGGAAAAACCCACCAGCTAAGTCATGGAGCATTGTCCTTTTCTTGGTAAAACAAAATACATTTTGTTTGTTTGTTTGTGTGTGTTTCTTATTTTTTATTCGTTTGCTTAGCTCAAGAACAATTTTATTAGAATTTTAAAAATTAAACCCAGGGCAGGAAATATGTAAATCTTAGTGGCTGTCTGAAGAAGGAAGATGGAGGAGAGAAAAAGAGATAAACATGATGTTTAAAAGTAGCTAAATGGGAGTCAGAGAGGAGATGTTGTGAACCTTCAGAGGGAAAGAATGAAATGGCCCAGCCTGTTCTTGAACATGGAACACACAGCAAGACTGTCATAGTTCACTTTTTCTGTGATAAAACACTAACCAAAAGTAACTTGAGAAAGGAACAGTTTGTTTCAGCTTCTAAGATGCAGCCCTTAATTGAGGGTATTCAAGGCAGGAACTTTAGGCCGGAACCTAGAAGCAGGAACTGAAGCAGAGCCCATGTGAGAACACTGTTAACTGTCTTGATTTCCATGGCTTACTCAGCCTGCTTTCTTGGATATCCCAGGACTACATGCCTAGCTGGGGTACCACCCACAATGGATTTGTCCCTCCTGTATCAATTATTAATCAAAAGAATGTTCTATATCTTACCTAGTGTCCAATCTGATGGTGTCATTTTCTTGATTGAGATTCTGTCTCCAATTTATCTCCAGCTAGTATCAATTGACAGAAGTCTATTAAGGACAGGATGGTTATTAGACCCTCACTATGGAAATTCAGGTGAGGGTCTAATAACCTCCTGCCTACCACAGCTGTCTTCACTTCTGATTTGGTTTCAGAAAGTCGTGGGAAATGCTGGACTACATAGCGGGTGTAAAGGAAAGAAATCATCCATCATCTCTGGGAAATCATCACTCTTTCTGGGCTGAATCTTTTGGTGACATGGCTCTTTTGCGGTGCGGTACCTTTCATCCATGCTCCCATAAGAAAGCCCACTGAGCTCTCTGGTTCACCAAGAGAGACAGTGGAATTATTGCTTTAGTTTGTTAGTGGTGTCTTATCTGGGGGGAATAGAAATTTGTCCACATCACCTCAGAAAAGTTATTCCGTATGATGTCTGTTAAGAGTCCCAAGGCAGATGGTATCACTGGGGTGTGATTAAGTGTAGGAGACATCACAGGGTGTGCCAGGGAGCTAGAGCAACCAAGGAGCCAGGGTTGCTTTTTCTCAAAGCCCACTCTTCCCGGAAATAACTCAGTTCTCTAAAAAGGACACTGCCTTCTGAGAGCAGCAACCGCAGTGACCTTGATAAAGTCAAATCTCTCCACAGCACCACCTCGAAATTTAAGGCATGAACACATATGACACCCACACAGCCATCTCCATCCAAATACAGCACTTCCCAACTAAGCAAAGGTTCAAGTTCCCTTACCTATCTAATTCTTTCAAGATTTTAGTTATCTGCCTGCCCAGTATCGTCCGTTCATTTCTAAGGTCAAGAAAGGTTAAAACTTTCATTTACCCAGACATTTTGCTATTGCAGTACATGTTTGAGAAATTCTTACTGAAAGCAGAAGTCTCTTTTTATTACACTTTTGTAATGGATGTTGTGCCATTAATTGTATGAATTTGAGGCTCAATTTGAAGTACTTGAGAATATACGGTGATGACAAAATAACCCCACCATTTTATGCTAGGAATCCATCTTGGTATCTGCTAGCCATTTGTCTCTGACTCTAGTCCTTGGAAGAAAAAGTCCCAGAAATGCTGACTCAGTGAACCTTTCTGCCCATAAATGTACAGCTGTGACCATCTACTTGTTATGCTATCATGACTAATTGCTTTTTTGGCTTATGTATCTTGCTTATGCAGACATTCATGTCACTTTGACTACCCAATCTTGGCAGGGCAAAACAAGCTGTTGACTTGGTTATACAGATACTCACGATCTTGTGGTTTTCACCTTCAAAAATCCTTCCCTCACTCCTTTTCTCATAGCAATCTCAAGTTTGGCAAGACACTGTTGTCCTGCTAACCACAATAAATAAATATTTTAATTGTAATTGGATTGAATCCATGGTGTTTTCCCAGAGTTTAGGAACTCTACAACATGTGGAGGCCCTAGTGAGGTCTCTAGGAGACTCCAGATACAGGGCTGGACGTTGAGAATAGCGGCCAGGTGATTTGGAAGTGAGGGGAGGTCAAGGCCACAGCAGACACAAATTAAAGGTCATTAGTAGGGGGATAAGCCCCAGATGGAGCAAGTCCAAGGCAGGCTTGATAGGCTCCTGGGATCCCAGACTGCAACCACCCCAAATTTGCAAATTGAAAGCAAAGTGAAAGGGATAACACCAATCGGCAAGCTAAGCAATAGTGGAGAGACCACCTCGAATGCCCATTCCTGATAATGAACTTGATGTCTATAACCATCTGGGAGCCTTCATCCAGTGGCTGATGGAAGCAGAGGCAAACACACAATTAAGCACTGAACTGAACCCAAGGAACCCAGTGGCAGAGAGAGAGGAGTGATGAGCAAATTGGCAAAGAATGGGCTGGCAAAACCAGCAGAGACAGCTGATCTGAACAGGGGAGAGCTCTTGGACCCTAGACTGACAGTGGGGAGGCTAACATGGGACTGATCTGGACTCCCCCAAATGTGAGTGTCAGTGAGAAGGCCTGGGCAACCTATGGGCCTTGAGCAGTGGATCAGTGTCTATCCCTGGAATACAAACAGGCATCATGTGCCCATAGCACAAAGAGGGATGCTCTCTCAGCCTGGACTCTTAGGGGAATGCCTGGACCCTACCCAGAGTGAAATGACAGACTCTGGAGATCCCCTATGTGGAAGGAATTGGCAATAGGGTGGGAGGGTGGGGAGGAAGGGGATTTCGGGAGGAGGGGAGGGAGAGGGAACTGAGATTGTCATGTAAAACAAGCTATTTAAAATTAAAATAAAAATGATAAAAAAGAATTGCCTGCCTACATGCTTCTGAAGGTCAGACAGATTTGTGAGTTGTTTTCTTCTGGTTTGGAGTCTGGACATCTGGAGTGACAAGGGTGACATGAGATGCAATCATTGACCCAGTCTCGGGGGAAGAGCAGCCATCACACTGTCCTGGTTTGGGTGTATGAGTGAGGTGGCAGATGCATGTCTGAGTTCACCTGGACTTAACCTACTTGCATTGTTGTACTGTGTTTTTACATTGTCCTCTGCTGCCTGTCAGATTTGTGCTTTCGAGTTTTGTTGCAAAGATGGAAGCCCGACTTAGCACAGCCCAGTTGTCACTGAGCTGAATGCTACAAAGATTTCAGGCTGTCTATGAGGCAGACTGCTCCTGGATGCCTCTATGCTAACTCTGGAACTTGCTCTGCCTCTGTCCCTTTCAGTGGCTCACTGCAGCCTGATGTTTAAGTCCTGCAGGTACATCAGACACCCCTCAGCCCTCCTGTTCGCAATCCTTTTCCCTCAGCCTGCTTCTGAAAGTTGTAATTTTTCCTGTTGCTCTATCTCTCAGCTGGCTTCTGTCACTGGCTATGGATTTCTGGAGACTGCCACATTCACCCCACTCCTGTACCCGGAGCGATGCAGGCTCCCCACAGTGCACCGACCTCTGAAGAACCTGAAACCCCACAGTTTCTTATTTCTAAGCCTTCTTTGTTCTTGGCTTGCTCTGACCTCTCCCTCTGGTCCCTGAATTCAGTTTCCCAAGGATTCGGGTGTCGGTTACTTGTGGGTAATATTGAAGTACTGTTTTATGCTGTTGTACTTTACTAAAAAGCTGACTACTCTCCTCTAAAAATCTCTGTTCTAGGTCAAAAGGCTATCTGACTCTAGGACTCCAGTTCTCAAACTGTGGTTTGAACCCATTTTTGAGTTGAATGACCCTTTGCCATGGTTCTAATATCAGATATCTTGCATATCAGATATTTACATTATGATTCATAACAGTAGCAATATTATAGTTACAAAGTAGTAATGAAACAATTTTTTGGTTGGTGGACACCAACACATGAGGAACTCTATTAAGGAGTTTCAGCATTGGGAAGATTGAGACCCACTGCTGTAGGACAAATAGACAAACAAAACAGTCAGAGAAAAGACACTGTCCTTTAAAATGAAAATATAAACTCTCTGTTCTTTCAGGTTTATACACTTATTAAATATGGTTCAAAATCAATTCAAAAGCAACAACAATCTGATGTCAACATATTTTGAGTTTCTGTAGATGTCTGGTTTTTATAGTTTTCTGTTTAAAGGCCTCTAGGTTACAGATACTTACATTATTCTGCAACTTGAGAACTTTATAAGAAAAAAAATTCTTTCTAAGATTTTCAGGTTGTCTGCCTCAATCTCCAGGCACACACAGACTAGGTATAAAATTAAATAAAATCTGTCTAAAATGTCTTTGCAAACTCTAGATATGCCTGTTCATAAGAGTCAGAGCTAGTCTTCCTAAAAGTTAATATTCCTTCAAAAAGGGGACAAACCATGTCATTGGACCTTGATCTAGGTATCCAGTCATCCCTCCCAGCTGAATGTACACGATTAGGGCCTACTTGCATGATGCCCCAGTGTTTTCTGGAGAAAGTGAGTTATACAGGAAAAGAACAAAGAATGAGGAAGACGGTCTGTGGAACAACCGCAAGCTGCCGTATATACTGGGCAAAGGCTCTAGATAGTGTCTACACCCCCTTAGGTAAAATTTCCTACAACAAATGGTAATGTATTTGTTACCATTGTGTCTCATGTTACTTAAATGATTTTATCAAAAATAATTCATGTAAAAGTTAGGCTAGCTAAATGTAACCAGCATATGTCCAGCTCTTCAACTTCTTCCGACTTTCCTGGTCCTTGCTTATATCGATGTTTAGCCATTAGAGGTCATGGATATTCAAAACTCTGGCTAGAATGTAACCTTTCTTTCTCTCAGGACCTGTAAGACCAATGTGTGGTGGAGAGTGACTTTTAAAACTCCAAACAATAAAGTCATCCTAACACTTGTTTAAAAAGTTTAATTACTAAAATTCTATACATGGATAATCTTAATCTGCTACTGTGTGCTTCTATGTAACCTAAAACACAGTTTCGTATTTTCTCCTCTTTTAGACTAAGGAAGCAACAGCAGGTCTCCAAGAGATTTTGGATTAGGATGGATTTTTTTATATGACTTTTGTCCCAAAAATAAAAATTGTGGCTAAAAATAACGTATGTTTAATAAACAAAATATATTTGATAAATAAGGTTTGTAAATCCCAACTTAAGGATATATGTCTAGCCTCTTTGTATTTTCCTGCTCAAATTTGTTCAAAACATCTCTGATGGTGTTTCTGGCTAACTGTGCCTATTTTTCATTAAAAACAGCAAGCATTCAGCCCCCCCCATGGCTGCAGCTGCTTGATAAATGCCCTGCATCAGCAAAAGCCAGGCCTTGCTTTTCCCTGTGCTGCTAGATCTTATGCTAAAAGAATGCAAACTTAGATAGTTTACCTTGCTGTCAGGCTCCACACTAGAAGAGGTCAACTTACAAAACCTGTTTCAATGTAATTTTACTACTCTTTTATTTCAAAACAAATGCTTTTCAACCAGTAATCAACCACCTATGCCCTGTAATAAATAACTGGAGAAAAATTAGAGTTTATATAAAGGTTATAGGGATCTAGGAAGGTGAATTAGTATGCAAAATGTAAAGCTCTAAGGATATAACAGCTTAAACAAGTTACGATGGTCTAAGAAAGTCACGTAAGTTATGTAAATGAAAGTTACTAAGGTCCAAGAAAGCTGATACAAATCGTGAGGGTCTGAGAAAATGTTTTGAGATCTATTAAAAATCTAAAAAATGTTTCATATTTCTCTCTCCATTCCTATACTATTGTTCTATTAAGACTTCAAAAGTTCAGAGTTTTAACATTGATCCATGGAGTCATGGTCCAAGTTGTCTGGACATGGCTGTGCTTCAGTGAAGACGGCCTTAGTTCCTTCAGAGATGGCCTCTATTTTAAAAACTGCTATCCAGTGTTGCAGGAGATTTCTTCATGCTGTCGTTTCAAGATGGCCAATGGAGTTGAACATTGGTTTGGAGGCCAGAGTCCACCTTCAGCTGGATGGAGTGGACCATACACTTTCCTGGCAGACTCAGAGAAAGACGGAGGGACGCTCAGGTGGAATAAGGAGGGGCTGAACGGGATGTGTGGCTTTTTTCACTTGGCAGAGATGGAGAAGAGCATGAGGCGATCATTTCTCCATTTCTCCAGGGATCTTTCGGGTTTATTCCCTATTACCTGACTCCAAAGATTTATGTTTTAATAAAACAATAGGAGAAGCTGCAATAATCGAATAGTTTTATCTTTTAGGTTGGCAGTTATGCTGTTGCCATTCGCTTTCTATGTCTCAGTCTTCTGTGGACGACTTCCGTTTGAAAGAGAGGACGTTCTAGAATCACCTGCGTGGGGAAGGAAGTGGGTATCAAGCACATCAGTCACACAGGCCAGGTGCATAGAGAATTCCATGTCAATCCTGCTTCCCTGGCACAGTCCAAAACTTCCTTTTCTGTTTTGTATTTAGAGTCACCAGTAGGGGGCGGAAATGTGTTGAGGTTTTGGTTTGCTTGTTCATATTGGCAACTGTAACTGCGGACTGAATCACCAGCACTGGATGTCAGAAACAGCATATCGAAACCTTGGATGAACAAGACAACCACGTGGGCAGGGGCGCTGAGATGGGCCGGCCGTTTTGTTCGTGGACAGCATTTCATTTTTAAGTTTTATGTATCATTTTCATTTATGTGTCTCTGGGTGTGCCCAAAGAGTTCAACAAAAGGAGGTTTAATCCCTGCAGCTGGAGTTACACGACACTGGCACTGGGAACCAAACTTGAGTCCTCTGCTGGAGCAGCAACTCTATTAGCCGCTGTTGCTTTCCAGGACACATAGAGGCTGCACCTGAGCTCACTGACATTTTCACTACTGCTTGTGGCCCTGCCACCCCTCAATCTGCCTTTCCGGCTGCAGCCTGGTGAGACTTCTGGTTTCGCCAGCGCCTGCCCTGCTGCTGCTTCCAAGTGTAGTTTTTAACTAAGTCGCTCACATCCTATTTGCCGCTAAAAAATCAAGAATCAGAGGTTGGGGTGAAAACCTGTTTCAGAGAGGCCGAGAAGCAACCAGCTGACCTTCCTTTTTGACTAAACACCCACCAAGAAAGTATCTCTCCAGCTGTCCCAAATCGAAAAGACCTCAAGACAACCAAGTCCTTCCCTACTCCTTCCTGTACATCTTTATTCATGTACATCTTTATTCATCTCCCTGGCCCCTCTGTACTATCTACAGCTAACTCCTGTCAACTAGTTGTTGGCTCTACCCCATGATCTAAGGTTGATTTTATTTAATACAGTTTTGAGTTTCATGGCTCAACGAAATACAGCATAACAAAGCACTAGCCAAACTCTCCTGCCCCGGTCAATTTTTTAAAGAGACAAAGTAGTTTATTATTATGTTTGTTTTTAGATCTAAACTTTAGATGTCAGAGATTTACCACTGACATCTGTGCACACAGGGACCTGAAGTTTGTATAGCAGAATTTCTCATACTTCTAATATGCATTATTCATTAATGAGGTCTCTACATATGTGCTAAATTGAAAATAAGGCCACTAAGGGTGAACCCTGAAGAATAAGCAACATTATGAAAATGTGTCTGTTACTTTCCATACCTGCTGTAGTGTGGGCAGTGTGGGAAACTTGCCAAAGTTACTGTTATCTATACAACACCTTGAATGATTTCCCATGGCTCTTAAAACGCGCATCATGAGGAAGGTGCTTTGCTAGACAATTGGTGACAACTGATACATTTCCTCCCAAATTAATCATTCTAGGAATCGGCGCTATATGGCTTCACTAACAGGATGGATTTTCTCTCTCCTGAAATGCAATCATTTAGGTACCAATATATGGTGGACTCAGTTTCTTCCTCTTATACACGGGGATCTACTTATTATTAATCTTGTTTTTAGTTATGAATATTTCTTGATGAAATGCTTTTAATCATGTGTTATTTGTACCGGGGGAAAGAATCAAAGCTCGTAAAAGAAATAAAATTGAACGACCAACGCCTAAAACTTGGTTCTTCCTGCCGCTTTCACAATGGCCCAGACACAACCACTTGAGAGCTAGCAAGCATTTCTTTGGTTCCTATAATAGTGTACTCAACCCAACCATGCTAACAAACACATACTATGGAATACTAACTTACCAAGTTCAATTCCAAGCCATGGAACACAAGACAAAACTATTGCCTCTCCCTTTCTTTTCCATTCATTTTTCCAGCTTCTGTGGTTTTTGAAGTTGGATCTTTAACTTCTTGCAATGTTTGTTACATTGAGATTGTAGCTAAACTAGTGATAAACTATTATGTATTCTATTACATTTCGAATCAGATCAATGCTAACTCGAAAACTTGTTTACCTGCATGCTTACCTGCCTCCTCTCCTCTTATTCCTCTCCTCCACACCTGTCTGCTGTACCACAATCAAAACCTGATGAAAATAAAAATCAGAAAAATAACCCATATCCCCAGGTTATTACCACGAGGAATGCCTATGCCTGTGTTGTCTGACTGCTTTCCCTGCTAAGAAGTATCAAGGAAACACCTGTGTTCTTAGAATGGCTACCTCCTTAATAAGAGGCATCAGATCACCCAGAGCTGGGGTCACAGGTGGCTGAGAGTCTCTTGATGTGGGTTGAAGGGCGCAAACTCGGATCCTAGAAAGAGCAGCACACTGCTTAACTCTCTCCATTCTCATGAAACTTTCCTCTTATAAGATATGCTCACTAAATCAGACAATCATAATAGCATGAAGGTAACTACAGAAAACCCATCAGTTAGGTTGTCTATTTTCTCTTGGCTGTTGTTTGGGTTTAGACAATCCCCCAGTGACCCATGTGTTAAAAATCTTCGTCTTCAGCAAGATGTTTGCAGGTAGGGCATGCCTACCATGGTACAGGAGTAGATGACGTAGGACAACTTGCAAGACTTGGTTCTCTCCTTCCACCATGTTGGTCCCAGAGATCAAATCTATCTAATCAGGCCTGGTGACAAACACTGCTTTGCACTGAGCCATCTAGCTGTTCTCTCTTTAAAGATTTTACTCTGAGATTTTTTTCGAAAATTAATAGATACATACTCGAAGGGCACAATAGTAAAATGAATGCTGGACCAAAGATGTCACCTGAATATGAGAATGCAGTCTTTTGAGAACATCTGCTACTGCATCCAACATTTATTTATTTTTATTTATTTTCAGTAGTCTGCTCTACTTTTGCGTTGAACCTGAGAGAGCAGGGTAAACTCCACCCTAAGAAAAAGCCACCTTGAGAAATTCCCTGCATGGCACAAGGCTGATTCAACTCCAGTCAAGGAGCTATAAACAGTTCTAAGAAAGAACTACAAACTGATGAACCCCAGTCTGGCAGCTGGGGAACCAATAGGACCAAACCAGGCCCCCTGAATGTGGTTGTCAGTTAGGAGGCCTGGGCAGTCTATGGGGCCTCTGGCAGTGGAACCAGTATTTATCCCTAGTGCACAAATGGACTTTGGGAGCCCATTACCTATGGAGAATAGTCTCTCAGCATACATTAAATGGGGGTGGGGGGACTAGGTCCTGCCTGAAATGATGTAATAGACTTTGATGATTCTCCACGGAAGGCTTCACCCTCCCTGGAGAGGTAATGGGAGTGGAATGGGGGGGGTCGGTGGGGGTCATATGAGGATGGGAGACAGAGGGACCTGGGATTGATACGTAAAATAAGATTGCTTCTAATTTAAATAACATTTATATATATAAAACAACCCCCACAAACTGTGTCTGCCCAGGTCCAAAATGACAAACAATGACTAACTCTGATAAACAACATATGCTAGCCACAAATGTCCTTGTGGGCAACTGTTAGCAACAACTTTGAAATTCTCCTAGACCCCAGTTAATGAATCCAAGGGTCACCTACTCTTACCCAGTCCTGAACAGCCGAGGCACGAAGCACCTCGCTTGTGGTTTTTTTCTTTATAAACCCATTGTAATTGAGGCCAGGCGCCCTTTTCCTGTAGCTGTTGCTCCAGTTTGCTGGACAGGGTCCCTGACTAAGCTTGTAGCTTAACAATAAACCTTGTGCATTTGCATTGGTGAGTCGGTTCCTTGGTAGCCTTTTTGGGGTCCCGCAAACTGGGTACAACAAACCCGGAGCCTCAGACATACTAGGCAAGCTTTGTAGCACTGACATACATCCCCTTCTCTATGGAGACCTTTGAAAGGCTTTGAAGAATGAATTTCTCCCTTTCTTTCTCTCTCTCTCTCTCTCTCTCTCTCTCTCTCTCTCTCTCTCTCTCTCTCTCTCTCTCTCTCTCTCTCTCTGTGTAATAGCCTCAGCTGTCTTAGAACTAGCTCTGTAGCCCAGGCTGGCTTCAAACTAACTCACAGATTCTGCCTGCCTCCCAGCTGCTGGGATTAAAGGCATGCACCACTACTGTCCAGCAATGAGTTACATGACCAGGTTTGAATTGATAGGAAAAAAGTTACAACCATCTTTACTACATGATTTTAATAACCTTATTAAATTTGTCAGCTCTCTAAGTCATCAAATGTGTGTTATGAGTTATGAAAGAAGGGATTGGAAACAACAGATAACACATTAATGAGTAGCCTAATTTTAGAAGCATCATGTCTAAAATAAAAATAAAGAGGTGTGCAGATGTCTTGCACATAGAAAGGATACATTTGAACAAACTATTTCAATGTTATCTAACCAAGATACAAATCTTTAGCTCCAAAAACCTCTAACATTAAAACATAAATTCAATGAAATTGAATAGTGTTTTGAGAATGGGAAAGTTTTAAATTTTTGAATATATGTGAGAAACACACAATTGTTTGATTGAGTTAAAAGTGAAAAAACTGTTGCAAATGAGGTCAGCTTTAAAGTTTAATGTGGGGAGTCACTATATCCTTCCCTGGGAAAATCGTATGTGCAATGCTTCAAAAATAATATCGGTGAATATTTTTATCATAATTAAAATAATTTTGAGGTCCTTAAGTACAAGCAAAGAGTACCTATAGTAGTGCCTCTTATGATTCCACAGAATCCAAATGCACAATCTGCCCATGGACTTGTGCGGGCCAATAGAAACCTCATTATAGCTTAGTTTTCAGTTCTTTGCCGTTCTCAAACTCAGGACTTCTGAGCGCAACCATGCACTCGCTTTCCTTCTCTGTGAGCTTCACCTTTGCAACTTTTGGTTTGGGAGAGTCAACTTCCCCAGGAAATTGGAGCTTCCTCACAAGTAATACAATGAAGAATGCTGGGAGGTAGCTTGATCCTCTTAGAGCTGCTGGCACCCCAAGGTAAATGCGCCTATTGAAAACAGCAAATTTATATTAAATCTTAACGTGTTCAGTGAAAACCAATTTTGTATGTTCTTCAGATCATTTACTCTTCAAAGAAAAACATCAGGTGATTACTTTGCCCATGTAATTTATATAATATACTTTGCTAATTTATTAATTCTGTTTGTTAAAATGTCAAATAATTTCCACCATTAAAGTTCAAATGTATTTACTTCATTTTGATGGTCCCTACCTTCCATTGTTAACTTGACTGAATTAGGATCATTATCAACATACATCTTTGGTTGTGTCTATGAGAATGTTTTCGTTAACGTTTATCTGAGAATGAAGTCCTTCACCACCATGTGATGGGATTCTAGCCTTGGGTGTTTCCTGACATAGCAGACAACATAACCAGCCTCCTCACACTTCCCAACCATACCTCCCCTGCCATTACCTCACGCTGAGTCACTATGTTTCCCCTTCCATTATTGCCCATTCCCTTAAATACTGAAACAAAACACCCATACAGTATTAAAGGATCGCCTCTGTTTTAATTGCTTAAATTTTCATCACACATGCATAAAACATCTTAAAATCACTTTTCCAGATTTCTCTCCTACTGAGAATTTGTTTGCCGTGTTATACCAATTGATTTTTGTGATATTGAAATCCTTGTATGTCTAAAATAAGACATATTAGTAATTTTTAGGTATTAATAGTTTCAAATTGTTCACTTTCAAGCATAATTTTGCAATTATTACGGTCAATTTAGCTTTTATTATTTTGACTATGTACATGTCTTGGCCTGAGTGTGGACATTTGCTCGGGAGTACTGGATACATTGCAATTGGATCAACAGGACATTTTGAGCTGTACAATGTTAGTTATGGAAACTGAACTCATGTGATCTGCAAAAGCAATATGTGCTTTTAACCCAAAGCCATCTCTTTAGCCCCACATTCTTTTCATTTGCTGAACTTGTCTAGTTTAAGCTTGAAAAATGTAGAAGCTTTCTGAAATGAATTTTGTAGTTTGACTTTTCACCATTTCTGAGAATGACTTTTATTCTGTTATAAACATCTCTTCTTTGTAAATTTGATAAGATATGCTGTAAGCTTTCTGAACTTGATGTTTTTTGGGAAACAATTATTTTGAAATATACATTTCAAAGTAACTATGAAAGCATGCCTTTATATTCTCAACACGCATATATGAAAAAGCTGGCATGATGAATAGTGTTGTCAGCTTCATACAATCTAGAGTCTTGTGGGAAGGAAGTTTCAGTGAAGGCCTATGTGGATTTTGTTGGCCCATGAACATGTTCATGTGGCATTATTAGGATTACATTAATTGAGGTGATGAGTCCCATCCCATAGGGGTGACAACAATCCCTAAGGACTAAGGACAGAGAAAATTATTGTGCTTACTTACAGCAGGAAGGCAATAAGAATAGCATGTATGTATAGATGCTTAAGACTTCAGATACAACAGTTTAGAAATATCATTGAGACTTTTTTTTACTAAAGGGATAATAGATTAAAACTATCTTAGTTTCTTTTCCTGTCACTGTTATGAAAGACCCCAACAAAAAAGCATCTAAAGGAAGAAGGGTCAATTTGGCTCACAATTCCAAGTTACATTCCACTATTGTGGGACGTAAAGGCAACCGGAACTTTCATCCACACAGAAACACTGACAGAAATAATTGAGTCCTTCTACACTATTACTGTGGACATGCCAGACTTGGAATGGCATCCCAGCCAATCACAGCCAGACATTCTGGAGGACAGGGCAAAGGCCAGTCCTTTCTCTCCTAGAATTTTTCAATATATTGCTCACCCAGAAACAGAGGGGTGGGTCTTCCTTACACTGTTTTTTTTTTTTCTGAAGTGGTTTTAGGTGAAGGAACACAGTGCAGTCTGTAGCTAACAAAATTTCTCTGTAGGCTTTCTTGGGCCTGTTGCCCTCGAAGGCCAGCAAGGTTAACAGTCCAAACCTGGTTCGAGATCAGGCAGCCTGGCATGCTGGCTGGACATGGGCAGTAGTGAGCCCGTAGTGAACCCACATTTATTTCACTATACTGTTAGTGACAGGTGCCTGTGTAGCACTTAGAGTGGTGAGGACCATACAAGCATGGCTTTTAGTCTAGGCAACAGCATGAAACCACACACATCTGGATGTTCCCGGATCTCAGAGGCCAGACTCCCTGGTCTGCTGGTCCTTGATGGTAATGGTTCCAATTATTCCCGTGAGTGGCAACACCCTCCCACCTTGTGACACTCTCTGTTGGTTTGTACCACAATCAGTCTCCTGAGGCACGCTGTGTTCATGAGGCAGCCAACCACTAAGAGCAGTGGAGTATCTATGGGTTCCCAGAGACGAGACCATCCATCAACTTCAGACAGCAGGTCCCTTCTTAAGATAGGCCCTCTCTACAGCACCGCATGTGTTTTCTTAAACTTCAAGGGATGCACACAGATTTGGGGTTCTTATCTAATCAGGCTTCAAGCATGAGATGGGTGTGGACTTTCTATGAGTTGGATGCCAGGATCCACGCCGAATCAATGAGATGGGACTCTGTCATCCCCACCCCTGTAGAAGTAAGGGGTCTCTCCTCTCTGTCCTTAGGTATGGGGGTTAGAGCTGAGAGATTTTCTTCCCACCTACAGCACCATTGCCCTTGGTCTCTGGATCTTACTGCCCTGTTTATCTCCAGTGTTCTGCCATGCTAGCTCAGCTCAAGATGCAGCTCTCCCGCTGTTGCTCCAGGACGTCTATGCAGACGCCCTGTTCCCCCCTTTAAAAGTATTTTGAAGGGCTGGGTTAGGAAACACACTCACATTTATATGTATCAAGTACTTTAGAGATAATAGGAAAATATTAAAATACATAAATAAGGAAGTTGTACCATTCATGTGCAATCTGAAAGTGAAGCGAAATGTAATTTTATCACTGAGGAAAATGTTTGATATGAATGGGGGCGTTTTATGCAGCACAAAAGTAAGTCTCAAAAATTAACTTTACCTGAAGTTGTGTATATCATACATCCTGCATGCCCCTGGCTCCCCACACTTCTGAGTTCCCCAGTATAAACAGGTTCTGTCTATCAAGGCACCAAAGTAAACAGGTGCTGGGATGCCAGCTGCAGTGAAGAGAGAGGGAAGAGCAACCAATTGACAGGAAGAAAAAAAAGAGAGTCGTGTTATTTTATTAGGAAGTACTTCAGTTACCCCATAAAGACAATATAAAAACTATGAATCAAAGTATCTAGACTTAGTTTTATGAAATATAAGTAAATGTAAAGTTTCTAGATCACAGCTAACGAAAATTATGTACCTTGTGTATTTTCTGAAATGTCTTGTGCTGGTTTTCTCTACATCTAACTAACAAAGCCGTTTATTCCTCATGTTATCCTTGAATCTACTACAATATCAAAGGTATAATTAAGTTCAGGTAAGCTCTTTAAAGACAAGGGGAAACATTTTTAATCTCTTCGGTTACTTCATACTCAGGCTAATTATAAGTTGCTATTTTCAAACAAAAGATCTTGTGAACTGAAGTCTCAGTGCAATGTGGGCAAAGCACACCTGTGCTGAAGATGCCACAAGGTCATTGGAATTTTCTGGGTGTGAACAGTCGGGATAGGGCAGGTCCAGAATCAAACTGTCTTTACCTTCCATATTGATCATTCATTTGCCCCATCCCCGTGTCCGACATTCCATGAAACTGTCACATGAAGCCTTTGGGGGATGTACTGACTTAACAGGCCACTATCTTCCCCCCACCCGAACACTAAGAATGCCCTCAAGCATCTAAGTCTACAGCAGAGAAAGCCTGCTTCTCTGTAACAAACCTACCTGATGTTCCCACAGATATATTTGAGAAGTGCCTTATCCGTGACTTCCTTTGTTCTCCAACTATAAACATCAGTAACTATCACCATGTTGGAACCTGAAATTTGACGACTTAAATCTATGTTTCCACATGATGGTGATGCATTCTTGGTTTCAAATTAAGCCCTCTTGTTCCTTTTAGGGTGAGAGGGTTTTGTTTTGGATTGGCAAGATATTTGCTATCTTTATCTTCAGAGAAAAATAATTGGTTTACTAAACAATATTGACCTCATATCTTAGGAAAACTGTTCATACCAAATACTCTTATGCAAAATGCATGTAGTCCAACACCAAGTGACTTCTCTTCAGACTTGATACACCTGAGAAAAACATGCACACATATGTCAAAGCAGGTCATGCAAACCCACATCTGTCCTAGCATCCTCCCAATGGCAGTGGTAGCTCGTGATCTTAACGGTTAGGTTTTTCACGTTGAAACAAGCATAATACAGCTCTGCATCTATGAAGCCCACACAGAGGAAGGAGGATGTGACTACGGAAAGGTGTCCTCTGATCTCCAAACATCTAAAGCAGTGTGGAGCCCTTTAATGGTTAACATACATTGGCTGCTAACCTAGAAGCTTCGATCCCTAGTTACCATGGTGACCACCTGCGATACCCATCATAATGAACCCAAACATTTGAAAACACAAACCAAATAAATATTCCTTTTTAAAAGTTGTTTGTCAAGCATTTTGTCATGTTAATTAAAAATTCTAGCACATTATATAAAACTTCAAGGTATGGTAAAGGTACAGATAAACAGAAAAAGACTCCCTCATGTAAACTATGACAGTAAGAAAATGCTTTTGTTTATGGAGTTACCAACATTAGACTTTTGTCTTTCCTGTACTGCCTACAAAAATAGATGAGGTGGTTTTGAGAATTATGGACAAAGGGGAGGGTTATAAAGCAGTCAGGATAGAAGCTGAAAAATACACTTATAAATTAGAAACGTGGTTTTTCCCCGCCAAATACACCCTTTGGTAAGAAAAGCGTAACTAATGCAACCATTGGGATTTCATTTTGGAAGTGACTCATGAAAGGGTACAAGGAGACAAAACAATTTAGAAGAGCATGACAGTGTGCAAACAGCAGTACCTTATCATCCATCATTTACATGGAAATCATTAAATTCAGCAGAATGCAACCAAGAAATATGAGAAAAATAACATTAACCCCATTACATTAAGAAATCACACATTAGGCCCTAAAGGGATGTCTCAGTGAGTAAAGTTGCTTGCCACCAAACTTGACAAACTGCCTTCAATACATGAAATATGAAATCCGCCTGGTTGTAGGAGAATCAGCTCCTAGGCTATGTCCTCAAATTTCAGCATCTCTCTCTCTCTCTCTCTCACACACACACACACACACACACACACACACACACACCAATGAGCCACAATTTTTCAACCAGTTAAAGAGTCAAGTTCAAGTTCAGAAAGTAGTGTAATTGAGAAAGTGAGTAAGGCCTGGAACAGGGAACAACCATGCAGTAAACATGAAAGCAACTATTGAGAACATGTTTGGAGGTTCCAACACGATAGTTCAGCTACTCATGTGCCCTTCACCTATGGCCATCCTCTTCTATGAGGAATAATCATCGTTATCAACTGAGCACACTTCTTTGGAACAGGGCACCTGGAGTATTGAGGGAGAAGGAGACGCCGTGTAGCCTCATCAGCTGAATCAGCCTGGCACATGATGGGGTGACAGATGTCACGGCCAGTTCTCCCTCACTTCCAAGAATAGATCTTAAGAACTAGCAGTACTCGGTGCTTTCATCTGTCTGTGAACCTGCGAACTAAAACAAGACACATACCACATCCCCACTTGAATGAACATAAAAAAATATAACATCTTACCATGAAAAATGAATACGTAAGAACACATATGGGGCCAAACTAGTGAGTATCTATGATGGGTAGAAGTAGAGGAGAGGAAGCACCAAGGGTGAGGGATGGAAATGGAAGGGTGGGGGAGGAGAGACGAGACGAGAGAAGAGGACAAGAGGGAAGAGGAGAGGAGAGAGGAGAGGAAAGAAGAGATGTGATGGGAGAAGAGGAGGGGAGGGGAGGGGAGGGAAAGGGATGGGAAAGGAGGTGATGGAGAAGAGGAGGGCGGGCGTGGGAAGGGAATGTGGGCAAGCAAACAGAAAAGTACAGCTCCCTGTAAGGGAGAAGTGAGAACGTTGGTCCAGTCTATTAGGAAAAAGCGCTGTGAATTACACATTACAGTTAACTCAACTTTGCTTCTCAATTGTAAGGGAGAAGTGAGAACGTTGGTCCAGTCTATTAGGGAAAAGCGCTGGGAATTACACATTACAGTTAACTCAACTTTGCTTCTCAATTCCAATGAGACAAGAAAAGAAATGTTAAAGTCTTTCCCCATGTCTCCCCATTGCTAGTGGGTGTGAAGTTTGCTAGATTGGAAAGAACACTTACAAACAAACAAACAACAACAAAGAACAAAGAACAAAATAAACCCTTAAAACTTGGCTCTGCAACTTCCTCAACTTATACTAAAGTCTGTAGTATCTATTACTGCATTCTTTTGTTGTTGTTAAAGACAAATTGATCTCAGTATGTCAAGGGAGACTGCTCGCTTTTACACAGAGAGTTTCACACTCAGTCAGTGAGCTGAGCCACAGGAAATGAGCGCTAGGCAGCTACTCTCTTACTGCCAAAACAATACAGGCCTTAATGGAGGCTTAAGACATGAAAGGAGAAAATCAGAATGTACTGGAAGGAAAATTCCAGAAAATTTTAGATTACTGTTAAATATAGAAATGTTCAGTATAAGAGTCTTGATAAAGGTATCTTAGAGCATTGAAATTCTAGGAACAATGACTCCAAGAGAATTTCTTGTGAAAAGGAATTTTAATTAGTGACCAAAAAATATAAGTGGCATTGGCGGGGTGCTCAGTGAATGCTCAGTGAAAAGATTATTGCTACAAAGGCTCGATGACCCAAATATAATCCCCAGAACTCAGGACCATATGTTAAAAGAATTCCAGTTCAGTGACATGCATGTGTAATCCCAATATTCCTATCTTTAAATAGGAGGAGAAAGCAGAGTTGCTTAGGAATTTGAAAATTAGGTGTGCCAAAACCTCTGGCAGAAATAGTAAGAGAGACCCTGCCTCAAAACCAAGATGAATGGAGAGAACTGTTTTTCTAACATTGTCTTCTGACCTTCTGTGCTTTCTTGGCACCCAGGAATCCCCGCAATACATAATACACACCACACACACACACACACACACACACACACACACACACACACGCACACACACACACACACACCATATAGTCATATATGCACACGTTGTTAAGAAGGAAAGAAAGAAAGCTAAGTGAATGAATGAATTAATACCTCAGAAGAACCATATACCCAGGTATGGCTGCTAGTGAGTAGATGAAACAGCCAATTACTGACATGATGAAATAGTACTGCAGCTTGATGGTACAGTCAGGGCCTTTCTTACACAGCCCAAGGACAGCAGATGAGTTTCCTGAAGACCAAATGCAGCTACAATTGTGAAACACCTGTCAAAAACAATGTCTTTTTTAAGGAAGGAAAATATTGAACATAAACCTTCTATATTTTCTACACAGCCAGTTAGACAAAAATAGAGAGCTTTGGGGCCAATGATGTAACTTAGAGGAGCAGCACTCATCCAGCATGAATGAGCTGGAGCATAAATACCATTGAGTAAACACTAAATAGTAAATAGCCAAAATGGAGGTTTCCTTCCCACTTTATTTCCATCTCTTTTTATGGTATCTCAGAATTCTATCATAAAATACAAAGGGGGAAATTTTTAAGAATTGGTATGCTTTCTAAATATATGAAGTACACATATTTACAAAAATACAATTGTGCTGAATGCACACTTAATATTTTTGTATTTATTTGCTTATTTGGTCTTGTGTGTGTTTGTGTGTGTGTGTGTGTGTGTGTGTGTGCATTTATGTTTGTGCATGCCTGTGCACCTGTGTGTCTGTAGGTTGACATGTATGCCATGGCATACATGTAGAAGTCAGGGAATAAGTTATGTGAGTTAGTTCTCGAAAATAAACACTGCTTTGTTTTCTGTTGGCTTAGTCCTAAGTACTAAAACAAAATGTATTTCAGAATACTGATGGAATAGTTAAGTGCTTACTAATAAGGTCATGTCACCAAGAGAAAGAGTTTAGCAATAAAGTCAATTCTTTCCTTAACTCATTTTGACTACCAGCTAACCTTAAATATTGTAACATGTTTAAGGCAAGGAAAAATGCTTAGCTTCATGTACTAAACTGTGGTGATGTGGGGGAGACAGCACAGTCTGAAAAGCCATGCATGAACACGAAAACATGAGGTCAGATCCCCAGCACACATGGGAAAAATGCATGCATAGAGGACGTGCTTGCAACACTGGTGCTTTGAAGGTGGCAACAGGTGACTCCCTGGGGCTCACTTGTCAGGCAGCCTAACAGAATCTGCAAATCACAGGCCAGTGAGATCCTGTCTCAAAAGCATTATCAGGATGTAACCCGAGAGTCAACAGCAGAGGTTGTCTTCTGGCCTCCCTATGCATATGTACCTGCACACACACACACACACACACACACACACACACACACACACACACACACCTCACATTAAGTGGATACATAAATGAAAGAAACTCGTGGTATGAAAGATAAGTTTTCTCTCCACCTCAACTACATGGCTAGTGTAAGGTCAGTCTGGGCTCCTGGAGGAGACCCCACCTCATAAACAGGCAGATTCTGTCCAAGTATTTTAAAGGTTTAATGTTAGTGTTTATTCATGTGCTTGCTTCTATAACTGTGTGCATTCAGAAATGTGCATGTGGGTGTCTGAGGAAGGCAGAAGACAGTGTCAGTGGCAGGAGCTACAGTTGTGAGCTGCCCTGTGTGGATGCTGGGTACCAAACGGGTCCACTGAAAAACCAGGAAGTGCTCTTAACAGCTAAGCTAGCTCTCCAGCTCATCCTGAGAATTTTAACTCCAACCATTTGAATAGCAGTCTCAACTGCTTTAAAATTACAAGATAATTCTCAGATTCTGTAAGGTTTTATATAACATCTAGGGCTCTAACACCAGGTAGGCATATACCAAATAATGTTGTTGGTTCGCAAAAACTATATTAATATATTTTAAGCAAGGACTAGTTTTTGCTTTTTATCAGATGTAGGCTTAGATCTATATATTAATATAGCACACAAAATATCAGCCTAAAACATTGCAAAGACATTTACCGTGTTGATTCCTGTTCCAACAGACTTTTCACAACCTGCAAGGCAGGGTGACATGTATGCTAGACCATTGTCTCCACACACTGGATCCCACGTTTTAGTTAAGCAGTTACACCTTGTGTTGCAGTCATCAAGGAATTGATTCTCCATATATAATGGCTGCTGAATTCTAGAATGATTTAAAATAATGTTAGGAATACTAAAACAATGATACCCAAGATTTTTATTTTGTTCTATTCATCTCAGTCTGTTTGCCTGCATGTACGCACACATGCAGGCAGGTGTACACACACACACACACTAACACACACGCACACACACAGAGACAGAGACAGAGAGAGAGACAGAGAGAGAGAGAGAATTCACCACCCCTAAACAGAAACAGGAATCATCCAATTATCCATGTGTAGTCTCTGTACTATGCTCTTCTCATAAAAGTTATCTGCTCTGGTGGTCACATGACTGCTTTTCCAACTACCTCATAAATAAACATTAAGTGCCTACCTTATAGGAAAATACTGTGCTGTTAGAGCTAAAAAGGAAGATGAAGATCTGTCACTGATCTGCATGAGGGGATAATGATAGAGGGCTGATTTGAACAAGGATAGGATACATGATGCATTAAGCCCGCAAACAGTGGTTTGAGTGACCAGACAAGCTCTTCTGCAATAGGAAGTGCCCTGCACTTACAACAGGATTGAAAGAGGATCATATGGGAGTCTAAGGCCTGAATTCACACTCTGTCACTCAAACACAGCATGGAGTCAGCATGGCTAGAGATGGAGTAAGTGTGCATAATTCTGCTTTGGTATTGTTGAAGCTACTTTCTGAAAACTAATTCATCCTGAGTTTCATTTTCGCCATCTACAAAGTGAACAGAATAATTGCTTTCTTAAAAACAAATTCAAATTAGATGATGTATATAATTACTAATTATTTTATAGTGAAGTTATTCAAATCTTGCAACTTTCAAAGACGTTGGAAGGACTTTTATTTTTAACCTTTGCTCCTGTCTCAGTCTCTTTAGTGTGTGTGTGTGTGTGTGTGTGTATGTGTGTGTAAGTACACATACAGTAGTCCCCTGCTGTTCACTGCTGCAAATGCCAGACTAGCAGGCCTATGAGCTTTCAGATTTTCCTGCATGTGCCCCTCAGCTCATGGTAGGAGTGCTGGCATTACAGATATCATACCATATCAAGCTGTACATGGATTCTGGGGATCGGGACTAGGGGCTTCTGCCAGAGAACACTTAGACACTGAGTCATCTCCTCAGGATTTCAAAAGGAACCTCCACATATATGTTTTACTTCATTTTAACTGATTAAATTATTACATATCTGAGCACTAAACTAAGTTTTACATGTCCCATGCTAATACAGAATTTGATAAGGCAATCCTTAAAATACAAAGCCTAAGACTGCAGAATACATGAGATACAACTATATCAGTGACATATAGAAATATATACATTTGTTGATTTACCATGTATTAGATTCAATTATGCTAAATTTGTGCCCATTGTAGAACCCTATGAAGATTTGTTGGCCTTCACAGTCAAATGTAAAGCTATCCATTGTTATACAGTCAACTTTTAAAGCTATTTGAAGTATAAAATACATGGATAATTTAGGCTACAAAGCTCTGGATTATTTTCCTTTATTACACTTTAACAGAGACTATGATATCATCATGATGACCACCTGTATGTACATAGAATCCTAAATATACTCACGGGTAGTCAACCAGCCTTTTTAATAAACTTGTAACTGTGTGGGCTGGTATAGAATTGATGTGTGGAAGAAAAATTCAAGATAACCATAGATGACTGCCATTAAGTCATAATAAATGATCTGGTCATGTACAATTCTTGAAGAAAATGGAAACAACATACCCTTCATAAGATGTAGTTAAGCCAGCAACTGGGAAATCATCACAGGTCCACATATAGTTAAAGAAAGATAGAAGATACTCAGTCAGGGACAGGCAGAATGCTATGTATGCAGCTCTCTTGACAGTAATCTTGAACTTCTTCATAATCAAGCCACCAACTAAATATCCAATGCATATAGGTGGGAAGGAATAAAGACCTATAAATGCAGATAAAACAGTACTTATAAAAGACAGCAGAAAATTGATGTTATCAGTTTGTCTAATACACCTTAATTCAGCTCGTGTATACACAGTTATCCTATCCCCCCCACATTCACATATTTCAAACGCCCCATAATGTCATTTTAAAAAGACAGCATTTATTTAATCATTTGCAGAAAGTTATAAGCACCCCGTAACTATCACGTGCATGCACGCGCGCGCGCGCGCGCGCACACACACACACACACACACACACACACATTTCGTGTACTTCTTTCTGTAGAGATACATAGATTAATAGAAATGTGTTAATAATTAAGAGAGAGCCAAACAGTTTATAATTAATATAACTCTTCTGTGTGTTTATTTGGAACCTATCAGCTGAGGGGCTGGGCAGGACAGAAACCTCAGTCTACATGTGGCACCCAAACGTTTGGCAATAATTTCCATGTAAAACCTGCGAAAAGCTTAAAAAGGGACTCTGAAAGCAAAATGGCAGTATCAAGCAGAACTTCTTCGTAGCGACATTCTCTCAGGCGGGCTCTGTTTGCTAGAGGCAAGTAGAAGTCAGACTTCTTTAAAAGGGACTTTGGGAGCCTGCTCCACATAGAGGGATACTCTCAGCCTAGACACAAGGGGGAGGGTCTAGGCCCTGCTCCAAAGGATGTGACAGATTTTGAAGATTCTCCATGGAAGGCCTCACCCTCCCTGGGGAACAGAAAGGGCATGGGATTGGAGGCCAGTGGGGGGCAGGGGAGGATGGGAGGGAGAGTGAACTGGGATTGACATGTAAAACAAACTTGTTTCTAATTTAAACCAAATTAAATTAAAAAAGGAAAAAAAAAGAGAGAGGTGTCCTGACTTAGTATTATCAGCAAAAACCACATGCCTTTTTAAAATGCTCTTTACAAGCACCTGGCAGCATGCTTCCTGGTGGTGACATAAACCTAGAAACTCAGCCATTAAACTAGATTCTCAGAAAGCCAAGGAATAGGATGTGGCCAGCTTCTGCTGTTCAACAGATTAAAGACTCATGTGGTCAGAAAAAGAGAGAGATATACAGTAAAGACTGATTCAGAGGGAGAAAAACCACTAAACTGTTTACTGTGTCTTTAAAAAAATATGTAGGCTTGGGAAAGAAAAGAAAAAGGATAGAGAAACTTCTTTAAGAGAAGAGCGGCTGAGTGTGGTGGCACACACTCTTAATCTCAGCACTTGGGAGACAGAAGCAAGCAGATCCCTGTAATTTCCAGGCCAGCCTGGTTACAGAGTGAGCTCAAGGGCAGCCAAAGTTACACAGTAAAACCCTGCCTCAACAAACCAACAAATAAAAAATAGAACACCAAATAAAAAGACGTGTAAGGATGGAAAGCGCACAGAGAGTCTGGGTACTGCATGTTATTGTGGTGTCTTTAAATTGTTTGACTGATGAGGAAGGAGCAACAGCTGCTAAAAGACATTTGATTATAAATGATTATAAATGGATTAATGCAACCTATGTATTTTGAAAATGCTTTGACTTCATAATATAAGTCTAAGGACATGTCACTTTGGAAAGAGGTTCTGCTTTTGTTTCCACAGAAGATGAAAAGCCGTGGATTCCTTCCAGACTAGTATGGTTTGCTCAAGGAAGACCCCCCTGAAGCAGTGGCCCAGGTGATCCAACGTGCCAGACAGCTGGGGTGATGCTGATTGCGGACTTGCAGACCACTACATCCAGGGTTTGGCTGTGATCACAGATTTTCTCAGCATCCCTTTGGGATTGGCAGCATCCCCCAAACAGTAGGAAGCAGTTTGGAGAGAACTACACCCAAATTCCTAAATATTGTTTATAAAAATCTGTTTTCATTTAAACGGGGTTGGTTATAAATTGTTAATTGTCACAGTCAATCTCTTTCTAAAGAAAAAGAAAAGGGAAAATGATAGATGACTACTTTGCATTGGTATAGATTTTGATTTATTGATACAAATTTAAGGTTAATATTGTTATATGTATATTTCTACTCTTGTTTAGGTAATGTCTTTATACAGCTCATTTAAAATATATAATTGAATACAGATTATAGATCATCACCTATAATAGTCAAAACTTATGTTAGTTAGACTTTCTAGATATACAGATATATATTTCAAGTGAATAGGAAGTCTTCAAAACCTTTCAAAAACCTACGGAATATGGAATTTAAAATAGTTTATTAGGGTTGTTCACAACAATGAGATACAACACCATGCAACACCAGATAAATCAGAGAGAAAGATGTACATTAAAGAAATTTGTTATGAAGTTTGCCTTCTGCATGGCAGGGACAGCCATTTGGACAGGAAGCTGCTCTTGCCTGGACTGCTTGACAGCATGCTGTCCAAACTGGACAATCAGGCTACAAAGAAAATTGACTGCTGAACTTGCCAAGGGACAGAATGGTCCTTCAAAGTTCCTGCTTCATCAAAAAGTCTGCCAGACACTGGGTCTATGGGTCTATGGGCCTATGGGCTGAAGATGGATGCCTCAATGTCACAGAGAAACTTTGGGTGACTGTCCAGGCAGTGAGATGCCACTGTCACCTCAAGAGTTTATATGTTATCCTTTTGTGGTTTTTGATGGAGTTGAAGACAGATAGCTATGGTTGTGGTTTTCCTTAGTTATGATAAAAGATAAAGTTGCATAGAAAACTGTAGACTCACAATGATAGGACAGATTTTGCAAATTGCATATAGACTAAATATTGTAACTATATTCCTTACTTGATAACTGTTTTGTTATATATAATTATACTATGTAAGAATTAAACTCTTTTTATATAGACATAAAGGAGGAGATGATGGGGATGTTTTTCTGTATGCTGTGAATATGTGTTTCTTTTATTGGTTGATGAATAAATGCTGATTGGCCAGTAGTCAGGAAGTATAGGTGAGGTTACTAGACTAGGAAAATGCTGGAAAGAGAAAAGACAGGGAGCAGTCGAGAGAGGGAGATGCCATGTAGCTACCCGGAAGAGAGGGCTCTGGGCATTCTCTGGTAAGCCAAGACTATACAGAGATCTATAGATTAATATAAATGTGTTAATAATTTAGAGAGAGCTAGCAAATAAGAAGCCTGAGCCAGTGGCCAAACAGTTTATTATTAATATAAGCCTTCTGTGTGTTTATTTGGAACTAAACAGATGAGGAACTAGGCAGGACACAAACCTCAGTGTATGTCTTTCCACTCTTGTTTATTAGGAATTTGACTCAGCTCCAAGATATTTTGAAGCTCACTGCCTATCAAGTGTAGAACATTCTGTGCATTGGTTGACCAGAATTCTTTCTTCCTGACTTTACTTCCCTAGTCCCCCTACAGAAATATCAAAGGAAAAAAAGAAAAGGGTAGAGAAAAACCCAGGCTACATTGCATTCATACAATACCAGCCCCAGATTTAGAGGAATTTATATATGCATTCTTTGCTGTTCCGTACAATTGCACTTAATTTTATACAACTGAGGGTAGGGACTGGTATTTGGACTTTCAGAGAACTGTAGATAATGTGGATGCTGGCAGCCTATGATCATCAGTTTTCAAGAGTAATTGAACCCAGAAAAAATCCAAAGTCAGGTAGAATCCCTGAGTTTAGGGTGCTAACAAGAAAAGCAGAGTATGGATGCACAGAATCCTCAGATCACTGGGGAACCAAGCAAATGAATTAGGAGTAATGTGGAAGGCAAGAATTGAAACCCAGAAGTAGAATCTGAGAGTAAGACACAGAATCCCACTGAATTGATTATGCATTCCTGTTTGAATTAACATATCGCCTATCTGAAAATTGACTGACAATGAACATCCTCAAGATTTTTGTAACAATGACAGTTTTCTTTTTGGTTGGAGCAAGAACAGAGAGGATATTTCTGGCCTCTTCCTTTCTCTATCCATTCTTAATTTCTCTGGAGACTAGAAAGAAGAAATTTGCAAGTATCCTAACATATTTCAATTTCCTTGTAGTTTCCTAGTCACATGATTATACTATTTAGAATATCCTTGGGGACGCTGTATATCTTATCCTTGTGGTAGGGGGAAGTGATACTGAAGAAATAATAAAACTACATACCTGTGAGAAAGATTATCTCTGCAGTTGACTTTCCATATTGTTGTTCCAGGTATTTAGTCATGAAGGTAAATAAAATGATAAATCCATTAATCTGGAGCACACTTGTAAGGATGAAAAGCATGTAAATTGGGTTGCAGGAAAGGCTCTTCATGTATGGCAAGAAATCTGAAATGAGAGTTTAGTGTAAAGAACACCAGCATAGCCTGGCTTTGCATTTTGTGTCTAGTGTTCTCTTAAAATCTCAGAGATTCTGCGCTGTGACATAAATGCATCTGATAAATCTTTACTCTTTGTGGCTAAAGTTCTATATTTGTTTCTAAGTTTCTTCTGGAATTTAGTGACACAGCCAGCTATACAAGAATCAGAACCCAATTGTACAATCACGCAAAACTCTTAGGAGGCTGAATGCTGTTTGTGGCCACATACTTTGATTTCTTTTCCTCTGTTCCTTCTATTAATAAAATACGTTCACTAGAGAGTGACTAGTTTGGTCTCTGGAGTCTGCAAGGGACACTTATTTGATAACATTTGAATTAATATACTGATGTTATCACTCCTTTGTGCAAGAAAGGATGATCTAAAACTCAGGAAGACTCCGGGAATCATGCTACAGCCCTCCCAACTTCAGCATCCCTGCAACATTTCTCAATAGAATTCCATTAGAAGCACCTAGGAATATTTTTAAACGTGACTCATTTGTTGTATACCAAGCACCTTCCAACTGCCTTAACTAGAACTTCTCCCTGTCTAAAAATCTGAGTGTCAAGTTTGTAGCTATCTCTAGTAAATGGATTGAATCTCACTGCAGATATTTGACTGAATTTCACATGTAAATAGTCTCTTTCCTTTTTTTCTGTCTTCATATTTCCTGTCTTGATTTTCTGATATATACTATCCTTAATAAATTGCCTAAAATTTTAGAGATTAATATATGAAGAAGAAACCATTTAGAAGTATAGGCAGAACAATTTAATAAAAATAAGTGAAATTTAGTAGAAAAATCAACCTTCATGAATGAGAGGGTTAAAGTCAGAATTCCCAGGAACTTTTGAACTCATCCTTGTTTGCTGATATTCCTGTTCTCCTAAATGAGTCTCCACAATTTATATTGATTTTCTGTATATCTTATACTATGCTAAGCACTTTCCTAGTTTTGAAAATCAGGTTGACCTTATAGACAGTCAAACATAACAATCACTATTGGTTATTTGAGAATAATCATTAATATGACCATGATTCTAAGAATGTGCAAGACTTTGAACTCACTCCTGATATGACTGGCTCCCCAGCTATGGTCAATAGTGTTTCAGGAATATTTGTGATTATTCAGTGCACAGTGGTGTTGAAGGTTATGAGTGATGGAGGAAATAGAGAAATTACCAGTAAAATGCTCCCTGCTGTATTCTGTACCAAAACAGCATAGAAACTCAAGAATATAAGGTACTTTTACCCTCATTTAACAGGTGAAGAAATAGAACCTTCCTGCCCTCCAATTATACACGTTAAAAATTCCAGAGCCCAAGGCTTGCCCCATTTGTACTCGAGACCACTACAGATGTCACCACACACATAGCTTTGAAAATAGTGCCAATGTTTAAGAACGGGCAGTCTTGAACACTCAGCTTCTCATAGATGCATCATTACTCTGCACCAGAAATTAATAACATCCCTCCTTGTTCTACAACAGTCAGATCCTTAGGGAACACTTCTGTGAATTATAACAACCTTCAAATACAGAGGATTATATTACCTCTCAGTTTTTTCCAGACTTAATTTTTCAAGGATTCTCACAGTTAAATTAATATTTTTTCTCATCAAACTATACTGATACCTTAGTGTAGGTATTACTCTCCCATTACCTTTAGCTTAAATTTCTGTTTATTAATGTTTTAATGTATAATTATATTTTGTATAAAATGGACTTTTTAAAACAGACAGGAATTTTTTTTGCTTATTGAGTATCCACATTGACTTGAGTTTTCATAAAGCCTAATATAAGATAAGCTGTTTAAAACTATCTCAGTTGTTTGCACATGGTAACTTTGGAAGAAGTATAACACATCTGACTAGGGACCTTTAGTGACAAACTATCTGAGCTCAGCACAGCAGCATGACAAACGCTACACTAACTGCAGACCCATCTAAACCAAATACAAGGTTTAAAGTTTCCTGTTTGCCTTTAGTGAGTCCACGTTTTTCCTTCTTGGCTTTCTCTTGGTGTTTCTCTTCTTTGTCACTTTTAGTCACAACCATGTTATCCTCCAATCCATTCTTTGGGAGTGTTTTGGGAAGAAAGAAAAAAGGGATGCTGATGAGGATATTCACTCCGGCACAGATCAAAAAGCCGACCCACCAAGCACCGACCCAGCGTGTATCAGTGGGAGTTATGGTCAGGTCTTCTGTAAAGAAATACAGATAATTTATTAATGTGCACCATTCTTTCCTGTGTAAACTGTAGAAAATTATTAAGAAGAATAATGATGGGGGAAGTCCAGGCGGGAATTCCACAACAAGTGGCGGCGGCTGGCGGGAAGACTACACTTTGCAGAATAATTCCATCTAAACACAAAATTTGCCTATTATTTGTAAACTATTCACATTTGTTCTTGTTCTTGTTTGGGCCTTGCATTTTGGCCCCCTGCCTCTACTTGTTAAATGCTAGGATTACAGGTATCTGCCGCCCCACAGGTTGAATTTACATTTTTAGAAAAAGTGTCCAAGGTTGATCTATTAAGTAAAGGTAAAATTAAGGAGAAACTCCTAGACTACTACATATCATAATAGTCAAAACTTCATTTTAAAAAGTCAAAATAACCATTTGAGACATATTTAAGGAACTGGCTTTAGCCTGATGTATTCATATTGAGACATATTTAAGGAACCGGCTTATTCATATCTCAAAATATCAGAGTGGGTATGGAAGGGGACTGGAGCAACAGTTCAGTGGCTGAGACTTACTGCTGCCCTGGCAGAGGTCCTGAGTGCTATTCCTAGCACACACATGGAAACTCACTACTCCCTGCAACTCTGATTGTAGGGCTATGAAACCCTCTTCTGACCTCAGCAGGCACCCACATTCATAGTACATACATACATACATACATACATACATACATACATACATACAAAGTCACCTTCCCTAAATATGATATTTGCAGAGGGTGGAAAATAAGAACAAGGACCTTTCATGAATTTAAGGACCCATGAATTCTGCCTATGAAAAAACAGTCTGATGATTAAAGAAAACAATTATGTCCCGACACCAAAGGTTATGCCTGAATTCCTTCATCAAGTAAGTTGCAGACTTAATCACAGGCCCCAGTGTGTACCTTGAGAAAAACTTGTAAAATTAAATGACACTATTGTATATAAAGAAAAATAGATGGTTAAGTGACCACTCATTTAAAGTTTCTCCAGAGTACAACTAAGAATTGAAATCTTCTACTGCCCAAGGCTCAATAGATTACCTAGGCCTCCTCACTGACACCCACATTCAGGGGGCCTTGATCAGTCCCATGCTGGCTTCCCAGGCATCAGCTTGGGTCAGCTGTTTCTGGGGGTTAAACCAGGCCAGTCTTAATCCCTTTGGTCAACAGTCCTCCCTCTCTGTTACTGGCTTTCTTGAGTTCAGCTCAGTGCTTAGCTATGGGAGTCTGCCTCTTCTTCCATCAGCCACTGAATGAAGTTTCTGTTTCCCAGACTCTCTGGCCATGGGATTGTAGGCTGGCATCCCCAGATCTATGTCTAAAATCCATATATGAGAGAGTACATGCCATGTTTCTCCTTTTGTGACTGGGTTACCTCGCTCAGCTAGTATTTATCCCGGGTATACAAATGGACTTTGGACTCCCATCCAACAATGAGAGATGAACTCTCACCCTGAACTCTTGGGGGAGGGTCTAGGCCCTGCCCTGGATGAAATGACAGACTATGGACACCCCCATGGGGGGCCTCACCCTCCCTGGGGAAATGAGGGGATATTGGGGGGTTGGTGGGAGGGCACGGGAGGAAGGGAGAGAAACGGAGAGGGACCTGGAATTGGCATGTGAAGCAACTTTGTTTCTAATTTAAATTTAAATTAAATTAAATTTAAAAATAAAAAATAAAAAAAGAATCAAAATCTTCTAAACTGAAACTGAAACCAGTCACCTGACAGTACAGAAGGAACTGGCTGAAACATACTTAGCATGCTTAAAATGTTGCTAATCAATAATAAAAGCATCATTGCTTCAGAGTGAAGATGTCACGGTGGGAAAATTTAGGGTGATATATATTATTTATTATTACAGCTTTCCTGAGGATTCAGAAAGCAAAGTCAGCCACAAGCCAGTCACCTTTTATCCTAGGGGTCAGAAGCTAGGAGGTGTTAGAACATACTTGTAATCCTAGAAATCAGGATTAAAGAGGTAGATAGATCTCTCTGAGTTCAAGGTCACCCAGGGATACATGAGATTGAATGAATCTAAAAGAGAAATATAGTTCACACCCATAATCCCAGCTCTAGAAGGGTATAAAAGATTGAAGCAGGATCTTCAGGCTTCAGTAGGAGGCATTCATTTTCCAGCCCCACTGAAGATAGGAGCATTCAGTCTCCATCCAGGCTGAGGAGAGCTTGGTGTCAGGCCTTTCATCCTGAGGTAGAGACAAGGGTTTGCTTTGCTTTTCTGATGTTCAGCTTGAAATCTGAACACCAATATCAGTATCTGAGCATTTATTTTTTTGTGTGTTACAAAAACTTATACAAAGAAAATATTTGCTTGTGGAATTCTAAAGAAAACAGGTAACTTGTCATCTTAATGTAAAGATTTCTTCTTATGTAAAGATTTTAACTTGCTATTGGAAAGTAACATTTGGTTATGAGGTAAACTTTTCTTGCATAGAAACCTATGTATTAGGATGTATAAAAGGGATAAGGAAGAATAAGTGACGGAAGGAAAAATATCGAGGAAGAAATAGAAGGGAATCATTAGGGAATAAGTGAAATGGTAACATCAGCAAAGATGTAGCAAGAGAACAATTGTGAATAGAAAATAGAAGAAAAACAACAGGGTAACAGAACAGAACTGACAGAGAACACAGTAAGAACAACCACCTGAGAGAAAAATAAAACGAATACTTAAACTTTGGTACTCATATACAGTTCCCATGTGTGTCTGAACATCTCTGTCCAGTAGTTTACCCACTTTTCATCCCCTTTCCAGTTTCTCTAATCTACTGGGGACGGGGCCCCTTGGTGGCAATATATTTTCCAGCAGTGAATCAGTAATTCTGCCTGTCATGTGAAACCTTTTACGTTGGTGTTAATCACGCAATGGATCTCCTTTACTATCCACAGTGGCAGCCTCCTTGACAAACATCTACATGAGTCACCCTTCTGAGACCAAAGGCGAGGCTGAAATGTGGTAATGAGGAGAATGTTGAATTTTTAATCAGAAGGCTATATCCTCACTTCTGCTCATCTTAGGTCTGCAATCTGTACGTGGTGATAAAATGGCTAGCCGAGAATTGGAGGAGTCAGTGGTATAGCAATCTGGAGCACTCTGCATTCTAGAGACAGGGAATGTATAAATAAAATATATTTTACCTGTATTCACAGACCCAGTGTCTACATAAATGGTTGCACAGAAGGATGCCAAGAAGAGTCCAATCAAAGGGCCAAGAATCTTCCCTGTTTCTAAAATCCCTGGGAGTAAACAAAGATAGGAAGTTACACAACCACACGGAGATCTTGCTTGCACAAAAAGCCTTGAGACTGAATACTGAATTGTTTTTAATCTTAGATTTCTTTTCATTCCTTGGCAGAACAGGGTATCCAGTAGGCTACGCAAGTGCTCTACACCTGAGCTACACCCCACTACTTCAGATATTCCTATATACTCTACTTATAAAAATTTAAGCTTGGCATGTATATGTACATATATATGCTACATGTACATATGTGTGACATGTAGGTACATTGGTTTATATAAATACTGAGAAAGGAGCCCTCCCATATTGTTTCAATATAGAATGGCTCCCAGAAGGTAATATGCTATAGATTTGTTTCCCAGGAGGCACCGCTGGAGACCAACGGAACCCTTCCAATGGAGGGGGTGGTGTTGAGTCTTCAGGTCATCAGGAGTAGAACCATAGACCTTTCCTCATTCTGCTTTACTTCCCAGTCACAAGATGAATGATGTCACTCCTCCCTTCCTTCCACCATAATGAGTTTCCCTGTGACAAACCTCCAAAACAGACAGCCCAGGGACATATACCAAAAACTCCAAAGCAGTGAGCCAAATGAAACCTTTGTCTTTATCAACTATTATCTCAGGTATTTATTAGTGATAGAAATCTGACTGATAGCAACCTTGATTCTTATCTAAATTTAAACTGGAAAATAAAATTAAAAAAAAAAGAAATCTGACTGATACAAGGGCTTCATCACTGAAAGCCACATCCCAAATTCTCTTTTATGCTGAGTTAAAGGCCAAGACTGTACTATCACAGCATTCCCACCAAAACTATGATGGGAGCAAGGTCCTTTCAATGCTTCCAGAGCCATGCTTTCAAAGGGACTGTGTGATGCTTATATTTTATTGTCAACTGAACACCACCTAGAGCTAGATACCTGGGAGGAGAGTCTTAATGAAGTATTGTCTCTAGTGGGTTTTCCTGTGGACACGTCAGCAGGAGATTGTCCTGATTAAGTTAACTGATGTGAGAAGACCCAGCCCACTGTGGGCAGCACCATTCCCTAGGGAGGGAGTCATCAGCTGTATAAGAGTGGAGAAAGATCTGAGCAGCACCATGCATGAAAAGACACAAGAGTGCGCGCTTTTACTCCCTCTGCTCTGGTGGGTGTGACCAGCTGCTTCAGAAATCCTGCTACTGTGGATTCTCTGTTGTGATACAATTGTAAGCAAAAGGAAGCCCACTAAAACCAAGGTTAAATTGTCTCACAGAAAGCCGACCTCACCTGGCTTCTGTGAAAGCACCCCCAGCATCTCCCAACTTATGTGAGTTCAGAATCTCTGCTGAGCCATCCCTGCTCACAGAAAATCCAGACAGGGAGAAGTTCAACTTCCTGCCTTCTCTTCACTTTCCATGTCTTTTCCTCCTCCTCTGTGGTTCTGTGGCTTAGTCCTCCTCTGTGAGCCTGAGATCCCAACACCAAGTGCTTCTGTCTTCCTTGTTCTCTCAAACACTCCCTGCTGTTTGATTCCTTCTATCCAAGGATTCCTGCAAGATCTCCAACCTCCACTCTTCATTCCTGCCCTCTACTGTCTCCTGGACTCCTCATTCTGTTCAGATGCTTCCTGATTCTAAGATGCTAACTCTCTTGGCACCAGTGACCTCCATCATGGATAACTTTTTCCAGTTTCAGTCTTTATTCTCTTAACTTACTTGACATTGTTTATTCTCTTAACTTACTTGACATTGTTGGCCAACTCCTCAACTGTCTGCTTTGTTCTAACACCTTCTCCTAACTATACATTCATTGTTCCCTTTGTTCTCATGGAAACACTTTTGACTTTTCATCCACAAACTCTACCCACTAAGTAGAAGGGACCCCCAGTGTGTGGACCTTAATTTTCTCAGTACGTATGTGTCTTCCCAAGGCAACCTCATTTCTTCTTGATTTAACTTGTTGCCCAGCATTGATAAATCTCAGGTTTATATTTGGCTTCTGTATCTATTATGCTACATAGTCATACAAGCAACTGTATTCCTAAATTCTTATTTGTTTTATAGTTAGTTGTATATACACATAATAATATAGCTACTTTTCTTTTTTCTTTTATTATTTTAATTTTAAATAGCTTGTTTCACATATCAATCCCAGTTCCCTCTCCCTCTCCTCCTCCCACACCCCGGTACTATCCCCCCAGCCTCCCACCCTATCGCCACTTCCTTCCACATAGGGGATATCTAGAGTCTGTCATTTCACTTAGGGCAGGGTCCAGGCACTCCCCTAAGAGTCCAGGCTGAGAGAGCATGCCTCTTTGTGTTATGGACATATGAAGTCCGTTTGTATGCCACGGATAAACACTGATCCATTGCCCAGGGCCTCCTCACTGACTCTCACATTCAGGGGGTCTGGATCAGTCCCATGCTGGCCTCCCAGCTGTTGGTCTGGGGTCTAAGAGCTCCCCCTTGTTCAGATCGGCTGTCTCTGCAGGTTTTGCCAGCCCATTCTTTGCCAATTTGCTCATTGTTCCTCTCTCTCTGTTACTGGGTTCCATGGGTTCAGTGTTTAACTGTGGTGTTTGCCTCTGCTTCCATCAGTCACTGGATGAAGGCAACAGGATGGTTATAGACATCAAGTTCACTATCAGGAATAGGCATTCAAGGTGGTTTCTCCACTATTGCTTAGCTTGCCAGTTGGTGTCATCCCTTTAGATCACTAGAGGTCTCACTGGTGCCAGATCTGTCTTCTAATCTATGATTCCCTCTTCCCTCTATTCTACCCCCCACTCAACCTTCCTGTTCCCCCATGACCCCTCTCTTCCTCTTCTCCCCCTCTCTTCTTCCCAGCTCCCACTCCCCTCACCCCTCGCCGTGTTCCCAATCTGTTCAGAAGATCTTGCCTCATTCCTCTTCTCTGGGGTACCATGCATATCTCTTAGGTTATTTCCTGTTTCCCAGACTCTCTGTCAGTGGAAGTGCAGACTGGCACTATCCTGATACATGTCTAAAATCCATATATGAGTGAGTACATACCATGTTTGTGTTTTTGTGACTGGGTTACCTCACTCAGGATGGTTTCTTCTAGTGCCACCTGAGGATGTGGAGAGAAAGGAACACTTCTCTACTGCTGGTGGGAATGCCACTTTGGAAATCAGTATGGAGATTCCTCAGGAAAATGGGAATCAATCTACCACAAGACCCAGCAATTCCACTCTTAGGCATATATCCAAAAGATGCAAATTCATACAACAAGGACATCAGCTCCACTATGTTCATAGCAGCATTATTTGTAATAGCCAGAACCTGGAAGCAACCTCAACTGAAGAGTGGGTAGAGAAAATGTGGTACATTTACACAATGGAGTATTACTCTGCAGAAAAAAACAATGGAATATAGCTATTTATTTATAAAACTAACCATAAGATACATGAATCATGAATCTTACATCAATATAGGTACTATTATATTTTATGTATGTATTGTGGAGGGCCCTAAATAAGAATGGCCTAATAGAAACCATCCTAATATTCCTACTATATTCTTAGAGACTAACATTTAGTTAAGTTTCTATTTCTCTGTACTGCATATTTTCAAGGCCTGCAGTCCAGGCTCTCCCACCCTTCTGCCACCTGGCCTGCAGTCCAGACTCCTCCTGCTTCAGACTTGTGTCCTTGGAACATAGCCTGCCAACAAGAATTTCTGCTTCCCCGCCCTTCTGCTACCTGCCCTATTTAAGGCGTGTTGGTGCTTTTATTGATCACAACACTGTCTTGTCCCCGTCTCTCATGTCTCTTCTCCCCCCATTCTCAGTCCCTCTCCGAGGGTCCCCGTTGACTGACCCCTTGGGCAGGGGCATTTATGTACACAATTTCTAGCCTTTTGATAAAGAGAGTCATATTCTAACAGTTTATTGCAGGAAAGTGCTTATATTTTTCTTAGATGTCTTTGAATGTATTTAAAGGAAATGACTAGCACTAGAAAAAATTATTGCCAAATCAATAAGTCCCCAAAAAGGTATTTTAAATATAATTAATCTCAATGTATTCTAACCTTATTCCTGTTTTCACTTTTCCCCGTTTTTCTTGATTATTTGTTTGTTTTAAATAATATGTATATATTAATTGAAAACATCTCTATATACAAAGTCATAGAGTTATAATCAACTACCAAATTAAGAATCAAAGCAAAGTATCCTTAATAAACTAAGATAATTTAAGAGAAAACATAAGAAGGTTTACACTAAATTGGCTCTTGCCTGTGAGATGCATGGATTTTTTTAAAAAGATGTTTTTCAAGCCAGGTTGTGGTGGCACACGCGTTTGATCCCAGCACTCAGGTGGCAGAGGCAGGTGCATCTCTGTGAGTTCAAAGACCAGCTTGGTCTACAAGAGATAGTTCCAGGACAGCCTCCAAAACCACAGAGAAACCTGTCCTGAAAAACCAAGAAAAAGATATTTTCAACTAACACAAACAAGAAAATTAACTTGAATATCTGTTAAAACCATGAAAAGATCTACCTGTGTAGAACAAGGAGTCATAAGGAAGGAAACTGTGTCATCATCGAGAAGCAGGGTGCAGAGCCCCAAGTAGTAAAGAGAGGAGAGGGTAAATAAGAAACAGCTGGTGCCCATGGAAGAGGAGACATGATTAAAACTGCTTGGTAGGCTTCTCCTGCCAGAACTCTTACATGAATACAACAAAAGAAAACACTAAGTGCCAGACAGAAAGGTCAACAGGTAAAGGCATTTGTCCATCAAACCTGGACCAAGGGCCCGAGTTCAATGTCCAGGCTAACTCTCAAAAGTTGTCTTCTGATCACCACACTGGCAATAAAATGCACACACCCATACCCACCCACCCACACATGCACACATGCACAGAAGTAAAACAATGTTTTAAAATGCTAGACATAAAATGTTCTGTAATAAAGTTGTAATAACTTATAGGTGGAAGAATAATAACCCAAAAGCAGCAAAAATAGAAAAAAGAAAAAAAACACGATTGAATCTAAGGAAAGATATCCAGGGAATATAGGTGGATCTCTCACGGTTTAGGGATAATGTGGTAGCATCCGAAGACTGCAGGGTCCGCAGGTCAGAGGGATCTCCATAAGTGAGAAGCTGCTTGATGAAGCAGCCTGTCTGCAGCTGCCGCTTAACTCCCCCATTGAACAATCTTACGCCCATGGCAGTTTGCTCACCATTCAGTAAACACAATGTGTCAAAACCAATAACTGATTTCCTCCCTCCCAGAAATTGCTTTCCTAATAATGATCCCAAGTCTGATTTCAAACTTACCAATGTATAAAGGGGAGTTTTCAGATTTGGCAAAATCGTCTATGTAGGAAATACCCAAGGGCATGATGGGAGTTTCACCAATTCCACGGATAAGATTTCCTACCATTACATATATCCACATTGAGGATTTAATTTCTTTTTCACACTCTACATTAAAACAAAAGAAAACTACATGAACATTTTGACAGTCAAATGTTACTGACAGTTAATTAAAAGTACTCCTCTCTCCTTCCCTCCCTCCCTCCTTTCTTTTCTTACTTTATTTTTTTTGATTTTTCAAGACAGGGTTTCTCTGTAGCATTGGAGCCTGTCCTAGAACTTGTTCTGTACACCAGACTGGTCTCAAACTCAAATAGATAAACCTACCTTTGCCTCTTGAGTGCTGGGATTAAAGGCATGCACAACCATTGCCAGGCTTCAAAGTTTTCTTTAAGTGTTTCTTTGGTCACAAGCTCATGATGGCTATTAAGTGACTTACATGCTATGCTGACTGTGCATCACTGAGTGACCCCTACTGCTTATTTTGTAATCATAATTATCAAGTGAGTATAAGTGCTATCCCAAAGCCTACTTGGGTGGGAATGATGAGTCTCCAAGTAAATACCTCATTCCAATTCAGAGTTTAGTGGAAACACATTGGCTGTGAGAATTTACACCAAAGAAATAGGCAAACAGTCAATGGAATAAATATATATATATGTATGTATATATATATTTCCTCTTATTGTTTGATGAATAAAACACTGTTTGGCCAATAGGCAGTAGAGGCAGGAAGATAGGCAGGGCTAGGGGACTAGGAGAAGCCTGGGAGAGAGATGCTCCAATAGATTCCATAACGACTAAAACAGAGTAATAGGTCTGGCAGTCTCTGGTAAGCCAATACTACTTGGAAATACATAGATTTATAGAAATGGGTTAATCATTAAGACAGAGCTAGCCAGTAAGAAACTCTAGCCACCAACCAACAGTTTAATAATTAATATAAATCTCTGTGTGGTTGTTTGGGGCTGAAGATAGCGGCTGTGGGACCTGATGGGTCAGGAAACTCCAGTAACAAACAGTAAAACTAGGAATTTCTCTCGCCTCCAGGCACTCAGATGTCCACCAACCAGTGGAGCCAGTTATTTAATGTGTGCACTGCCTCATTCCTCCACAACTTTGAGGAGGGAAAAAGAAAAAGAATCACAGATGTGTGTATGTCTCTGACAGTTCATGCTGTATTACACAACACAAAGAAGACTGATGGAAGCTTGAACTCCACACAGACCCTATTACTTTGTAGAAATTAAATATTTAACTGAATGGCAATCATGCTTTTTTCTATACATTCCATTCTTTACTATCAACCATCAGATCAAATAGCAGAGGAATAACACAAGCTAGGCCAAATGAACTTGAAAGGAAAAAGGACAAACCTTTGAAAGTTTGTATGCACCTCCATAGTTTGCCCTAAGCTGAATGAACTTCAACTTCCTAGGGAAGCTTGATGTTGTATTTTCAGAAAAGTGAAAGACAATGCACCCTCTGCTAAATGTCCTAAGCACAACTAGGCCATAAGGTGTAACTCTCACTTATTCCTAGTTGAAGTAAAATCAGTTTCCATCTCTAGGAGTTCAGATTCTTATCTTTGATAGACACAATGATTTCTGTCTACAGATCACAGGGAGACTCTCAATCTTTGTCTAAGGAAGAACTAAAGGCATCAGACACTGAAAGAATCAAGTGCTTTCCTTAGGCTCTGCACATGGGGAAGATTTTAATTTATCTACTGTAATGCCAGGAGTACAAGGGGTGGCTTTTCAAAAGTTAGTTCAAGAGTTAAGAACAGCTAGCATGGAGAACACTGTTTTAGGTTGCTTTGCACATGGGGATGATGGGGGAAGTCCTTCTGTGTTTATGTTTGTCTTATTGGTTGATAAATAAAGTACTGTTGGCCAATAGCAAAGCATGATTGATGGGACTAGGAGTCGAGGAGGAGTCTGGGAAATGTAGTCAAGAGTATGGATTCACGATACGATCCCAGGAAGAGAGAACATATGAGGCTGGCAGCCTCGGTAAGATAAGAACTTATAGAAATATATATATTAGTAGTTATGGGTAATACTTAAGACAGAACTATCCAATGAGAAGCCCCAGACATTGGCTGACAGCATTGTAACTAATAAAGTCTCTGTGTGTTATTTGGGGTTGATGCGGCCCTGGGACTAGGCTAGCAGGAAGAATCCTCATTACATGGGGAGACTTAACTTATCCACAAAAAATCCAAGAACACCAGGGTTGGATTTCCAAAGTCAGTTCAGGAGGTGAGAATAGACTAGAATGGAGGACACTGTTTCGGGTTGATTTGCTTAGATGGCTTCTGTGGCTCAGAGCTTCAAGATGGCTGCTCATTGAATCTCAGTTATTTTGATCTCCACAGACTCCCTGAGAGCTTTGGAGGTTTCTGATAATTTGGGGAGCATGAATCTAGCATAGGAGGGAGAAGTTTTGGCCTGTGGTGTTCTTTCTGTGACAGTTCCATGTGTTGTGTCCAGGGTATGTGTTGGGTCCTTGAGCATATTTTAAATACTTTTTAAAATATATATGTAGATATCTATTCCTCCATGAGCATTTGGGAATGTGTGCAGTTTCCGAAGGGGGCCATAATTGGGCACCCTAAACCCCAGGACTGGAATGACAGGGCCTTGGAAGCAACTTGATGTCAGCGCTAGGAACAAATCAGGCACTCTGTAAGAATAATACGGTACTCTGAATGGAAATATCCCCCAAGAGGCTCCAGTATTAAACACTTAGTCTCCAGTTGGTGACGCTCTTTGGGGAGGTGGAGGAAGAATGTCCCTGGAGATGGACTCTGAGAAGTTAAAGCCTCACTCTACTCCAGTCTGCTCATTTTGCCTCATGCTGAAAGTTGAGATGAGAACTCCTAATTTCCTGCAACTGTTGCCATTCTACCTGCCATGAATGACTCTCATTCCCCTGGAACAGTCATTTTTTAACCTGTAGGCTGCATCTCTTTTGGGGAGTTCATATGTCCCTTTCACAGGGCTCACATAAGACCATTTGAATACATAGATGTATATTACGATTCTTAACAGTAGCAAAATTACAGCTATAAAGGAACAATAAAGCAATTTTATGATTGATGGTGCCCACAATATGAGGAACTGTATTAAATTGTTTCAGTACAAAGAAGGTTGAGACCCACAGTTCTAGAATCATAAGCATAAATATATTCTTCCGTGTATAAGTTTCCTTGGCCATGGTATTCTATCAAAGTGAAAGAAAAGTAACTATACATGCATTAAGTATTTCTACATATCTGGCTGTGTCCATGAGTGCGTGTACAGAAACAGGTCAACAGGGCTCCAAAATAATCATTGGGTTGATTTGCTGGTCAAGTCATAAAATTTGTTGACAGAGTCACAAGACCGGCAGTAATAGGTACTAAAAGTTAAGAGGCGGGCCTAATTGGAACAAGTGGGATATGGGGAAGGCATGGCCACAGAGGCTATATCTTCCCACTTCCTGAATCTTGTTTTCTATTCACTTGCCCCAAAAGAAGTGCAGAAGATCATCAGCCAACACTCATGTCACAGTGACATTCTTTCTATAAGCATGTGTCAAAATGACCATGAAGCCTCTAAAAGAGTGAGTGAAAGCATGCCTTTCCTCCCTTGAGTTGTTCGGAATTTTGATTATAGTGATGCAAAAGCTACTAGCTGTATAGGAAAGGGAGGAGCCAGGACCACAGTGCCTGAACACATAGGAAGTAAGGAAAGCACTGCACTTTGGTTGAAATGTAAATAATGTCTCTCTTCAATTCATGGGTAAGCAAGGAATTCAGAACTGTAACACCTGTTATTCCAAGGTGTATCGGGTACATGGCACAGATCCAGGAAAGTATCTTTCTGCCTGTTATTCTTGTCTAATAACTGTGATGGATAGTTTTTTTGCTAAGTTGACTCAAACTTAAGTCTGAGAAGAAGGAATCTCAGTTGAAGAGAACTGACTCCATCAGAATGGCCTGTGGGCATGTGTAGGAGACATTTTCTTCTTGGCTAATTGACGTGAGATTGCACAGACCATCCTAGGGCAGCTGGGTCTCGGCTTTATAAGAAAGGTAGATTAGCGAGCCAAAGGCACTAGCCAGTGTGCAGCACTCCTCAGCGGTCTCTGCTTTAGTCTCTCTATGCAGGTTCCTTGAATTGCCTCATGGTTGGGTACAATTTGTAATATAGAAATCTCTTTCCTACCTAAGTTGGTTTTAGTCCATGTTTTATTAATGCAATAGAAAATTGAACTAGACAAATCACATAGATTTCACCACGTGTCTGAATTCAACCTTCTAAATTGTTTTCCCTTCTGGGAATAACTTTGCAATGGTGCAGGAGTGGATATCTTTGGATTATTTTTAAAACACCTACTTTAAGAAACAAATGAGTCTTAATAAGTATATTCAAATTCAGGAGGCAGAGTATTCTATCTTATTAGACAAATCCCTTCCCTGAAGAGAGAAGTAAAGCTTGTCATTTGTACTAAATGCATACTAAACCCACTGTCACCTTCAAAGCCCTTCATAAAAGAATATTCTCTGACTGAGTCTCTGAGAAGAAAGCAAGAAGAAGCATGAGTCAACCTGCTGGGTCCGGTGTTGGCATTGAGGTCTCGGTTCTATTTCCTGAACACAATAAACTGTTTGAAGACAAGTTGCTTGAAGGTGAAATCGCCTTTTCATATTCGTATCTGTGTGAACAAAGCAAAAATTCACTGTGAGGGACTGAGTTCAATGAGAGCCTCTGTGGATTTCTGAGACCACAGCATCCACAGCCTATGCAGCCATGTTCCCACAGCAGTCATTCTAACCATCATAAATCCTATTGCAGGGCCAGAGAAATAACTTCAAACCTGAAAATCACATAAAGGTAGAAGGAGAGGAATGACTCCATAAAGTACTCCTCTGATCTCTACATGTGAACACCTACACACACTATGCATACACAATCACACACACACACTCACTCACGCACACACACACACACGCATGCACACATGCACACACACACGTGCAGGCAGGCACGCACACACAAATCTGTATCATTAGGCTGGGCATGTAGTGCTGGGGTTAAAGGTCATAACTGCATCAACAGGATGTACTGGCCCATGCCTCTCACCCTACCACTTGAGAGGTAAGAGGCATCAGAAGCTCAAGGTCACCCTCAGCTATGCAGCTGGTCTGAGGCTATTCCACCTACATGTAGACACAAGAGCTTACTGTAAAAAAGGATCATCTTTCTTGGTGATTATCAAGTTCTTTAAATGACAGAAAGGTGTTTTGAAATAAAAAAAACCGGGAATGCCCATTTTCTCACAGATAAAGAGTTCTAAACATGAAGATGTGGTTCAGTTGGAATACTGGTGCCTGGGAAGCACCAGTCCTAGGTTTGATTCTGAGCACCCAATACACACAGGCATGGTGGTCCAGTACCACTGTCGTAGCACACATGAGATGGAGACAAGGGGATCAGATTATCCTTAACTACAGAGTAATTCAGAGCCAGACTGAGCTACATGAGACTCTGTTTCAAAAAAATAAAAGAGATTTAAAAAGAGTCTTCTGAAATACCAGATGCCTCCATGGGTACAGATGCGTGTGTACAAAACTGACAACCTAGATGGCACTCCAGGTTCCACAGGGTAAGCAGAGAAAACCTACTCCTGATGTCTGTTTCCTGATCTCACATGAAAGCACATACAAACCACCACAACATATATAAATAAAATAGCTTCAAAAACACAAATTAGTGATTGAAAGTGTGGTCACTCAAACGCAATCAATCTTCAGATTGGGATGTGGATGAGCATGTGACCAAGGAATCAGAAGGACAGGGAAATATAGTTATCATGCTTCTGGGAGCAACAGGATATAATCCAGGTCTCCATTGAAAACTTCATGAAGAGACTCCTAATTCAGGTCCTAGCTGGATATAAAAAGCAAAGTTTAAAGTGAGGCCTAAAATGCACAGAAGGAATAACTAGAAGCTCATACTCATCCTTAGTCTCTCCAAGTGGAAATGCTCACAGGTAGGAGAGGATCCAAACTGGTACATTGAGTACAGAGAAGACATGAAGGAGGATCATTATATTTAGAATTTCACACACTATAAGATGATGTTTCTATTCCTTTCTGGCTGGTAGCCAAGTTTCTACCTCTTTAACAAGTGCATCTCTGCCTAGGATCACAAGTTTCATACATTTCTGAGATGGCTCAAAATCCATCTCAATCACCAGCCAGTCCAGATCAAACAACATCCAGTCCAGCTCAAGCACCACACAGTCCAGGTCAATCACCACTCATGCCATATCATTCACCACCCAGTCCATCTCAATCACCTGTTGATTCACCTACTGAAAAATATAAAAGACTCCCATTAATCAAGTCCATATTTGTATCCAGAATTTCCAGTTAGTTATCTGTTATTGTTCTCTCTCAAACATGAACCAATAGCCAAGGGCTGTGTGTAGTGGACACCGTATTACAGCAAGTCTGTGGTAGAATATTGTTTTAAGGTGTGTGACTTCTGTTTACACTGACTTTGTTTAACTCAGTGAAGCTGTGATTCTTTGCTTGTCTAAAACATTCAATAATAAAGAGCTGAATGGTCAACAGCAAGGCAGGAGCAAGGACAGGCATGGCTGGCAGGCAGAGAGTATAAAGAAGTAGAAAGAAAGAAAGAAAGAAAGAAAGAAAGAAAGAAAGAAAGAAGAGCGGAGCAAGGGAACAAAGAGGGGAGGATGTCAGAGACCAACCACTCAGTAACCCAGCCACCCACCCAGCCATTGAGTAAGAAGGTAAGTAAGTTATACAGAAGTAACAGAAGGTAGAAGCCCAGAGGCAAAAAGTAAATGGGTTAGTTTAAGTTAAGAAAATCTGGCTAGCAACAAGACAAAGCTAAGGCAGGCATTCTTAGCTAAAAATAAGCCTCCTGTGTGATTTATTTGGGAGCTGGGTACCAGGCCCTTCAAAAAGGATGAAAAGGTAAAACAACAACAACAACAACAACAAAACATTTCTCACAATACAAGTCCAAGACAAACAAAAGCTATACTTGAAGTAGCCAGAGGAAGAGATTCTCAAGTGAAAGAAAGGACACTGAATTATTGAGAAAATAAGATGTCCCCTCAGAGGTGATATGCAGGAGTAGAGTGGTGTTCTCGACAATAGAAATTTAGAAATATCATCATACAAGTGGCAAACCCATTCAAGAGCCTGAATGACAGAGCTGAATCTCCCAGGAAGCACCTAAGAGATTTGAAGACATGAAGTTAGAAAGATGGCCAGATAAATGAAATCCTGGAGGTCAGTGCTCAACTAGCAGATACAGAAAGATGGCCAGATAGGAATGAAATCCTGGAGATCAGTGCTCAACTAGCAGATACAGAAAGATGGCCAGATAGGAATGAAATCCTGGAGGTCAGTGCTCAACTAGCAGATACAGAAAGATGGCCAGATAGGAATGAAATCCTGGAGATCAGTGCTCAACTAGCAGATACAGAAAGATGACCAGATAGGAATGAAATCCTGGAGGTCAGTGCTCAACTAGCAGATACAGAAGAGGAAGATAAGGAAAGGGGAACAAAATACAAAATCTTTACAAAATGTCTGGACCTAATGCACCTGACTGAGGTGGCAAAAAGATTTAAAGAAATGCCATCATAGTCAACTGTGGAGCTATAGGAGATGCCAGCCACAGGAGTTAGGATGCTAATTCTAATTCCAAAAGACACAATGTCTTCAAAGGCTGAGGGGAATTTGTTCTCTACATAAAGAGGTGAGAGAGGGCAAAGTTAGAAACAGAGGATAGGATACTCCTCGTGTGAGTCATTAAGAGCAAGAAGGAGACAAACCAGGGTGGTTGTGGTGTCTCATCCTTATAGTACCAACACATGGAAGGCTGGCACAGGAGGATCAGCAAGAGTTTGAGGCTAGCCTGAGCTACACAGTAAATCCCAACCTAGGCTACATAGCAAGCCCCTGTCACGAAAAGAAAAAGACAAAGCAGGACTGGGGATAAGGCTCAGTGGCTAAGAGAAGTTGTTGCCCTTGAAGAGGAACTGCGTTCATTTTCTTGCACTCACATGGTAGCAAACAATCGTCTCTAACTGCAATTCCTGGGGAAATGACACTCTCTTCTGATCAGTGTGGGCAACAGATACAGAGTGTGTATATACATGCAGGTATAACACTCACACAAATAAAAATGATAAAAGATCTTAAAGTTAAAATGAAAGAAAGAAGGAAATAATGCAAGAGAGTAGAAGGAAGATGAGGAAGCGAGGAAAGGAAGTCAAGCAAATTCTTGGGGAAAAGAATGATGGAGAATTATAAGGAAGTCACGCTTAGCCGGCCTAGATGTTTGCAGCTTAGAGACAGGTGGAGTAGAGCAGACAAAACCAAGAGACGTGGCCAAGTCAACACTTAGGTCTCTGACCCATGTCCAGGGATGCTCATACAACCAGATGTTGAGGAACTTGTGAAATAGTGAGAGACACAAAGAGAGTCAATCAAATGGAAGAAAATGAGTTAAGATTTCAATGTAGATAAAAACTGAGTTTTATCACAACATGGTTCTATGTTATAAAACATTTTTATCATTTAATATTTAAGCATTAAAAATTAATAAAACACATAGGCAAATAGAAGAAAGACCAGAGTACTCTTCCCAGAAAGCCGAAAGGGGGTAAGAGATAATTCTGCATAATTTCACTTTTACAGTTTTCTTTACTATACACTTTGGTAAACATGAAGATAAAAATCAGCCTTGCCATTGGTCTATCCCTTTGTGACCCACTATTATGTCACATTATAGACCCCTTGTTATTGAAGTATCTAAATAGGCCTGATGAAGGACTCAACACAGCTTTGGCAGATTCAGAGAATCTCTCCATGTGTCTCAATTTCATGAAAGCAGTGTCTCAAATCCCCACTTCACAAAGGGACTGGATCGAAACTTAAATGGACCCAACACCACAAGATTCACAAATCATACCAGCAGAGTGGAGACCATGTCTTCTAATTTCCACGTTAGCATTCTGTACTTGGGGCGGGGGACATTGCTCCTCTCAGAGGGGAAATTCTGAGCCCTATTTTCTGTAAGTGAAAGTTAAATCTGAAATATCATCAAGGACTAGGATACTCACCGGCCCATCAGGAAATGAGGTAGTGATATTAAGAAACACCCTAGGCCCATAACCACACATCCGACACCAATCATGATAGGCCTGTGCAGTTTCGTTCCAAAATAACTCACGAATATAATCAGTAAAAGGTTTCCTATGAGTGGGAAATGAGAATGCTTGTTTCAGTAAAATATTGTCACATCATAGCCAACAGCCTCCCCAACGTTTTCACTCTAGTGTTCATTGTTTAACAACCACATAGAGATGGATGGATGGATGCTTAACAGGTCTGTGCATTGTTTTAATATACACATATACACTCATCATGACCCTGAGGGACTGTTCTCCTCCATGCTGAAGAATATTTAGCACTCTATTCAGGATTATTTATCCCTTCGACATAGATACAAAAGCAGGTTTTAGCTTGCAAGTCACATCTGATGTCTCTGATGTCTCCTCTCACGCCTTCTCTATGCAGAGTCTAATGGATTCGTGTTTTGTAACTTACTATTCAAAACCCCTTTATTGCTCAACATGGCCAAGCTGGATGTCTGCTTCTATTGTCAAACATCTTTCTTCACACCAGGTAGTAGTGTTTGTTAAGCAGAGAGAAGACGAGAGTTCTAACCCTCCAACTGGGTCTTAGGTCTAGATGGCAGGAGTCAAAAAGTCAAACCAAATATTCATCTATGCGGGTTAGAAGAAAGCTTAGCTTTAAAGAAACTCAGTGGGAAACCCTGTTGTGACAGAGAGATTTTTGATAGCTATATTAAGATAGGAAAGAACAAATGGAGCCTTGTGGCATAGACCTGCCATCACAAGTCACATGGGGTGGGTGGTGCTAAGACTGCAAGATCAAAGTCAGCTTGCAATATGGAGTGAGTTCAAGACCAGCCTGGGCATCGTATAGAGAACTTCCTCAAAATAAAAAGTAAATAAAGGGACTGGGGATAAAGGAGTAGAATGCTTGCCTGATGAGTAGGAGGCCCTAGGCTCAATGATCGGTATTATTCACCCCCCCAAGAAGGAATTGAAAAGAAGAAATTATATAAGTAAGCTCTCCTCTAACCAGATAGTTTTAGTCTGATAAAGATTATTTACCCTTCTCAAATAATGCATAAAGGAAAGATCATAAAACTCAAATGCACTTCTTTGATGACTTATCTCTAGGGAATCACAAATACTTGAAAGATATACAGAGACCTTCCTTTTCTTCAAACTCTATTTCTCTCTAGCTTGCTAAGTAGAAGAAATGCTGCAATAATTTGAATGCTGTGTGACCCACTTCTCTATACTTATTACCCTGTCTCCGTCCAAAATTCCTACTATTGAAATCATCGTTCAGAAGGTAATGTTCCAGGACAACCATTATTTGAAGTCTCTAGGTTTCTTTCTAATCTCTGGTTGTACCCACCCTGATTGAATCAGATCTTGTCTGAAATCTCTGTTGTTTCAAAGAAAAACATTCCTTCCTCAAATTCAGCATGGATTGTCTTTTACATTGCCTTGGTGTACCTCAGATAGTTGAAGGGAATGTGTCAGGGAAAGGGTAAGGTTTCATCCAGACTCAGGAAAGGTTGCTTACAAAACGAACTTGGGAAATGCACACCAAATGCTGCATTCACTAGCCAATGTGAATTACTTCCTCTCACAGCAATTTCAATTTGAGACTCCCCTTAAGTCGCCTGCCCACAGCCAGAGGCAGTATAGTTATTATTTTTCTAATTTAAACAGGATTCTTAACATTTACTTTAAAAACCACAAAGTTCGCAAAAATTAGAATTTTCCGTGAACTTGAGTGAGAATTTTTTTCAATAAATTATTAACTCAACATTAGCATTTCTGTTGATAGTAGTGTAGGAAGCAGTATTGACCTGTGGAGCCATCAGAAGTATAAATATTTCAGTAGCTTGTGAGTCCAGCTCACAAAACTACCTCCAAGGGTTCAGGATAGAAGAGTCACAGCTTAGCTAAAAGGACTGAGAAAACGTCTGATCTAAGAGATAACAGATTAACTCACACATGTGTTGTTGCTCTTTATTCTGCTGGTTCTAATCCTATTTCTTTAGCTTCTAGCTTCACTTCAATTATCCCGAGCCTCTCTGTTCACCTAGCTTAAATACACTATTTAAAGAGCCTTGAAGCAATAACAATAATAAAAAAACAGGAGTTACATCTTATTGGTCAAAAGCACATCCCTTTGGGTGAGCATCCTGGGCATTGCAAAGTTTCAAGATTTCTCGAGGAAGACTGTGACCAGCAACCCTCAGTGCAGTGTCCAGTGAGACAAGCTTTGAAACTTAGATCTTTTATCAGACAGACTCGGCAAGCAAAGAACTGGCAACATTTTTTTTAGGCTGCTTTGTCATAATAAACTTGGTTAGATGCCTGTGACTCTGACTTTGTGCATAACTGTAAAGTTTTTTTCTTTTTTCTCAATACATATTTTTATTTAAATTACAAACAAGAATGTTTCACATGTCATTTCCAGCTCCCTCTCCCACCCCTCCTCCCTTGTCCCTCCACCAGTGCCCACCCCCAGCCACCCACCCAATCCCCACATCATTCCCAGGGAGGGTGAAGCCCTCCTTGGGGGGGGGGAGATCTCTAAAGTCTGTCATTTCATCCTGGGCAGGACCTAAGCCCTTCCCCATGTGTCCGGGCAGAAAAAGTATCCCTCTATTTGGAATGGGCTCCCAAAGCTCATTCATAAACCATGGTAAACACTGATCTACTACCCATAGGCCCCAGTGATTTCTGTGGACTCCTCCCTGGCGCTACATTCATGGAGTCTGGATCAGTCCCCTGTTGGCCTCTCAGCCATCAGTCTGTGATTCAAGAGCTCCACCTTGTCCAGTCAGCTGTCTTTGTGGGTTTCACCATGATGGTCTTGACCCCTTTGTTTGTCACTGCTCCATCTCTGTCACTAGGTTCCAGGAGTACAGTTCAGTGTTTAGCTGTGGATATCTCTCTGCTTCCATCAGTCCCTGGATGAAGGTTCTAGGATGGCATATAGGGTAGTCATCAACCCCACCATTAAGGAGGGTCTATTAGTGTAGTCTCTCCACTATTGTTTAGTTTGCCAGTTGGTGTTATCCTTGTAGATCTCTGGAGATCTCATTAGTGTCAGCTCTCTCCTCAAGCCTATAATAATTTGATCTATAATGATATCTCTTATCCTGCTCTCCTCTATTCTTACCTCAACACAACCTTCCTGCTCCCCCATGCCTTCTGCTCCCCTCCTCTTATCCCCCTAACTTTTTCTAGGTTCTCTCTCCCCTCCCCCGATGTTCCCAATCTGCTCAGAATATCTTGCCTCATTCCACTTCTCTGGGGTATAATGCATCTCTCTTGGGAACCTCCTTGTTTCCCAGACTCACTGGCACTGGGATTGTAGGCTGACACTCCCTTGATCCATATCTAAAATCCATATATGAGTGAGTACATACCATGTTTGTCTTTTTGTGTCTGGGTTACCACACTCAGGATGGTTTCCTCTAGTGCCATCCATTTGCCTGCAAATTTCAAGATTCCATTGTTTTTCTCCACTGAGTAATACTCCACTGTGTAAATGTACCACATTTTCTCTATCCACCCTTCAGGAACCAGCTCTCTGTTACATTGATTCTTTGTATTGTTTTCCTAGTTTCTACTTTATTGATTTCATTCCTCAATTTAATTATTTCATGGTGTCTGCTCCTCTGGGGTGAGTTTGCTTCCTTTTGTTCTAGAGCTTTCAGTTGTGCTGTTAATTCTCTAGTGTATCTATTCTCCAGTTTCTTCATGTGGGCACTTACTTAGTGCTATGAACTTTCCTCTTAGCACTGCTTGCAAAGTATCCCATAAGTTTGGGTAAGTTGTGTCTTCATTCTCATTGAATTCTAGGAAGTCTTTATTTTCTTTTTTTATTTCTTCTTTGACCCAGTAATGGTGCAATAGTGTGTTATTCAATTTCCATGAGTTTGCAGGGTTTCTGCGGTTTGTGTTATTGTTGAATTCTAACTTTAAGGCATGATGATCTGATAAGATACAGGGAGTTATTCCAATTTTTTGTACCTGTTGAGGTTTGCTATGTTGCCAAGTATGTGGTCGATTTTTGAGAAGGTTCCATGTGGAGCTGAGAAGAAGGTACATTTTTTTGTGTTTGAATGGAGTGTTAGACCCAATTGGGTAATAAAATCTATTAGGTCCTTCGTATCCTTGTTACGTTTTTGTCTTGTGGTCCTGTCTAGTGGTGAGAGTGGGGTGATGAAGTCTCCCACTACAAGTGTGTGAGGTTTTATATGTGCTTTGAGTTTTAGTAATGTTTCTTTTACGAACGTGGATGGCTTTGTATTTGGGGCATAGATGTTCAGAACTGGACTTCATCTTGGTTGATTTCTTCTGTAATGAGTATGAAGTGACCTCCTTCATCTCTTTTGATTGATTCTAGTTTAAAGTCTAGTTTGTTAGATATTAGGATTGCTACCCCCACTTGTTTCTTGGGTCCATTTGATTGGAATATCTTTTTCCAACTCTTTACTCTGAAATAACATCTATCTTTGAAGCTGAGGTGTGTTTCTTGTATGCAGCAGAAGGATGGATTTTGTCTTCGAATCCATTCTGTTAACCTGTGTCTTTTTATGGGCAAGTTAAGACCATTAATATTGAGGGAAATTAATGACCTTTGATAGCTCATTCTTGTTTGTTTTGGAATGGTTGTTGTTGTTGGAATTGTATGTGAATTTCCACCACTTTTTCTTTTGCCTGTTGGTAAAGTGGGATTATCTAATGCCTATGTTTTTCTGGTAGTAGTTAACTTCCTTGGGTTGGAGTTTTCCTTCCAGAATTTTCCGTAGGGATGGGTTAGTGGATATGTATTGTTTAAATCTGGTTTTTGTCATCTATATTGATTAAAAGCTTTGCTGGGTATAGCAGTCTTGGCTGGCATCCGTGGTCTCTTAATGTTGGTAGAATATATATCCAGGACCTTCTGGCTTTCATAGTTTCCATGGAGAAGTCACCTGTAATTCTGATAGGTTTGCCTTTACATGTAACTTGGCCTTTTTCCTAGGGGCTCTTAATATTCTTTCTTTATACTGTATGTTTGGGGTCTTGATTATTATGTGTTTAGGGGATTTTTTGGGGAGTCCACTCTATTTGGTGTTCTGTAGGCTTCTTCTAACTTCATTGGCATGTCTTTCTTTAGGTTGGGAAAGTTTTCTTCTATGATTTTGTTGAATATGTTTTCTGGCCCTTTGAGGTGGGTTTCTTCACCTTCTTCTATACCTATTATTCTTAAGTTTGGTTTTTTCACAGTGTCCCATATTTCTTGGATATTTTGTGTTAGGGATTTGTTGAACTTAAAATTTTCTTTGGTCTATGAATCTAAGTCTCCTAGTGTATCTTCAACACCTGAGATTCTCTCTTCCATTTCTTGTATTCTGTTGGATATGCTTGCATCTGTAGTACCTGACCGTTTTCTCAGCATTTCTTTTTTCCAGCATTCCTTCAGACTTTGTTTTTTATTGTTTCTATTTCATATTTCAGCCCTCGCACTGTTTGAATTGTTTCTTGCAATTTTTGTTTTGTCTTTTGCTCTGTTTCTTGCATTTTTTGGATTGTTTTTTTCTTCCAGCTCTTTAAGGGATTTTCTCATATCCTCTTTGAGGGCCTCTATAATTTCCATGAAGTTGTTTTTTTATGTCATTCTCTTCTAGTTCATTTGTGTTGGGGTGTTCCCGTCTTGTTGGTGTAGGGTCTCTGGACTCCGGCGGTGTCATATTTGTTTTTCTGTTGCTCTTTGTGTTTTTATATTGTCTCCTTCCCATCTGTTCTTGCAGTGGGTTCCAGAGGGTGCTTCTTCCTCTACTGATGGGTGTGGGACCAGGGTTCCCTTTTTTTGGATGTCGGCAAGCCCACTGTTCTGGTAGCTCTCCACTTCCTGGTCTCGTGCGTGGAAAAATGGACTAGGATGCTGGGGTGCTTTGGATCTCACTGGGATGGATGGGAGCCCCAGTGGTATACTCCAGGCACAGGAGTGTAGTCTGGAGACAGGCCCTGATAGTCTTTGTCACGTGGGTGGAACAGGAGACTAGAATGTTATGGTGAGTTTGCTCCTGCCTCTGGGATGGAAGCCGCTGCATCAGTCCCCTAGCTCAGGCAGCCAGTCTAGTTTTAGTTCCATGGGTAGAGCAGGAAACTATGGTAGCTTGGCTCCTGCTGCCTCTGCAGGGATGGAAGCCTCAGTGGCAGAGCCCAGGCCCAGGCAGGCAGTCCGGAAATCAACTGTAAAGTTTTAAACTTATGATCTATTCACAAAAACTTTTAGTTTAGTTTGAACTTGCTCTGAGGTAAAACAATGAGCTAATTATGTGCAATTTGCCTTAACTGAAGAGAAATGGTTATTTTCTTGTGTTAGTCTGAGTAAAAGGACCAAAGCAGGCTGTAAAGTGTCTTACAGCCTATGCGGGTCAATAGATCTAGTTATAAAGAATATCTTAGTTTCTATACATCAAAATCATACAGTTAATGATCAGTCATCTTCCTGACTCTCCTTGGATATGTGTGCCCATAAAATTGAGATGCAAACCTGAGATTACATATACATCTCATATGTACTTGTACATTACAGTGTAGGCATTGGGGAGACATGAGACTGCTTTAACACAAGTGAAATTACAGACAGGAGGAATAGCCTCCTGCTCCCACAGGCCATGCTTGGGCAGGATTCTCCTGCACCAGAGAATCATTCCTTTGGTTGGTCATCACCTGCTGTACCCTTCCATAGTCTAACACATAAACCGTGGTTTACAACATCATGATTGTTGTAAATACTGCAGAAGTCCATGTAGCCAATAATTACCCGAAAATCAGACCTGGATAATATTTGCCTTGTTAAAAAGCACAAATATTCCTTCCTGATAGGATGTGAAATGTTCTGATAATTATACTTCAATGCAACTGGATTGCTATTAACCTATATAGTTTCATTTTGTACAACTAAAGGATTATCCAGAAATCAGATCGCATTGGGTTTTCAATATGGGCCTTCAGCATAGAAAAATCAATATCCTCTTTGAAGGAGAAGATATAATTGTATCACTAGATTCAAGATAAATGATAAATGGGTGTTTATTGTGGAACAATTAGAGAAAAATACAAAGAACTGCTGGAGCATTTCCCCGCTCTTTCTACTGGATCCACTGACCCACCCGGAAGAACTTACAAAGGAAAGTCACACCTCAAGCTCCTCTCTTTTTGCTTCTGTCTGCCTGAGACCACACCCAAGGATGTGTGGCCACCATTACAAGTTCACTGACAAGACACATACAATTTCCCTTTTAGTCTAAAGAAAAAGGTTTTAAGCCTGATGTAAAAACTATTGATAGCAAATATCAAGTAAACTCCAGGAAAAGGAATGGCAAGCATACACTAATGAAAACCTACTATCAGCAAGAGTAACATTGAGCAGTAGATATATACTGCATGTCCAGTATATGTGTCCAGTATCAGGGTTAAGGCATGACAGAGGTTACTCTGATAGCAATCCTAATTTGGAAAATCTAAATCTTGCTTATCTAAGATAAGAGAGGACACTTATGACAGTCTAGTCTTCAACCTCATCAAAGACCTGAGAGGGAAAATAACAATACTAGGTTAGGCAGGAAGTACAGATGAGCAGCTTCCAAAGGTCCAAGGGAAGACAGAAACAGCAGATAACCTGGACAGTCACCCAAGGTCTCACAGCAACGTCAGGGTAACCAACATTGGCTAAGGCCTAAAGTATCAGATGGACATCTCAGAAGCAGGGAAATTGAAAAAACTGTCTTACCCTGACTTAACAGGGTTTAGCAGTCTTTTTTAAGTTTATCTCCTGGAATCTCAGTTAGGACAGCATGTCCAAAGCCAGTGGTCAAGGTGAAGGCCGTACTTTGCCCCAGAGGCCAGTATCCGAGGAGAGAATGAACTCCTGATGGAGTGTCATCAGTGCCCAACATACTCTCAGGAAGCTTGGTGCTGTCAGGAGCAATTGTGTCATATGTCAACAGAGTACTAATATTAAAACCTTTAAATGCCATATTCTGCAGATCTTTGACATGTTTGAAGATTAAATATCTATGTCTGACTAACGTCATAGGCATAAGAAGCATGGGTAACTATAATCCATAATTCTCAGAAACATAGTTGCTCAGTTCATGAAGCTTCCCAAAATAATTTAGCATGAACATTAACTTCAAAAAAGTAACTATATATATGTGTGTGTGTGTGTGTGTGTGTGTGTGTGTGTGTGTGTAATCAGTAACACAGATAGAACTGAAATGTCTTGACAAGAGGTAGAACTGTAAAGTGCAATATGATAAAATATACTAGATTGTATCAACATACAAAATATATATTTGTGTACAAGACATCATGAACAGAAAGAAGTAAACATACAAGAATCTAACAATTTAAGTTTTTTTTTTGGTTTTTTTGAGACAGGGTTTCTCTGTATTGTTTTGGAGGCTGTCCTGGAACTCACTCTGTAGTCCAGGCTGGCCTCAAACTCACAGAGATCTGCCTGCCTCTGCCTCCCGAGTGCTGGGATTAAAGGCGTGCGCCACCAACGCCGGGCACAATTTAAGTTTTCTATAGCTAATAGTATCTTCTTCTGAACTAAGTTTAGTAACTGTTAGAGTCTACTAGATGCCTACACCTTTTCCAACCCTATGCTGGCACTCTGCCACCAGACGGATAAAGGACATAATCCAGAGCAAGCTCCATCCTCCACCCATTTCTCATCCCTGCACATCTCTTCAGGTTCACCTTCTAACAACGTCCACCTTCCCACAATCCTGGGCTGTCGTGATCCCCACACAAGTACTGTTTGATGGTTTGCCCTCCGTACAAATCTCCCCTCCATATTTCACCTGTCCATTTCTCCACCTGGAAGACTTTACTGCTTCAGGAGACTGTCCTCCCCAAGCGCAGTGTGTTCCACAAGTGCTTGGATGGACGACTGCACTTGCTGCATCTGACACACGAGAACGTGACTGAATATCATTAAGGTCCATGTAAGGCCTTCGTCCTGACTGCACTGGGAAGGCCTAGGACACAGGTAGCAGAGTAGGCACCAAGGAGCTTGATCCTGAGAGACAGGATGGAGCATCCGCAGTGTGGGTTAGCCACTTTACAGTGCTGGTTTCCTTTGTGGTTTTCAGTAAATGCATTAAACACAGTTTCATCTTGGAGGAAGTAAAAACTAAGGTCACTTTGTTTATGGAGTTTACCTTTCCCTCCTTTACGCTTTGTACTCTCATATCTTAGTTCATCTCTGTTCTTCATCCAAAACCATGAGCTAACAACGTTCATTCACTCTTCTTAGGAACTGTGTCTGACAAAACTCAAGTTTAGGAACGCGTCCTCATCTTCCCAAGTGAATAGGCATGGAGAGTTGTCAATTTCAGAGACACAGCAGGGGAAGAGAAGCGTTTGCTCTCCTTCAAAACTTTAGTTCCTTCAGGCTACCAAAGCAACCTTCTAAAATGCCTCAGAAAGGGCCTTGTTGAGTTATCAAGTGATGTAATTAGATAATAATACTCTAAAATCTTCTGCTACTTGTCAGAAACAAAGAGACCATGTTAGGGTGTGTGCCAATAATTGATGTCATCATAAGAATATTTAAATAGTGGCTTCTTCACACACAAACAAGACTGTTCAATCACATCAGGAAACTTGTAATTCAGCCAGATTAAATAGTCTAATTCAGGAAATAAGGAGAGAATATCTATATATAACAGTAAATAAATGTGAAAATAACTCACCAATCTCAAAGCTCCCACTGATAAATCCGACTATAGATGCGGGGATATTGAATTGTCTTTCTATTTGTGTGAGCATTGAACTCATATAAACTCCTGATAGCGATTTCGCTAAATACGCCCCTGTTAATGCCACCAGAAACATCTAGGAAGAAAAACGTTTAAGAAAAAGTGAGAAATTTGTTTTCCAATTACATATCCACCCTGTACTGAAAATAAAAACAGCCTCAACCATGAGTTGGAAAGGATTGCACACATCTTAAACAACCATTGAGCATGCAAGAAACTTTGAAGTGTAGTCTCTACTCTGTCATAGTGTCCTATCTCTGGAAATGTAGAGTTGGAATAGTTGGTGAGTTTTGTAGATGGATGTGGATTTCCACTTTTCTCAGTGTACCATATTCATACAGAAAGACATGGAGTTGTTCTACGAAAGACACAGCTATTGTTAGGTCTTGAACATTATACTGTTATCTGCAGGACAAGTGTTGCTCCCTTTCAGGAAGGGGAGGAATGGAACACAAAATTACAGTATGGTATTGTTTCTAGAGTAAGCCTACTGTGTGTTCAGTAACGACAGCTCTTTTTCTGCCTCCTTGAGGACAACAAGCTACATTCTCACTGCCAGGTGCAATGGACAGAGAAAAGTGATCTTCATTTTCCTTTTTTTCTATTTGGAGGCAATATGCCCTATAACCCTTTATCTCAGTTGTTAAAGTGGTGCTCGTGGCATACAACTGCAGGGCAGAACATTTTGTGTTCCCTCATGTGCAGGATATAATGTGGCTGTGTACCAGTAAGACTCCTCACTACCTGTGCACGACTAATAAACTCACTTTGAGTGGTGTACTGAATGAGTTTCCTGTTTCCTTAGCTTATCTTCCAGTAGCTGGTTGATGCAAATGTCATCATCCCAGATTCTAAAACTGCTGTAGTGTCTAATCTGAAATAATAAGCAAATCATCTTGTGTTAGATTAGTATTTACTACTTGTAAACGTTGTCACAAGCACCAATTTATCTTGATTAACCTGAGCACAGACATACACAAAAAAATTAAATAAATGGTAAATGTGAACACCAAGTTCAGTGCAGCTCAAAAGTGCTGTATGAATGTAAGATAAGATAATTCCAGCTCCAGAATTTTGTATTCTAATTCTAAATGACATTGGCATAGATGTTTACTCTTCCCACTGTAAATCTTTCAGAGGATGTGACTGGTAATTGATAATTTCCACATGAGTTTTATAATTCAGGTCATATATTTAAAATCAAGACTTACCAAATTTAAAAAATCAGGCTTGGGGAAATCATTTATTTGATTTACGTTTGGAAGAAGAAAGCTAAGTGGGTAGTGAGCACACTGCTCTTTCTCTAAAGAATTTGGTTCTGTACACAAAGTGAAAGAACCAGTGTCCATCCCGGTTCATGTCTACTACTACATAAAATCTGTTTATAAAACCAATCCTGCTGGCTATTCTCCTCAGCACTCCACAGTCTGAAACAAACTTTTCCAGGGCAGTCTTTTCATTGCTCCTAAGGTAGTTCTCTTTTTGTAAGTTGTGTGTATGTTCATGTTAGTGTGAAATGAGTTCATGTATGTATATGTACATGGGAGACAGAAGACAACCACAGGTGCAATTCCTGAAGCTTTGTATGTTTTTTTTTTTTATAACAGGAACTCTTGCCAGCCTGGAATTCACCCAGGAAGCAAGACTGGCTTGTCAGTGAGCACCAAGTATCTGGTTCACTCTGTCTCCCCACACTTGGTTTGTAGTTACTTGTCACCATGCCTAGTTTCTATGTAGGCTTGAATACTGAACTTGTCATCCTGCTTTCATGGCAAGTATTTTACTGATTGAGATATCTTCTTGCCCCCTTTGGGAAATTTTCCTTTCCTTTCCTTAACAAATTTTATTGATAAAATTTACTGTTTGGTGATTTGGTATGCATGTGCTGTCATCTGGCAATTGATTTTTATCTCTTCTCCCCATCTCTTCTCCATTAACATCATCATTCCTAGCTCCTTTTGCAAGTTTCATGAGTTTTGGTTTAGTTTTTTTTTTTTTTTTTTTTTTGCTTCATGTAGCTTAACCAAGGTCATCTGTGGAGCCGCTTTTATTAGAACCAGCCTGGTAATGTCATCTGTGTATGCATGACTGAAGGTCGTTAAGGGCATCTTTTCCCTTGTCCTGGGACATTTTTCTTAATGATTATATTTCTAAACTTAAGAATCAGGAGATTCAATCTGGCACTGTAGAGCATTTGACCATCCTAACATTTTAGATAGTTCTGAAGTTAGAGAAATCTAATTATTTTTAAACAATTACCTCTAATTGTGACTCATAAACTTACGGTTTTAACATTTCCCCCATAACCTCCACACCAATATCTGCCGTAGTTTAGCCCCAAAGTAACTGCGGTGGTTTGAATAGGAATGGCTCCCATGAACTCATAGAGTTGAATGCTTAACCACCAGGTTGTGACACTACTAGGAGATATGGCCTTGATGGAGAAAGTGTATCAATGAGGGTGGTCTTCTAGGTTTCAGACGCTCCAGCCAGGCCCAGTGTCACTCTCTTCCTGCTGCCTGCCAATCTGGATGTAGAACTCTTGGATCCTTCTCTAGAACCATATCTCCCTTGGGCCCCCATGCTTCCCACAAAGATGATTATGGACTAAACTTCTGAACCTGTAAGGCAGCCCCAAATAAATGTTTTCCTTTATATGAGTAGCACTGTTCATAGTGTCTCCTCAAGCCATAGGAGCTTTAACTAAGACAGTTACCAGAGACAAACCTTGAGAAGTAGTGCTTATAATGAAAGATGATGGCTTTTCTCTATAAATGCTATTAATTCTAGTAATTAATAATCATAATACCCATCATTATCCTAAGCTCTGACTCTCGAGATAGTGCTCAGAATTTAACATAGTTGGGTACTCTTTCTAAGGACCTAGGCTCTGTTCCTAGCATCCACATAGTAGTGTGAAACCATCTGTAACTCCAGTTCCAGGGTATCCAACACCTTCTTCTGACATTCAAGGACACTCAAGTAATGCTTCAGTTCTCAATTATTCTGAGGATCCCAGGTCCCCTGGCTCCTACCCTTTGCCAGGTGCACCCTGGATGTGTCAATTTGAATAATTTGTGCAAAGTGGTTTTCACCTGAAACTGTTAGTGGTAGTCATACATTTTAAGATAAAACAGCTAACAGAATGAAATTTTCTTATGAATCAATGATTGTAGTATTGCCAAAGCTCAAAGAAAATATTTGTGTGGCCAAATCATGAAGTCATCTTGGCATATTAATCTACAGAACACTTCCGTTGGGGAACTGGTTCTTAGCTGTGACCCCTGACCTATCAGAAACCCCCGAGGGCTGAGTACTAAATTGACCACTGTTCTCAGACTAAATTCCAGCCCAAAATAATATTCACATACAACATTTTTAACCACATCCTCATTTAACCCTCTAAATCAGTAATTCTCAACGTTCCTTATGCTGCAACAGTTTAATAGAGTTCCTTATGTTCTGTTGACCGCAAATCATAAAATTATTTTTGTTTACTATCTCATAACTCTAATTTCCTACTCTTATGAATCGCAATGTAAATATCTGTGTTTTCCAATGTTAGGTGACCCCTGTGAAACGGTGTTCAATCTGCGAAGGGGTCCTGAACCACAGGTTGAGAACCTCTGCTTTAAATTATTCTGATAAATCTTCCTGGATGAATAATCCTGGCTAGACATCCATAATCATAAAACCAACTTCTCTAAGGCAAGAAATTAACAACAATTTGGGCAAAAGGGCTTTTATGTTGGAAAATTTCTAGTAAGCTGAGCGATGTTACAAGGACCCTTAGTGCTTGCTTTAAAAGACTCTCATGCATATATACATGCACACATGCGTAATCTAAAAATTCCATACCTTGATCTTGGAAAAGCATCTCACCCCATGGGTTGCAACAATTTTCCTGGGTTCTTCCATGTTCTTCTGATAGTTCTCAAATGTTATTGCTTTAAATGTCTTACTACTGTCTAAAAAAATCAAACACTTGTTAAATGAATTATTTACTGAACTGTAATAAGCCATTCTTAAAAAAGAAAAAATAAGACTTTCTTAGGTGTCTCAGTCATGATTTCTATTGCTGTAATAAAATACTAGTAAACAAAGTAACTTAGAGAGGAAAGAAAGAACCAAAAGCAAATTAGTGGGGAAAGGTTTTATTTTAGCTCAAAATTCTATACCACAGTTCATCACTGATGGAAGTCAGGGCAGGAACATTTGGCAGCAACCTGGATGCAGGAGTAGATGCAGAAGTTATGGAGGAATGCTGCTTATTGCTTTGTTCCTCATGGTTTTCTCAGCCTGCTTTCCTATATAACCCAGGACTACCTGCCCAAGGATGGTCCCACCCACCATGAGCAGGGTCCTCTCACATCAATCTGCAATCGAGAAAATGTACCACAAGCTAGACCCTCAGTCAATCTTCTGAGACATTTTCTCAATTGAGGTTCCCTCTTCTCAAGTAACCCTAGCCTGTGTCAAGCTGATATAAAACCTTCACACTCTACTGTGGAGGTGGTTCGGTTGGTCGCATGCTTGATTCCTAAGCTTAAGGACCTCAGTTAGAATCCTCAGTGAAAAGCTGGGCTTCTTTACACCTGCCTGTAAATCCAATTCTGGGAGGACCCAGACATCTTGATCACAGCAGTGTGCCAACCTAACACTCTACCCAAGTGAACAACTGACAAGTCCAGTGAGGAGACTCCATTATAAAACAAAGGTGGAGCACTCTAGAGGAAGATATTCAGTATTGACTTAAGACCTCTCTAATATGCACACTATTATATATGTACCTGCACTTACACATATACTTATATACACACACAAATCATGCATACCTATTAACTACACACACACACATCTCTTGAATAGGAACAACTGAACCATTTCCTTGAATATTATAAAATTATCTAGGGAAGATTTTTTTATTCAGATTGACCTTGAAAATAATGCTATGGAAGATGATTTGATTTATTTGATATCTATTGAAAACCCTACACAAATGAATGCACTTAGTCTTTGGTGATATTAAAGCTAGCTTCAGAGTCTGTTAGGCTCTCACCTCAAACTAATGACAATATGATTAAAGTAAAACTTTTCAAGTCTTTATCAAGGCAAATGAGACCCAGGTGATATCCTTTGAACTCACTGAAGGCTGTTGCCTTTCAGAACATGAAAACATCTATTGTGTTTATTCTAAACCTCTGTCTTACTGAGCCCACAAAGACTTTGCATTCCAAGACTTCCCTGGTGTCACAGGAAGAGAAACACTTTCTATTGATTTACAGAAACCTGGGGAGACATGGAATTTTAATCAACAAAATATTCTAAGTAAAAACAACAAACCTTTATACAACTGGGCATAAATCCAACACCAACACTTTCAGGCTTAAAAATCCCTGAATGTGGGTGTCAGTGCGGAGGCCAAGGTAATCTATTGAGCCTTGGGTAGTATTCATTACAGGTATACAAATGGACTTTGGGCTCCCATCCCACAATGAGAGATGCACTCTCACTCTGGACTCTTGGGGGAGGGTCTAGGCCCTGCTCTGGGTGAAATGACAGACTATGGACACCCACATGGAGGGCCTCACTCTCCCTGGGGAAATAAGGGGATACTGGAGGGGTTGGTGGGAGGGCGTGGGAGGAGGGGAGGGAAAGGGAGAGGGACCTGGGATTGACATGTGAAGCAACCTTGTTTCTAATTTAAATTTAAATTTAAAAATAAAAAAAAGTTACAGGGAGATAACATTAATCTACTAAAAAATGTCTGGATAGGAAAAGATCAGACACCTAAAGAGATATCTGTGTGTGCTGAAATTAGGATATTTCTCATAACCACCTAAATATTTTAATTTTATATTTATTCCAGAAAATCTATCTCAACATACCAGTATTGTCCACAGCACTAATCTCATGTAAGTTCATTCAACATGTACTTATAAATGGTTCATATCAGAATTTACCAGATTTTCAAATCCCAGTCACAATTGAGTAATTATGAATGACTGTTACAATGAGTACTTGTTGAACACCTACTATGTTCATGAAGCATCAAGACTGAACAAAGAGCAAGACAATCTTGCTCTCCTCTAGAGAAGTTAAGTTGTTTGAGACATCTCAGTCACCAGAGAAATTTGCTTTTTTCAAATCACTAGGAACCTATTCTTCTGTGAAATATACAATTTCTTTAAAATAAATAAAGGCACACTGGAATAGAATGGGTCCTTGAAGGCTGGTGCAACTTTCTTATTGTGGAAATATGGAAGAAAATTCATAGGATATGAATGAAAATTATAGAAACTGTCTTAGCAGTTTTGAACAGATATAAGTATGAAAACTCCCAGACTCAAGGCTCACACATAAAACTACAAATGCATTTAACTTTCTAAGAGTACCTGATAATGGTTGTAGAAATAATATCAGAAGGGGGCAATTTCCAGTAAAGAGGAGACTCATGATTGGAATCTACACATAATATAGATGAGACACTGACCTCTCAATACTCCTCATCTTCTTCTCTATTCCTCACCCATAGTACAATCTATTTTTGCATTCCTGAGTCCAGGATGGTCTCCCTACCCATCACTAAGAGAACTTCTTTTCAGTATCAAACCTGTCTTTGCTTTCCTTGGTAACTTAAAATATGACCAACCTCAATATCTACTTGTTATTTTTCAGTCAAGGGAAACTGAAGTTAGCATCCAGAAGATCACTGAACAATTCTTTCCTTGCATTCTAAGTAATCATCCAGGCAGTTTTTATCGCCACCTTGAAGATTCTTTTCAGAACACTTTTGCTTTCAGAGAAGTTTTAGAAACAAGTGTTTTGACTGTTTTTGACTGTAAACAAAGCACACAATGCCAAGCACTCAGAAGCAGATTCAATGTTAATAAACTAACCCCCATCTTCCTGTTATGAGCCAACATACCCTGTGGAAAATATTATAACTTTTCAGAGGCAAAGCAACATCTCTTTCAATGATTCAGCAAAACCTGAGTAACCCAGTCCTGACTCCTGTCACATTCTCCTGTTGAGCACTTTGAACCTAAATGAGAAATGTGCACAGAGTCAGTGGCAGCCACATGAACAGTTGTTAGCACAGCATTGTTTAAACAATGACTTCTGCTCACAGGATCACACAGGATCACAACCAAATCCATATCAATAATCAGTGCTCATGAAAACATCGTGTTGAACTTTTATTAAGCAGACAACACAGTCATGTATTCTTCTCTTTACATCCACATCAAAAGTGGGAAGACAACACCCTCATTCTCAAGCACAACTCTGAACCATTTTGCTCTGTCTGTGTTATTGTAAAGATGTATGACAGAATGTCTGCTCTCTCAGACATGTTAAGAATACAGTGCAGAATAGCTCAGTAGGTGGGTGAGCATACTCCAAAGCAGATCTCCAGAACAGCAACTACCTTGCAGTACCAGCACTCTAAACACGCTTAGCTTCGAACCCTGGGAGGGGTCCTTTAGTTGATGGTCCTAATGACATCACAATCACAAGAGACCACAACTCTGTACAAGGTGAATAAACACACTCACTCATGCTCGGTATCCGCACAGTTTGTGATTATCAGAAAATGCAAGCTGTTCATCCTACCTCACTCTGTGCTATTGAATTAGTGAAGCAAAGGCTTTGCTATACCATGGCCAAGCAAATAGTACATACATGAAGAAGCCGTTAGGAGATGGTCCTCTCCCTGGTGAAGGAAAAAGAGTCACAGCAGCAAAAGCCTTATGAAAAACACTTTGTTCTGAAATCCTCAAATTGTCTCTAACTGCTAGAGACAGCCTATTGGATGCTGTCCAGCTGAAATGCTTTCAACCAATACCAAGCCAAGAAAGGGAGTAGAGAATCGACAATGACTGGCTTGATTCTTAGAAAAATCATTTTACCTTGGTCTTCTTTTCCAGTCAGAAATAAATTGAAACAATAATGAATTCCAATTTTTAAGCCTGACATACACATGTATACTTTTATATCCTACATTCAAGATCCTTGGTCTGTGGCTTTCTGGGGAAACTTAACCAGATATCAAGAACATTACCAGTTAGTGTGGTTTACTATGCAAAACGAGTCTGAAACATGGACAAACTCTTCACCAGCAAATCTAGCCAGTTTATGACTTTGGATCTGTTCTCAGTCTAGACTGAAAAATCAAATTGGAAATTTAAAACATAAGTTCTGCCTTTGACAGAGTCACCTGTTATTATCATCAGTGTCATTTCCTGTACCACACACAGCTAGAGAATGAAGAGACGATTGCAGGAGATCCAGTTCCCATACTTGAGACACTTACTTTGACCTAGGTCTCACAGGCAGCTTTAAGCTCTCTAAAGCACAGTCCCGTTGAGTCCTGGACCTTCTCATTAAAGCAGGAAACAAGACTGAGCCAGTGTGGAGGAGGCAAACTCTGTATTTTTCCACATCACATATTTTTATTGACACCCTGGAAAGATCACATCACACACCCTGCTCACAATGTTTTACCAGTTCTTCCATGTCCACACCCCCTCTTGGGATACCCCCAAAAGATGTAAAAAATAACAACAAGAAAAAAAAGTTCGCTTTGTGTTATCTATATACTTACTGGAGCATGGTAAATTCTTAGTGGCCTAGTCCTTAAATAGAACTGATTCCTTCTCCTCCCATCCTCTGAGGGAAATCCATCAATTGTGTGGAGCTAGTCTTCAGCCTTACCCATCACCATTTTTAAGAGTTCTCATTGGTGCTTCCTGCCTAGGCTGTCCCTGTGTGGGGTAGGGGTAGGGCTTGTCACAGAAGCCGCCATGTCTCCCTTGCAACTATGCACCTGCCATCATCAGTGTCATGCGAAAGCAGCCTCCTTGCCCTTCAGTCAGTAGGAACACAGATCGTGGGACTCCAACTGAGTTTCCTGCTATAACATAATCCGTGAACTTGGCCCTCTATGCTATTAAGACCACAGACCTAG